TTGCAATTCTTTACATATTTTTCTCCTCATACACTTTAAATAGTTTGAATTTCCGTTTGCATGGTATGATGGCTACGGTGACCTTCAGCCGTAGCTGTGCGAACAAGATGCCGCAATGATTTTGGCATAGAACAGCATTCATCCTATTCTTCTCTTCTGGAATACTTACACTCCGGCTATGTGACGCCACAGTCGACTAGGCGTACATACAAGTGTGCATTTCCTCGTTGCCGAATCTAGTTAGCCCAACACTGGACTATGGCATTAGTCATCAATCACATGGTCACGTGGATAAAGTTTCGGTGCAAACTCAGAAAGAATTTGGAAAGTAGTACAGTACCTACTGGTCCACTATTTCCGCAGTCACTGTCAGTATTCTCCACTGCCACGCCTATCAGCATGGCTAGTGGGTCTGTCGCTGAGCTCATGACGTACGTTGGGTATCTTTCCCTGAGACGTAATAATCACGCTTAACCTAGTGTCCTCCAGGAACGAGGAGTATATGCGGAAAGTCGAGCATTCGGTTGAGCCCGTTGTGGTCACCTTCCTTTCCTCTTTGGACGATAAGTGCAAGGCGGTCGCCTCGAAAATTGAGGAGCTAAGCAATGAGTTCACAACCGTCAAGTTCTACCAAGTCGACGTCAGAAAGCACGCCATGCTCTCCAGTGCCCTTCTCAATACGAAATTGCCCTTCATCGTCTTTTTCAAGAACGGCGCAGACTTGTTGACCCTAGGCTCCGATGTTCCCCTTTCAAGTATTCGGGAAGGCCTCCAAGCGCTTCAGATGGCATCTTAATGAAAGTTGTGTGCTTGATTGCTAGTACAGCAATATATTTGAAATCAGATATCTCTCGAGAGTCACGTTTTTATTCCCAACCCCTGACTCTCCTTCGTGCTCCCGGGATCTATGATTCACTGGCACCGATCTTACTAAACGCAGGAAAATCCCACTCCTCGTTCCCCGGAGCTATACCATTCACTCCCGGGAGCTATAGCTCCTCTAGGAACTATGAGTCTGATCACTAGAAGCGACTAAGAGCGTGCCTAGGAACCAAGCTATGGACCCTAGGGTCGGATATGATCCCAGAAACGTGAGTCTCACTCGCGAAACAATAAGTGGTATCATCAATATTTGGAGATACACGTTATGTGTGCGGGGTCTAGGAAGGGTGGGCGTAATTAATCACGTTTTATTCTGCCAATGCCAATGCAGCTTGCATTTGGGGCCTGGGAAATATGGCATAAAAGTGGGCATGTCACGAACTTGTCTAAGAGGAAATCTAACTCGGGTAGCACGGTGAAATAAATTCTCGCACTAGACTTGGGGGGGTGTCTAGGTATCAGGAAATGCGCGTGAGTTAGAGTGGAGACGGTTGCCTTTCAATTCGATGCATTGAAAGGCAAAAGTTGATGATGCTGCTAGAAGTGATATCATAGCCTCCAGAAAGGTAAGTCACGTAATACAAAAAAATGCCAGCCACGCGACCGTTCATAATCCTCGATACATGCCAAAACTGCCATATCACCACCTTACTCTGTTGTATACAGCATGCTCAAATTGGTGAACTGTGGGTCCGCAGTTCAGTGATAAGTCTCTCAACACGCTGACGGATTTCGTCACGGATAGTTCGCACAGATTGTAAGCCTTGCCCGGCAGGGTCGTCAAGCTGCCAATCGAGATAGCGCTTTCCTGGGAAGAATGGACAGACGTCCCCACAGCCCATGGTAATGACAACATCACTGGCTTGTACCGCATCGGCAGTTAGGATCTTGGGGTTTTGGCTGCTGAGGTCGATCCCTTCTTCACGCATGGCTTCGAGGACAGCCGGATTGATAGAGTCGGCTGGGGCAGATCCGGCGGAGCGTACTTCAATGCTGTCACCTGCGAGATGACTAAGGAAACCGGCCGCCATTTGCGAACGACCAGCGTTGTGAACGCAGACAAATAAGACACTGGGCTTATTAGACATGATGGGCGTGTTTTTCGAGTTGTCGGTGGAGTAGCCCTAGTGAGTAGCTAGTTGAATATGAGGGATATGATTATCCCGATGACAGGACGGGTGGGTATGAATAGAGGGTGCCGTCAAGTAATATCAAGAACGAAAGAAAAGTGAATATGGTGATATCTCTGTTTCAGCACAAGCGGTAGGAACAAAGCGGCTGTGGTTGGGATCTTATATAGCATCTTTGGCGGGAAAAGGGAGAATTAATAACGCATCGATCTAGAACAATCTTTTATGAAGGGTTCTCATCCGTTAAGTCAATAGCGTTCGATCAGGCCCGATTTGTGAGCCGTCCGCGCCGTTCTTACCGAAATCGCATTCAGGATAGAGCCTACATGGCTGTAGTACATACTACTGTCTGCTCATTTGAAATATAATCTTAGGCAGTCGTCACGAAGAAAGTTGCACTGGCAGCTAGTAATATAACTCTATTACTAGCTATGTAGGGACTGACATTGAAAACAGCTTTGCATCGTCAGTTCTATACCTCTTTCATAGCAGCCTGTATGTCACTCTGACCCTTTCATTGGTCGAGGATTTTTATGGAAGAATTCAGCATTTTCCATCATGACAAATCACTTGCCTAGTGCATCCCTATGTCACTCCTCGATTTTTATTGGCCAATTCTGAGAGACTTGTCACATGCCCGATATGATTGGCTATCACAAATCACCACTCTAACTCTATCAGGATCAACCGTACATTCCCTTTTTAAGAGGAAACTCTGGGTTCTTCATATATAAAAGCCTGCTCTGCACCGTTGATACAGGTTTCCGAGCAATTATTGTCTTACTATTGAATTTCCTGAAGTTCATCAATTCAACTGAAGCTATTCTCAGAAGCACCTTACGCACATAGTCTGCTGATGCTAGAGATGGCTACAAGCATTCCTCAGGCAAACATGTCCATGCAGGCTGAACCGCAATCCCACGAAACCGAAACAACAGCTATTAATCAGTCAACAAATCCCACGGCCGAGGATGTTGAAAAACAAAAGACGAACGAATCTGGGCAGACTACGACCAAGCAATCAGCCTTTAAAGGGCTCGGCTGGCTAGATCGTTTTCTGGCCGTATGGATCTTCCTTGCCATGGCCATCGGAATCATCTTGGGAAATTTTGTGGAAAGTACGGGACCGGCCCTCCAGAAGGGAAAGTTCGTTGGGGTGTCTGTTCCCATAGGTATCTACTCCTTTCTTGGTAGTACAATCTTTAACTAACCGTTGCAAGCGATCGGTCTCCTGGTCATGATGTATCCTATTTTGTGTAAAGTGCGATACGAGTCTTTACACCACGTCTTCCGAGAGCGTGGTATTTGGATCCAGATTGCATTTAGTGTCTTTGTTAACTGGATTATTGCGCCTTTTTTGATGGTGAGACCTTTTTCGACTTCGTCGCGGCGAAACTTGCTAACAATATACTTCCCTAGCTCGCACTGGCATGGGCTTTTCTACCAGACGAACCGGAGCTTCGAGAAGGTTTGATTTTAGTTGGACTGGCCAGATGCATTGCTATGGTACGTTACTTTTTCTCTACGATGTGCCTGAACTAGACTAATTCTTATTGCTGATAGGTTCTTATATGGACCGGTCTCGCTGGTGGCGATAGTGAATACTGCGCTATCCTCGTTGCGGTTAACTCACTACTGCAAATGGTGCTCTTTGCACCCTTGGCCATTTTCTTTATCCAGATCATCAGTCATTCTGGTAGTCAAGTAACACTATCTTACTCGGCCGCTGCCACAAGCGTGGCAGTTTTCCTTGGCATCCCTCTTGGTGCTGCAATCATTACTCGCATTGCCCTCCGAAAGTTCACCAGCCCACGTTGGTACGATCAGGTTTTCCTAAAGTGGGCTGGCCCATGGTCGCTCCTTGGACTCCTCTTCACGATCCTGGTGTTATTTGCATCCCAGGGCCGGCAGGTGGTTCATCAAATTGTATCGGTGGTCCGCGTTGCCGCTCCGCTTATAGTTTATTTTGTCATTGTCTTCTTCGTGACCCTTCTTGTGACCTACAAGCTCGGGTTTGGTTACAAGTTAGCTGCCACACAAAGTTTCACCGCCGCCAGCAATAATTTCGAGCTTGCGATTGCTGTGGCTGTCGCGACATTTGGTGCCAACAGCAACCAAGCGCTTGCCTCTACTGTCGGGCCACTGATCGAGGTCCCGGTACTGCTTGGCCTTGTCTATGTCGTCAAATTCATAGCCAAACGAGTTGGCTGGAAGGACTGAAGCGAAAAGGAATGAAAATTCCCGCCTGGCAGCTTAATTAAACTTTTGGGATCTCTTTTCTTCGTTTGTTATTGGTACACCTTCCTTTGCGATTTCAAGGATTTATGGTGAAGAAGCTAGAGCCTGAAGGCATGCATCTACTATGGGTAATACTATTAATAATGAATACTGGCCAATATTGCATGAACAAGGCTTGATACAATTTATGAGGACAATCGGGGAGATATGGACTGATTTATAATTCAAATGATTCTGCAGACGCGCAAGTGGCGTTTCCGTCTGCATTCGTTGCAACTGATAAATCGAAGCTGCTTCGGTATTGCGCATTAGCCTGGGTATCAATTCCTGGGTTCTAGGCGCTAGTAGTCTATCACGGGGCTTTGATTAATTTAACAGATTATCAGCTGACTGGGATATTTTCGCGGTTACCATTATGTAGATATCATCCATACGTCTGTTCTTTTAACAATTTGGGGGCGGCTGGGTGACCGGTCCCATGACAGATAGGCTTGGCGGTGACATTCCGTTGACAAACGGTGACATTCCAGAAAGTATCAATCGGCCAATCAGTGGACACTGTGGACTGCCTTTCGTCACATCGACGACGTTATAGATGTGGCATCGCTAAATAGACTTCAGATAACACGTGTAGTATATAATTAGGCTTGATCCCTTCACATTATGTCCTTGAGACGAAGCATTCGTATAGCCTGCACTTAACCGGCATTCCCCTTTGCTTCCGGGCCCAGAATCGCAAAGCTCAACGGAATGGATTCGAATGATACCTATCGTTGTGTGCAAGACCGCTACGCTGAAGTTGCGAGGCAGACCGACCCTCATAGCCAAAAAGATCATGAACGCAAAGTCGCAAGTGCGTTTGGGTATGATCTTGAGGATCTGCGTTCTATCCCAGAGAATGCGAATTTAGGTGTCAGCTGTGGGAATCCGTTGGCAACGGCAAACATAGCTGTGGTAGGTATTATCCCGGTCGCCTATGAGCGTTGATTTTAATATCTATATATAGGGCGAGACTGTGATTGATTTGGGTAGTGGTGGCGGCATTGACGTTTTGCTAGCGGCAAAAAAGGTTGGAGTGGAAGGAAAGGCCATTGGTATTGATATGACCAAGGTACGCACATCGTTTCCTGCCTAAGCCCTTTAATTCTGACTTAAAACTGGCAGGAAATGCTGGAACTCGCACGTCGGAACGCAAAGAACGCCGGTGCCAACAATGCATCCTTCATCGAAGCGTTCATTACTTCCATACCGTTACCATCGTCCACCGCTGATTGCATCATCAGTAATTGTGTGATAAACTTAGTGCCGGAAATCGAAAAGCCTCTAGTCTTTCAGGAAATGTTTCGTCTACTGAAGCCGGGAGGTAGGGTTGCCATCAGCGACATCCTGGCAAAGCGAGAGCTTCCGATGGAGATCAAGAAGGATCTCTCCTTATATGTTGGCTGTATAGCTGGTGCTAGCCAGGTTGCCGACTATGAGAGATATCTGAAAGAAGCAGGGTTCCAAGGTATCCATACTACATTTCTCGGGGTCTTCCTCATTCGATCTTGTCCTAATCAGTATATTATAGATGCAGTGATCCTGAATACTAATGCAGACCTCAATGTTTATAAGGAAATGTGGAAGAGTGAGGGAGCTAATAGACCGGCCCCTACGAGCTCATGCTGTGATCCGATGAACCGCAGTACCAGCAGGGAGATACACAATCTGCCGGATGTGGATTTCAACATTTGGACTGGTGAGTGGATCTACAAAGAAACATAGTATCGAGGCATCACTAACAACTCCCCGCATGGTTCTCGTTAAATAGACTCTTTCAAAATATTTGCCGTAAAGCCCGACACTCATGACTGAACGTTTTAAAATTGAATTCCAGCCCTGCAAGCCTTCTGTTTCACGCAGATGGAACTATTCAACATAGCTTGTGCAGCGCTAGTAATTAGGTAGCCTTGTATAGGGCGAATTAATTGTTTTAATGTTTATGCTACATGTTATCAATTTGTGTCGCATCCGATTTACGGACTTTGCTTATGCTGAATCGTCAACAAGGAAGAATAACAGGCCTATTATGCCCAGCGTTTCGCTTTACAAGGGATTTATATTATCTCCATCAGACTTAAATGAAATTTGGACTCAATATTTGTTTGTGTATTAAAAGAGATCTCCGCGAGAACCGCAAACAGAACCCCGATATCAACCCTACAGTCTTCCGATTGTGTACGGCCCAGTCTGAAACCGCAACGAATCCTGATATCGATCTCCATGTCATCGTATTGTCTCTTGTTGAATTGCAAGATCAGTCTGTAAGCCACAGAACAGAGCATAGATCTATCCTCTCTTGCCGTTTCGTCTGTTAACACAGGCCAGAGTGTCAGAGAATATGCTGGTTGAAACCTATCGCAGATCATTGTTTTAGTCCCTGCAGTATCTAGAGGATCGTAAAACGACGACAAAGTCGGAAAATACGTCGGTACATTGACTCTCGCGTCGTTTATATGCGCAGCAAAGCCAGGAAAGGCTTCACTAGGTGCGGCGACTTGGTTCAACTCAGTACCATTTAAGTGGGCAAGCAGCGGAGGTTGATTGACAATATTGGTGAACGTATGTGATGCTTCTATACCCAGAGACTATAGTTGCAGTCAGCAAATTCAGTATTATCTTGCAGTGGAGATCCTGGACATAGATAAGGGGTGAAGGATTGGAAATATTCACTTACCTGCCCTTGAGGTTCTCCATACTCGAAATTGATGAGACAAGGGGTTTGGGTTCGGGTGGAAGTACCTTCCCAATCCCCATCAGGACGTTTTGACCGGTCTGTGAGACTCTGGTCTCGGTGGCTCCCACTGACGCTTGATGGATCAAATAACGTTTTCAGAACTTCGTTCTCGCGAAGAAGGTTTTGTGCTTTATCTTGAAGCCTTGTATAGCATTGAGCCCTCTCTTTTTCATAGTATTTCACTTTCTGCTCGAGCTCTGCAATGTACCCTCGCCTACGTTCTCGACAATTCCGCTGGTTGTTGCGGATGCGAGCCAGATCTTCGATCTATTAAAAATAATTCCGGTAAGAGATAAACCGTGGAAGATAACGCTGGCGGCGACGGACCTTTGTTTTCTTCTGTCGAGCCATAGGATTGATGCGGAGTCACCCCTTGTTCCGTTCCACTGCACTCACAAGCGATACGAGCAAATGGAAGACCTAGAAGTGACCAGAAGAAGTTTTAACGGCCAAACCCAACTAGTGGAGAGAGGAAGCGACGTATGTAAGGGCATGCGGGGCAATGGCGTAAGAAAGTGAACTAGGTTAGGGTCACCTGACATCCCATGAGACAACGTTGAGGTTCGAATCCTGGTGATAACAAACCGGGTCACAACGAAAGTCGAAATCGGAAGAAGCAAACCAAATCAATGACGTAGCGTAACGTTATAGGCCTCAAATACTATTGTTACTACTTCAAGTCATTAGGATGAGATTCAATGTCAACGTCAGCTTCAAAGTATAGATCATCCGAATATATTATTATTTTTGTTGTACATAATAGGTTAATAATGAAGGGAAGTATCAGTAGTCCTGGAACATTCGTCTTTTTACTCATGCCGAGTATCATCAATGCCAGGGGTTCCAAATATATGACTAACAGCCTGGGTTAAGACAAGAAAGGTAACCAGGATAACGCACGATGTATCCTTTCTCATATCACGAACACGGGCTGTCTAATGCTGAGGATATATCCCAAGCGAGTGTGTGTATTGTATGACGTAGCAAAGTAATAATATAGAGCGGATTTGAGCTTGGACGTAGTCCTTGACAATAGGAAAGGAAACAATAATATGTCAATTTATTGGTGGAAAAGGACGACTCGGTACGCGAGCTCGCTAGCTATCTAATGCTTAATTCTATTTCTGGCTCACGTGACCCGTAGTCTCGACAATAGTACCGTACCGTCTCTGTCTGGAAAATGCCGTTCCTCTAAGCTCTCGCTTCTAGTGATATGTGAGCCGCAAGCCTGAGGACAAGTCGTAAGACACCAGATTTGCGAGAGGTCAAAGCAATCAAGAAATATGCCCACCGAAATCTTCAAGCACATGCCTCTTATCTGTCCAGAATGTCAAAAATCGACATATTCTTTACCATACACGTAGATTCGGAGCTGCATCCAAGCTCGGATCGAACGTTACGATATTCCGAATGATTCTGGATACTTTCGATAATTCTTGCTGCAGTCACGCATGACATGGATTGACCCGTATCTTGAATACTAGCAACTTCATGCGTTTCAGAGTTACTTTCGGCTGTGACGGGATTGAGCTTGGCTGCTCGGTTTGTATTGAATTCTTGACAAGGAAGGATATCCATGTTGCTCTTCGCATCTGACTTTGGTGGTGGATTTCTACTCCCAATAGCTCGAGGCTGATGTGGCGGGTTGTCCGATTGCCAATGTGACGAGGTTGCCGATGAATTAAGATAACTGCTAGCACGTTGGTTTGGGGCAGTCGGCGGGTGCAGCTTTGCTGATGCTAGAGACTCTAGTGGCATGCACTGAGATAGAGTAGAGCTTGCTGGTTGTCCTCGCGACTCCAAGTATTCTTCAACTGATTCTTCCGTGACACCGTGGAGTTGTAGCAGGGATCGGAGTAGTTCATTCTCTCGTGCGACTTTTCTTCCCGCTTTTTGAACCTCTTGTGTTGCCGTTACACCAAGCCTTTCGAAAGACCATAGTCGTTGCTCAAGGCGCTGGACGTACTCCTTACGTCGTGTGCGAGAACGCCGCTGATTTTCGCGAATTCGAGCTGCTGCTGTCACATGATTATCCTTCGAATTTCCGGTGCTATTGACCTCCATTCTTGTGCTATGGACTGGTATAATACCCCACTGCGAGGCTGCGGGAAGGTTTGGTTGGATTCTTATCGTCCGAAGAGATGGCTGACAAACACAGTGGGAATTTACGTTAGTCATCCTTATTAATCACAACCGGTCATTCAACCAATCCAGTAACGTAAAATAACATTATGTGGGCCGCCGCCACTTGTACATTGCCATACCCTGTCCAATCAATACTCACTGGTGACATACTCCCTTCATACACTCTATCTAAAAGCCGAATTTTTTGACTGTCTGTTTTTGGTCTCGTCTACCTTCGCCAACTATCGGATACTCTATGCTTTATTATTCTATCCGAAGATTGTCCCCGATATTTAGGCCGGCAACTTCTTCGCGACGCTTTCTGTTGCTGCCTATATATTCAAAAAGGATGTTTTCTGCTGTCCCTCAGCAAGTGGTTTCTGATACCGACCGAACAGATGCCTTCTATCGATCCTTAGCATTGTCTCTGGATGAAGATGACACGGATATCCGCCAGAAGTACCGACCATTCCTTCGTAGCAGCAATGCCACTGAGGACTGGGTCAACAACTTAGACCTGGCCACGGTTCTAGACATGGCCGAGCATAGCATACGGGATACAAATGAGAGGCTGAAAGTTCTGGTGCTTTATGGCAGCCTTCGAAGAAGGTCATATTCACGGCTTGTGGCATTTGAAGCCTCCCGTATCCTGTTCCGACTCGGCTGTGATGTACGCGTTTTTGACCCTGAAGGTCTTCCTGTCAAAAATGATAGCGATACAAGCCACCCGAAAGTACAGGAACTCCGAGAACTCAGTCGTTGGAGTGATGGCCATGTCTGGGTCTCGCCTGAACAACATGGCAATCTAGTGAGTTGCCTCTCCTTCACAATTCTTCAATCACTAGGCGCAACAACTAATTACTCGATCTTCCATAATCATAGACCGCTGTTTTCAAAAACCAGATTGATTGGATTCCTTTGACTACAGGAAGTGTTCGTCCCACCCAGGGCCGGACGCTAGCCATTGCCCAGGTTTGTGGTGGGTCTCAATCATTCAATGCCGTCAACTCTCTGCGGATCCTTGGTCGGTGGATGCGCATGTTTACTATCCCGAATCAATCTTCGATCCCCAAAGCATATACACAATTTCCGGATGAAGGTCAACCAGAAGATCAACGACTCATGCCTAGTGGTAACAGAGATCGCCTGGTGGATTGTATGGAGGAATTTGTCAAATATACGATTCTGATGCGCCCTCATATCGGGCTCTTTGGCGATCGCTTTAGCGAACGGGAGGAGAAGAGATCAAAGGAGGCAAAGATGAATGTCGCTACAGCTAGATGAAAGAGCGGCCAATCCAATATTCCTGTGGGTGGCGTTTTGGATAAGTGCTGATCCCATCTTGCGTCTCGGATGGCGAATAGAGAATAGAATTAGGAACATAGAAATTCGACCCAATGTGCATGATTGTGGCGGTTCACCCGATTCCTTTCCTTTTGATGGCTTCTCAGTTTCTGATTGATGTGACCGGGATTCACCTTGGTCACACGCTGGACTTGATTGAATTTGAGTTACCCCAGTCCGTTGCAACTAAAATGACATTGGCCCCTCTTCTTCCAAACGTTGCCTCACAGGCCATCAGAAAGCTACATTAAATTACCAGCAAAATACTTCTGGGCTCAGTAGGTGCGGAATGTAAATGTACTCATGAATAGTGAAGTCTCATAATTCCATATATTCATTAGGTTTCGAAGGTATGTTGTTTGGTGTGGCCACTCGCCAGCCTTTTGGTACTGTCACTGATTGCCAAAAAATAACTTTGAGTACTAGGGCAGCTAGTCTAGTGACTACATCTATTCCATTTGCGCTGAGTGCGACGCTTATGCGTGCATTCATCACGGCAAATCAGTGGATAAGGTGGATACAAAGGAAGGTGGAATGGTGACTCACTCCCGCATGATGATTGGATCATATTTCGTCGGGCAATATACACCCTGGGACAGATGCCACAAGAGTATACCATAACCGAGGGAGATAGCACGGCGTCACTCTAATAACCCTGGTTGGACTTTACAATCGGGCCAATGCGAAAACACAGATATTCATGTTCGGTCACGCGAGCTACTAAGCTGAGAGGCTTATAACCCCATATTCTGGAGCTTCCAGGGCATTTTCAAAGAGTGTGGTTACGTTGTTGACTTCTCCTGGCACTGTTCAGGTCTAGATCCTTCAATTCAATCCGACTTTCGCGGATCCATTGAAAGTGCTCTTCTCTTTTTACAATGAATCACTCAGCATCAATTGAACAGTCATCGCCAAAAACCAAGAATCGAGTAGCTTTGCAGAGAGACACTGAAGATGGAGACGATGATAGAACAAGTTCCGTCTCGTTTTTGACGCTTCCGCCGTTGAGGGTCATTTTAACTGAAGAGCATCGTCTGTCGCACGAGAAAGGTATTCCCGAAGATAGAAATGAGACAGTAACCGGCCGGTATGTACTTGATCCCTAAGAGCGTCCTCAGCTCACGAAAGTAGAGTGGGAGAACATCGTCAGGAAGAGATTCGACCTAGTCCTTCTCGCCCCCCGGATTATTCCCTCGAGCAGGAGGGAAGTCAACATCAGCAAGCCAACAACAGGAAGCGGGGATACAGGCAAATCAATCCTACGTCACTCCCAACTATACAACCAAAAGCCCTCAGAGCACAGCCGAACCAAAAAGGTTGACGTTTCATTCTAGCCAAACTAATCAATATATCCTAACTCCCACGTCGGTAGTTGCCATCCGAACTCAAGTTGCTGCTCTCGTCTCCAAATCAAATTACGCGCATATGGCTCAGACGTCCGCGCCAGAAGTGGAACTATTCTATCCTGACGGATTGATGGCGGACTTTACAGCAAAGCGTCAGCACCGCAAGCTTTCCGAAAAAGCTAGAAGAGACCGCATGAAAACGGCGCTCAAAGGTTTGTCGGACGTTATGTCCCACCGCGCATGTCCCGAAGCAGCTGGAGGTGCATTGCACCAGGACATTAATGGAAACAGCCAAAGCAAAGAGGTTGCGGGCGGATTTCCCTCGGAACATAGCGACAGGGTATCCGTAGTAGAGGCAGCTACTCTCTATATTCACCAGTTACAAAAGAAGCTCGCGGAGACAAATCACAGGCTGGATGAGGCAAGCCATTCTGGCATGGCAAATCTAGAGAAGAAGACGAATATGTAACATTCCACAATTTCCATTGAAGATATTCTGCTATTACGTCTCGTACGTAGCATTATTCTGAACACACGGCAATATGACATGTACTTAAACCGTAGGAGGACAGAGCAGACTTATCGACTATACATAACCAAGAAGCTGCAAAAACCCGAGAGATCAGTCAACTTATCAACGTGAAAGCATAGCAAGGGAAACTGACCCTGCCGTTATTTGGCGCTGAAGCAAGGATGTCACTATATGAAGATGTTAGAATATCAGGGAATGTGATAGGGAAGGAAACGAACTTATATGCTGCTGCTGTTGTATCGAACCCTCACGTCGTGCCCCAGAAAACAATACGCTTCACAGCAATGGATCTCATGGATCCTATGGGCGACTGTGCAAAGAGCTAGTTTGTTGGGGGTGGCATAATGTGTGATTGGTTCTCTCTCACTCCTTTCTCCACCTTGGAGTAGCATAACGTGACCCTGCAACACGCACTTACGAAAACTCACACCATCCAATCAAGAGGCTTGCAATATCTTTGATCGACGTAGCCTATACTTGGAGAATTCCCAGAGGACCTACAGCTCCCAGGGGTTATATCATTGGTCGACTGGCTCTCCTTTCTCCACAATAAGCTTTCACCTAGGAATTGTCGTCCCTATTTGGCTGTTCTGCTGAAATATGATTTATATTGCTGTGACGATTTGGTTGCAATCTTCGAAAGAGAAGAGATTGTCCTCGTCTGTGGGGTCTCCATTCGTTTGCCTATGGAGAAGACTTCTTTTGGGACTTGCATCCCTCCTATGCATATCCTCGTTGGCTTTCTTGTCAACGTTGCTGGCAGCCGGGATAGGGGAAGAAGGGTGCGAAATATTGTCCCGGTGGAGATGCGCTCTGCCTGTTTGAATAGCGTCGAGATCGGTCACTCGATGAGCGGCGGAAAAAGCAAAGTCGCTGGAGTCAAAGTACGTCCGTTCCTTCCGATTGTCAGCACGCTCACAATAAATCACATTTTAAGTACCTTGGGTTTTTCACCCAGTAAGCCTCTACGCGGCCGCTTTCCGTACTTGCTCAAGTAACGTTTCTCACTTTCAGACAATGGCTGAGGGAATATTATTAGCGCCCTTGCTCCAGGGTTGGGTGGGTGTGGAAAGGCCCTACTTCAGGATATGGTTCCTTGCCCCCTAGAGGGACATGACTTGGACAATGGGTTTTTGATTTGGGTGCCAAGCTTTTAGTGGGAGTTTGCGGTGCCATTCTACCTTGAGACCCGAGGAGTATTGTCGGTGGTCATGATCGTTTCTTCGGCTGGTTCTGTTTTTACCCCCTCTATTGAACACTACGTCATATTTACTTTCTTCCGCTCAATAATTGGCCTGAAACGCCGGAAAATTAGTCCGATACCCAGTTCCCAGCTTCCTTAAGTACGACTGATATCACTCCACGTTATAGCAGTCTCACCAAGCCTAGCTACTACACCACGGCAAGCAGATATCCACGACAAGCAGTCATATTTGACTCCAGGATCCATAGGCACGGTCTAGGCACGCTCTTCGTCGCTCCCAGGAGTTGGAATCCGAAGCGGCTGCAGCCACCGAGGTGGGGAAAGCGGACGCCCAGAGAAGGGCAACAACTGATGCTTTTGATGGAACATCGTAGTCAAGTTCTAAGCATAGCCTTCACCAGGTCTCTTTACGTCTGATACTTACGGCTGTGCGGATCTCAAAATTGCAGGGGGCGCTAGTGCAGTCTAATGGCCTGGCAGGCTTGAGACCGCGGTCTTGGAATCTGCTGGGTCTCTGACTCTGTGTCTACCGCCCTCGAGTCGGTGTCATCGAGCCCTAGTACGTAGTCTCATGTATGCAGACTTCAGTTTTAGGTTACATGTCAACAGGCTTCAGCTACGGTTATTTTAATCGCCTTTGATTTAAGTCTTTAGCCTAATATCCTTGATAGTCTTGTGACAATGAACACATGCCCGATTTGGCCTTCGATCCTCTCGAGCCATGAGACTAGTTTCATGAAACCTTTATTGTCATACTAGAACACATTTAATGTTATACACCAATAATCTCAAATTAACCTATCACTCACATCTGATTCCGCCATCCGATGCTACACGATTATCAACTTTTCAGTCTCTTCGACCGACGCAGCGAAGGCTTGACGCGGGCGGGTCGTCCCTTTGCCCGCTTTTTTACTTCCGGCTGCTCTTCCGAGTGGTCGCGAAGTAGAGATGAGCGCGTCGTATACTGTCGATGGGGCCCTGGTTCGGAACTTGCCGCCTTTGCAGCTCGCTTCGCCATTTTTTGCCTTGTAGCAATCTCCGTTGAGCACGGACCGCTTTTTGTCACCCCAGAACCGACTGAAGACATGAGAATATCAGTACCTGGTTGGTTCGACGGGGGCTCCGTGTTGACAGTATGGGGTTCTAGCAAGCGTGGGTCGATATTCGTTATCTCAAAGCCGACAGAGGAGGCTGGAGTCTCAGTCCTTGATCGAGCTTCGGATTCCGAAGATACCTCTGAGCTGTCAACGGATGTAATGGCGCCGCAAACAGGCCGTGACTCTTCTGGGAGATGGCAAAGTTTGATATTGACATCATATGTGTGCACTTTGGCGGCATGAGCCAGAAACTCAGTGACTTTGGCGAACTTTGGCACATGGCTGCAGGCTGCCCAAGTGCAGCTGATGCCGTCGTGCACATGAAGGAAATGGGCGTCGATGAGATGACGGCGAAGAGAATCTTTTCGCTTGGCTGGAAATTTATGCGGAGGAGGATTCGATGCTGAGCGACGAGATTCACCACAACAGATGATGCAAACATCGGTTGGACATTGTTGAGCATCCTCTTCAAAAGACGCTAGTTGTTCGGACTGTTCAATAGGTCTATTTCCCTCCTCATCGAGATCCCAATTAACTCGATTGCCTCGCCTGCTCGGCTCGCAAAGCTGTAGAAGTGCAACCATGTCCTTGGTAACCTGAATGCGTCGAGTAAGTAATTTGTCCTCGTCAAAATCTTCTGCTTCAGGACCGTAAAAGTTCTCCACAAGCCGAGCTCGTTCAGGAAATACGTAGTCCGGGATAGGGAGCTCCCAGTCTTCTTCAGCGGAACTATCAGCATCGCGTTCCTCAACATCAGATTCGCCGAGAAGCATTTGCTTGATCTGTCGGTCAACTTCAAGCACGGGAGCATTATTAAAATAGTCCTTTCTGGCTGTCTCGCGAGTTTCGATCGCCAATGTTTTCCGAAGTTTGGCCAGGTCTTTTTTGACAGTCTCATGCCTTTGGAAGAGGTGTGGGAAGGTGTCACGGGCGTTCTTGATTGTGCCAGCCACGGACCGCATCTCCGCCATAAGCTCTCTTTTCTCGCGTCTTAGTTGCAGAATTTCAGGGTTTTGGCAAATAGCACGTTTATGAGCTTCGGTAAGATCAGATGGTGCCGATAAATCTCTCTTCCTAAGCATGCTCCCAGCGAAGCTTACCAGACCTTCTTGGGAGGGCCGAAGAAGAACGACATGCTGAAGGTCGCGCGCAATAAATTGTGATTGGTAATGCTTTTCAAACACCGCGTCACCAGACTGCCCGAGCACCCTTTGTCGTTCCTGGCTGGTAAAATTTTCTGCGAGTAGATAGTCAGCTCCGTTGCGAGTGATATCATCTATCATGGCGAAAATGAATTCATCATATCGCGTTCAGCAAGTGACATACTGTTGACTTCATTTGCCGTCCAGCGGCGGTAATTGTAATGCCCAATATCGTCTTCAAATCTAGCATCTCGACCCAACTCCTTGAGCGCCTGCCGACTTGAATCATAGGTCATTGGCAAAGACCCATCGAGTCTGTAGCCGTATGGAGTACGTTCAAGACGTCGAAGGAGAGGCACATTAAGAACCTCGGGCTTCCACCGGAGGGGAAGAGATGAACTGCCTCTTGGAACTCGTAGCCGCCAAATGAGCTCCGGTGTGAGGTCGGCATTGGCAAAAGCTCCATCGCGGAAAGCGAACGCAATGATCTGAGTTATCGGGCAATATGCCAGTTGATAATCGCCGTGCATGAAGAACTTGGTTCTGTTGGCAAGGATCAGTATCGAAGTTGGTTCATGAGAAATTCGAATCAAAATTTCAGCTTACCCATCAGCGCCTTCCGGTCGACCTTTGAGATTGCGAAACTCGATGATGGCACAGAGGACATCACGTTTACTTTGAAGGTCTTTCAGGTAGAAAAGTTCGATATCGCGATAGCAGACCGAGTCCGGAAGATCTTTCAAGGAAATGTGCTTTGGAAGATCACTCTGGAAGGTGTCATCCCGTTTGCGTTTGCCCAAAACTGGATTGCCAAGCGACGAGGTATCTTGAGGAAGCAAGACGCCAGGTCGCGTGCCTGTAATGGCGGACCAGAGCTGGACTGTAGCAAACTGAACAATCATGCTCCCGTGACGAAAGAATCTCGAATGGACCCAGTGATGCCGGTAAATCACACCAAAAGCATCCACATCTAGAGTATTTTTGTCCTTTGTTCGTCGGGGAATTTTGCGCTCGGCTGGGAATACACCTTCGAGAAACTTTTCCAAGGTAAGCATACTCTGTTTAGGAACAGACAGGATATAACTTACTCGTCGCATCTGTTGACGGGCATCCTCACCGACGCGGCGACGGGCGAATAGCTCGAAGTATTGACAAAGGCGTCGCCAGTATTCATCATATGACTGAAGCAGTTTCTTTCGTGATGTTTTGAACATCCAATCAAAAAAGTTCATGTAGATCGTCTGATCCTCCAAAAGAAGAAAGTCCACATAATCCTCGTTCGATTGAATGCAATATCTATTCCCGTGTTATTCTCAGTCACAAGACTTTTCCCGACCAAGTGAGCACTCACTTTCGCCAATAACGTTCGACGACAGCGATGCCTTCTAAGGTCTTTGGCTTAAAGTTTGGAGGGAGCCATCCAAGACTGCGAAAATGCTCCAGTCTGGCTCGAGTTTCCTCGCAAAGAATGGGATCAGTCCAGTATTGGTGCTCATCAGTTTGAGCTGGATGTACAGGCGTAGGTGCCATGGAGGAGGTCAGATACAAAGACCAGGGTGGAAAATTCGTGATATGGGAAACGACAACGTCAAGGTCGGCTTGAGGCGTGGGCAACGAGGATGAGAGAATGGGAGGTGCGATGACACCGGAAGGGAGGGAAGGCGAAGCATCTTATAGGCGCTCAAATGAACTGGGCGAAAAGGGAGGGGACTTAGATTCAGCCGAAGGGGAGCCATTTTCGGCGTCGTCTTGGTCGCCAGTGGAAACGAGGGGAACAACTGTGCAAGTCGAGCGTCAACATCAGGACCGGAGGATGACTAACAGTACTAGGTGGGTGCAGAATAGTGGTGTTACAGGGCAGTGGGCGGTCAAGGGGCGGCTGGACATTCAAAGTTACGGGTGGAAAGGAAGCCGTTTCTGGCGTCAAAAGTGGTCATTTTCGGCGTCATTTTCACAGGTCCTCATATTCTATATGACATCTTGATTGTAGAGACCTGGGAAACCAATGCATCTGTTTTCGGCGTTATTTTCTGGTGGTATCGTGCATTGTCTCCTTTTAAACTCTTCGACTGTTATTCACCTTCTTCACCCTAGTCAAACTTGACCACAACACCCCGCTCATTATCGTCAGAGCTGTCTCAGGGGTCTCAAAATAGTCTCAAAATGGCCCTAGGTTGAGAGATCCATGAAGCCTGATTTTAAGACGAGCAGAGTTCGATCTCCTCAATTGGGACATTTCCCATATCACCTAGGTTGGCGTCCGGGTGCTAGGTGACCTGGTTTGGCATGGCTACTGACAAGCCCTTGCTCGCTTGTGTTCTCTTTCACTTCCTCTCTCTCGCCCGTGTGTTGTTACTTTATATGAAGCGTGAATCTACTGTCTCCAGCATGTTCCGCTTCTTCTTCGTAGCTCGCTCTGTCATCACCTAATGGGAAATCTTGAAAACAAAGATCGATGGCACCATGAGAGCAAATTTCAGAGCTAGGCACTCGGGTAGAGCGTGGCGTGAAGTATCCAAGATTGAACTATGATGAACTGCTACCTAGATTTTCCAAGACCCCTCTCGATTAATTTATATAGTCAACAGACAGCTAGATGAGCTAGCATGAGGCATCGGCCGTATTACTGTCATTATACCATCATTACAACACGTGGGGGCTGTACCTCTGTCGGAAACATCCTGTAGACGCCATGGCTCCGATGCTTCCACATGATATAGATCAAACGTCATTGAATAGTGGGAGCTAATTGCGATGACGCTTCAACTCAAATGGATGAAGTGGGAAATTCGTTGCCAGGGCCACTGGGGACGAGAATATCATATCGTAGATAGGACAAAAGGGGCAATCACCAAAAGTAAGGGCGGGCAGAAAGTAGATGCAGCGCCCGTGTAAGTGTGATCGGTGGGTGTCGAGAGTGGGGTCGCGAGGGAGGTGGATTTCGTGAGGTGCAGAGAGACCGATGTCGTGCGCTGTGGATCGTATTGACTGGTCGCGATCGGCCTTCTGGCGGTGCCAAACACAACCGGCGTGCTGGTTGCTGCCTTGCTGAACGGTCTTATAGGACGGATGGCGGAACTGTACCCGTTGACAGGGCGGGACTGACTCGCCGAAGTGGGATGGGAAGACTCTTCGCAGTAAAAAAGGAACTGTTGGAATTCGGGAAGTTCTCCATTCCACGATCGGGATAAAGGGACCGAATCCACGCAGGCTCGACAGGCACGAACCAGAGTCAAAAAGGCCGAGTCCGAGTCGCAAAGATCATCGGTTTTGCCGCTCGACTCGGCTTCGAGCATTGCATTGTTGCACGCGACATAGCATTTTCCTGGTATTTTGATCGACCAGTCTCGCCTCCACCCCCGGCCGCGTCGTTCATATCGAATATATCATAGCCCAGACCGAATTCGGTGGGGTTCAAGTTGAAATAGCCGCGGGTGACGTTGTAGTGTTCTATCCGCTCGTATGACGCGGGGGGACCCGAGAGTACAGGAAGAGTCAGCGTGGGGCTTCGTATGCACTCTTCCGGTCGACAGTAGTACGTGTCTGCGGGCGGTCCAGCCTCAAAATTGCATTCTCCGTCCGCTGATTGTTTGGATGGGTTGCAGAGAAGACTAGGCGGACACCCCCAGGTATAGTTTTTCGGGAGGGGTGCCAAAGGCGTGAAGGTTGGGTTGATAATTCTGCTTGGGCAGATAGAGAGCGAAGGCGCTGACTCTGTTAGCTAGGTTTCTCCTCCCGGGGACTTGGCCTCTCCCACCTGATAGGGAAGTGGTCGGCAACGCCGACTCTCCGATCCCAGCCGTCTCTGTCACTTTCCCAGGGCTATTTCCCAGCAAAGAGGGCTCACCTGATGGGGTGACTGGTGTCTCCGTCGAGGCCGTGGTCGCCGATATCTGTGTCTTCGGGGCCCCCGATACAGCTTCCTGGGACGGATCCGTGGCCATTGTGGCCGGTGGGTCCCCTAGCTCCCCGATACTCGACCGGGTGCTCGTGTCCGCAGTGATGAAGCTTTGAGTCTCGAGCTCACTCCAGGTCTTTTGATTATCATTGGTGAAAACGGTTGTATAGCCTGGCTTGTTTCGGACCGCCTCACCTGCGGAAGCCTCCGCGTTTGTACTCAATCCTGTAGGGCTGTCCTCTAGAGATAAAGTCACATCAAGTGTCTCATAGACGATTCTGGTCACAGGTTGGACTGCATTACTGTAGTGATTAACAGTGACGGTAGTGAACCTGTCAGGAGACGAGTCCCCACTAAGGATAGCTGGAGTGCTGACTCTTGAATCTGTGTTTTCTGCTCTCGGAAGGGTTTCAGCAGATAGGATTGTTGAAATATTACCCAGTAGTACGATGCCTGGATCAGAGGAGGCTGATGATACATCCGCCACTGTAACGCTACTGGTAAGGACCGTGTTTCTCCAGTCCGTAGGCGTTGTTGCTCTGTCGGCGGTGACCACGCTGGGAACCACCGAGATGACGGTTTTCGTATTCGTGCCGGCTTCTGTGATCACTGATCCGACCGTGACGATGCTTGGAACTGTCGTATATCTCCAATCTGTCACTGTTGTTGGCCTGTCGGTGGTGACCACGCTGGGTACCACCGAGATGACGGTTTTCGCATTCGTGCCGGCTTCTGTGATCACTGATCCGACTGTGACGATGCTTGGAACTGTCGTATATCTCCAATCTGTCACTGTTGTCGGCCTGTCGGCGGTGACCACGCTGGGTACCACCGAGATGACGGTTTTCGTGATTGTATCGACTTCTGTGATCACTGATTCGACCGTGACGATGCTTTCAACTGTCGTGCTTCTCCAGTCTATCACTGTTGTCGGGCTATCGGTGGTGATCACGGTGGGTATTACCGAAACGACGGGGTTCGAATCCATAGCGGTTTCAGTGGTTATTGGCTCGATTGTGCTTGTTGTTGTCGCCATAGCGAAGGGCGAGGAGGTTGGCAGCGAGGAGGCTGATGTAATACTCACGTCGGTACTGACAAACGCCGTGGAAGAAGTTTCTGTGCAGGTACAGTCAGTCGTATCTGTCGATGTCGACGTAACCGTGATGGTGATTAAGTCCCTAGCAAGGCGCAATATAGAGCGCTTTGTGATTACCGCTACCCTCTCTTGTTGGCACCGTGGGACTGGTTGGTTTAGTGCAGGAGGAGCCGGGTCCGCGGCAATCAGAGCTCCTGAATACTGCAGTAACCCAAGCACGACCAGCACGAGTCGACGATGCATTTTGATTGATGGAAAAAGTAAAGAAAAGTCATTTGCGTGGCTACATATCTTTATACTAGATGATCCCACCATTGGCCCGGAGAGGTATGATGTGACCTGGGCCTTGGAAAGGGTTGAAAAATATCGGTTTCACACAAGAGTAGCGTCAACATCATAATAGGAAGACGTTATACCAACATAATGTCGGCGTGGGTGTTTACTTGGTTTACAGGGTCCCTGCTAATGTAGGTAGATCTAGATCTCTCTCACTCCTTCTTTCTTCAGGTCTGTGCATACATACTTTTTCCCGTCACATCACGGTCTCACAAGCTTCAGAGCATTTTTATGGAATGTGAGAACAGATCTCAGTCATCACCAGGGAATATGTCGATAGACACCAGGCCTAGCTTCATACTTGATATGGCTAATACCACCAGCCGTCCAAGATGTAAGAGGCTGGGGTACGGTGGCTTACATCTATGGATTATTTGGTTTACTCGCAGCCGAGGGTCACAGACTCTTTCACAAGACAGAAATTCGCATCTAGGCAGAGTAAAGACGAGTGTTGACAATTAACGCTTAAACATGCTCAGGTATGCTGCAATTGCAAAGGATACCAATCTTGCTGTCAATGCATTTCTAGACGACAAGGGAAGGTAAAGAGCGTGACCTGTAATGAAACCATATATTGCGATACATACCGGTGGATCCATTGTGGAGATTTGTATTTTTCTCCAACTCGGAGAAAAATTTGAAGAGACGGAGTGCTGATTGCGCATTGCGAGCCTTGCCTAGCATTGACAACCCTATATATGTCAGAATGAATGCTTTATACCACACCCTGGGTGCCATACCCTGTGTGGATGACAGTACGGCCAGGCTTTGTCTACCGTATCGGTTTCCTGATGCTATATACCACCGGGAGACTTTTACGTGATGGTCGTGTACTCTCCCGCTGAACGGCCTGGTGGCGGACGCCCCGCCGAATTGAATTCGGGCGTCTCGGCTCCGTTGGTCGCCCTTCTGTGGTGCGCTTATTGTAGCTAGTGGCAACTGATGCGGTAATATTTGGGGACGCACTCGCCGAAGTTGTCGGCTTCTGCGATTTCCCAGTCGACCGCGGCTTTTGCGGGCTCCCCAAATCCTCCCATATGGCGAATTCTGTGCTGGGGGTTGGTGTCATCTTGGTGCGGTATCAAAGCTGTTATGTGGGAATTGGAATATCCGTGGGCCTCAGAGACAGCGTGTTGAACAGTCAACAGGAGACGATGAGCGCAGAGAGCTAGAGGCCCACCTGGGCACTTGGGAGACTTTTATCTGTTTATATGTTTTGCCTTACTTTGCCTCGCACTTCCAAGGTTGTACCAAAATATCACAGGTCCCCCGTGGAAACAGAATCCTGGCAGATTTCCTTATTTGGGCCTACCTCCCGTTCGACTCAGGACCCCGATTTGAGTACTTCGCCCGGCGTATCGGGACATCAAGCTTATTTTGCTGCGGGCAAGGAAAACAAGTGAATTACCAAACGTCCAATGTGCCCGTCTTTCTATGACATATCGCAGAGCATGCCCCCATTCCCAACATTTGATCTCCATGATAAGCCAGCCCTGCAGTCTATAGGTTTTTATTGCCGTTACGATATGAGGGAGCATACTACATGGAAGCACAAATTGAGAAAACGATGGCTCAAAGAAGAAAAGACATCCGGGGCTTTCAATGCGCAAAGAGGGTACAAAGACGACAAGTGATTGAGATTGCGCAAACGAGCAATGAGTGAGGTTCCATAAAAAACAAGCGATAGCTCGCTCAATCATACTCAAATCTTCCTGGAGATTGGACATTCTCCCATATATTCGACAACCCCAAGGTTGAGACTTAGATTCTTTAGTGACGGTGAATTTATTGTGTTCGAACGAAAAAGCAAATCACAGATATTTTCCTGCAGCATAGGATGGCGTTAGGAAATAGGAGCAGCTGGCTTTTTAGATTTGTTGTATGATTAAGATCTCATTTATCAGGCAAGTGTTGCAAAGCGTTGGGAGACTCCGCTCAAAGCCAACATGTTTACCAAATTCTACTCCACCGCTTGTCGGTTAGATCATTACCCAACCAGAATCTTTCAGTCAATATATCGATTAAAAGTATACATTTAGCCCATCTGGGAAGAATCCCATAGAAAAGAAGAGCAGGTAGCATACTAGTCCACTTCCAGCGCTTATCATATTCAGCTGCTCGCACCACCCAACGAATAGGGGGACGTTTTGAGTGCACTCTCAGGAGCACGGGTCTATTCAGCAACACAGAAGCAAGAGCTGCCCCAGATGAGCACAACACGGGGGAAAGATCGGGAAGTCTCAGTTGGAAGTCAGGGATCAAAAGGCTTATCTCTGTGAACTAGGATCAACTGCCTGATAAATGACTAGTTAGCATAGCAGCTGATGAGATATTATTACAGCATGTCCTAGTGCCCAGCAGGCCCTTTCGATGTTTACTACATTGCTGCTCTGCATATTACACTGCTTTTCTCGCCGATTTTTGAAGGAGTATTTTTTTATAAATTGCCATTTCTTGATTTTTGTTGATTTATCTCTCTCGCCTCCTATTTCTACATCATTATTTATTAGTAGAATACAGTAGAGCCACCTATATATAATAGATAACGGGGGTTTACTACAAAATGAGATTTCGGCGAATGACAAACCCATTCATCGCCCAAACAACAGCCTGTAATTGGTCGATACTATACCAAACATCACGTAAACTAATCTACTCATAATACAACACATGACTAGGTTTCCCAAAGTATATCGCGTGACTATTTTCTAAGCGGGGGTCTGGGCCCTCTGGGGGACGGCAGCCCCCCCCCCGTGTTAACTAATTTCTAACTTCCGGTCCTTAAGACAGGGAGCCCAAGGGGCTTCTGCGGCCTGCCTCCCGATATCAATAGGATTCCCAATCATATTATTAAGTTTACCTCAGAGTGATTAACCTTGAAGAAAACCTACTAGATAGCTCACTCCGCGTGCCGCCAGATCCCTGGTATAGAACAGTGAGAGAATAAGAGGTAAGTAAATAACCATAACGAAAAAAAATTGAATAGAAATTAACTCTTAATTTAACTCTTAATTTTACATACACGGATACACAAGGTGGCAGAATCGCAATGTAGCAAAGTGGCGAAAAACGAAAGGGCCTACCGGGCACTAGGACATGCCGTAATAATAGTGGCATCAACCCGTGGACCCGTGGACATGGGGTCCTAATACAAAAACGACAAATGATGATCAATCCACTTTACTAGGGCGGGGTTAGGGGGATTAGGAATCCATAATATGGGACATCAAGCCTCGATTCACAACTTGCTCTGTACGAGATTCGAGGTCCGACTCCTCGGCACATGATTGGGAAAAATCACCAGCGCTTCTCTCTCTCCTTCCTTTCCCCCTTTACAATAGAAGTCAAAAACAGATTTCCCCCCGAGCCAACACACGCTGCTCCAGCGTTCCACTTGGGACGAACCAAGCCAAATTAGGCTAGCGAGGCCTTGTCGCTTGATGCTCGGGGCATAACGATTGGCTGTGCCAGCGACCTGAGACCGAGCTACGATATTCAAATCTAAGTCTCCAGGGCTTTCCGAGCATATGTGTCCCACCCACAGTTATTTTAGGTCCCACCCACAGTCTGAGCGTGCGATTAGGACGAAACGTGGGGCACTGTGGGTGGGCACCTGCTTTCTGGGGCTTTCCTCTACAGTGGGGCCCTGAGAAAGAAAGGGTATGTGTCTCAGGGAGATCTGTTTTCGTCTTTTACTATAGTAGTCCAACACATGACTCTTCTATTACCACAGGGTGCGCCAGTCACTCCTCAGATGCGGACAATGTGGCTTTGACTTTTCCACCATTATATTTTTCGATAGCGGAAAGGTCTAAGTAGATTTCCCGGGACACAAAATCGCAGACCAAACTCATGGCCTCCGAGATGATCGTAGATCTGCCTATCCGAGGTGGGTTTCGATCAATGCCCTTTCGACTGCGTGCTGCATCTGGTTGGTTCGGGAGAGCACGGAGTCTGCGATCTGAAAAGATAAACTTGGAACGATTCGAGATGGGGATACCCACTTGCCATACTAGAATAGTCAACACCCGTCCGGAGACGATCGGGCTCGTGCGCAGGACCGACACAAGCAGTGCTGGTTATTCTCTCCGAAATAGTCTTTTGCATAGAATACGGTAATCTCATCATCGGGTTGGATGTCTTTCAGGGCCACAATGATGGCCCTGCGCCCTTTAGCCCATATAATCTCGCAATTTGCGTGGCAGTCGTGGTTGACGAATCGAGCAGGGCCGAGAAACATTGCAAGGTCTTGACTGCAAGGTGACTGGAGGATGCTAAAGTCTTTACCCGCCTTTTCGAGTTGCAGCTGGTCTTCTGTTGTCAAAGGCACACAGATCCCGCTGAGGAACTGAATTGACTCCCCCGCTGTGAAGGCGCGCGTCGCAAAAACCGCAGCTTCAGGGTGCGTACTAGGAAGATGTTCAGACATGGCAATCTGAAAAGAACACTTGGGGTTGTAGATTTGAAGATAGCTTTTCAGCTGCGTGCTGAACCACTTGAATTGTGCGTCGGCGGTCCCGCTTACTGGAATAGACCCCTCCAAGCAAGCTATTTGTACGATGCGGCGATGGATTTGATGGATGTCAAATTGTCCCTCGGCGCCAAGGATCTTCGACAACACTCTCTTGCGGACGGGTCGACGCGGCAGATACGCTGTGGAACTCTTACGCGTCTCTGCCGGAAAGTTGACCTGTCGCAGCGTCATCCTGTCGATAAGTAGATCTAGCGCGATGTCATCCAGTTGCGCCAGCTTCGCCGGGCTGAGATGCCGAGGCTTGCTCTGGACTCTAGAGCAACGTCGGCTTGTGTCTTTCATCGCAGTCAAGGTCAATCAACTGGCAAGCCTGCGAAGACTTCCGACATAATATATCTTCGACCTTGCGGCCAGTCACACAAATAAGGATGAGAGCCAATTTAAGGAGTCCCTCAATGGAGAATAATAGCTCACTATGAGCGATGAGCTGATGCTGGATTAGTCCTCTCGCACTCAAAGGGCTTTGGGAAAAAATAACTGTTGTACGGAGTAGCTTGGGATTCCTCGCAAAATATGAGTGACGGAAAAGGCTCGCCAAGTGTCCCGTGAGGGTCAGTTGTTTTGAGAATGCCGTAAATAAACTTTGGACACTTTGCAATGCCTTGATTGAATAAACAATCCATTAACAAACAGGTCATAGATAGCAGTCCTCCACGTTTTACTCCCCCCCCAGGCCAATCTCTGGACCGAATCGCAACAAGTCCCTCCGCTTGGCCTTGTATAACCCTGTCGGGCTACTGAGAGCCACACTCGTCTACTTGTGACTCGGGGCAGAGTCAAGCATCGAAGCATATTGAAACATCTGTGTTAAACCCTTTTTAGCTGAAAATGGCTCCGCGAACCGTATCGCTAGGCATCTTTGGCTGCTGCTTCACCCATCATATGACGGAATATCGTGATCTGTGATCCCTGTACCGCTATATTTACCAACATCGGCGAACGCACAGCGCAGTTATCACAGATTAGAGGAGTCGAGCAGGCCGAGATAGTATACCTATTTTTTCAAGGTATCTTGTCAATCTATATGGATGTTCGTGCCATCGAGACGACAATTGAGTCTATGTCAGTCATAGAATTGTATGTAGTATCACCTCTCCCTTTATTTGATAAAGCAGAGGAAGGATTGGTTACGGAAGAAAACCATCATCAAGCATTTATACTTGGCCCAACAAATTATGGGCAAAGCCATGGAAAAAGAAATCCTGATTGTAGATTTGCAAGATTGTGCTGAGGAATCCTTGTCGGATACTATCTACCGTTTTCACTGCCACTTTCCCTTGGCCCTGATTACTCAAGGATTCTAATTCCAAGGTTGCTGCGACCCATTCCCGTACGATTCAAGGCTATTGGGCATACCACTCGACTCCGTGGACACGTCCTTCGTCAAGCGGCGCAAGTAAGGCAAACAGATGCCGCGACAAATCGAGAGATTGGTTGTCGCATCCCATGCATTTGTCAACCACAGTGCCCCGGAAGTCAGTTCCGTGGAACTTGATGATAACAGTCCGCCCACAGTCATCGTCCGTCATGATCCCTTGCGGCAAGGCCACAACATCCTCGGAGCTTCCATCGTTGGTGGTGCCACACGAGCTGGGATTGAGTACGCTGGTGGCAGTGTCATAATATGTGGCGCTGCCATTGCACATGGCATTACGCCCACAACACCCTGCATATGCATCACTATCACCAGCCATTGGCAGGTTGGTATTGGTGGGCGAAATGTCCGAAGAAGACTTGCTCACTGATATGGACGGGTCCGCAGGGACGACAAGTGGGACCGACGACGTAGCTATCCTTTCCAAACCCCACACGCTCGGACTTGTCGAACAGGATGCCGACGATGTGCACGGGGAATGGCCGGTCATGCTCTCGGGAAGACTGCGACATCCCTCGGTAGGGGTTGCTCTTATCTGTGTGATGAGTTGAAAGCCGGCCAGGAGAACATTGGCGCGGAAGCGCTGGAAAGCAGGCATAATCCAGCTGGACGAGACAGCCTCTGTCAGAGCTAGGCTCGAACAATCAACTTTATGCCTTTGGCATGACCTCGCTCTTTCACCGTGGAATGAATCCACATTTGGCACTTATCTTGCTAGGGTGGCGTCGATAGAACCCCGGCTATAGACCTAACTTCAAGAAAGATTGTCAGGGATTTGAGAGCAGTTGTTCCATTAGCCAAATCGATTATAGGGAACGTTCTAAGATTCATTTGCAAAAACTAGTCCAGAAAATGGAAACATTTATCACTTAAACAAAAAAAGACCCTGTTTCCAGGTTCGTCCTGGGAGAAAGGATATGTCATTGACGATATCGTTTTGGCGACAGGTCGGTGTAAATCAATACTACTACTACCGCTGTAAGCAACTCTTTGCTGCCTTGAAGATTTGAACTGTCAATCGTGAACATAGAATTTGTTGAAAGATATTCATTGACACTTCCAGCGCTAGGGATTGCTAAATTTGCCATCAAAGTGGTTTCCAGCCAAGTACTCGACCGGTTTGCAGATATATTTGTGGCCGAAGAGGCGTCTGGTTTCAAATGGCACTCGGGGTGAAATTGGTCCTAGGTATTAATCTATACATGAAACCGTTCCTCGTGGTGAGGAAATCACATGTGTGAACGAGTCAGCCTCCTGACTTCGACAGGATTATTTACGTGTCTCGATCACCACACCCAAAAATGCCACTGCCGATTGCGCTATTTCCCAATCCATGGATACATCGTACCATCTCGACCATATTCTGTTCTGTGCGGCGAACAAATATAACTGCAGCCAGACGCTCAAGAGAAGTTTACAACCCTTTTAAGCAAAGAACGATCCGGGGAACTGAGCTGCGTAGAATGCGGGTAACTATTCATCGGTTGTGCGTCTGCTGTGCGGATCAAAACACTCGGATTTCCAGAGCTCGATTCTTTACCGAGGATCCCGGGTCCTGCTACGTTGCAGCTTGGTCCCATATGCTTCCATGCAAGAGGAAGATCAATGTTCACACTCTCTGCGATGGCTGCCTGGGGAAGGAAAAGGGGCTCTCCAGACATGAAGCTGATATCATTGGAAAACGAAGAGCCCAGTTCGAATTCAATGACCGAGCTACCTGGATTCGACGGGAGTGGCATTTCTGGATGGTCAGCTCGGAATGGCAGAGTCTAGAAACGAGATTAAAACGCGATGACCATCTGAGACTTGAAGTGGGCCTTCGCGCTACACTTCAATAGGGAGAGTCGAGCGGTCCGCCAGATCATCACCATGCGCGATTGAGGCTAAGAGAGATATGGTCCTTGCGGTTGATGAAAATGTCACCTTTCAAGGTCAGGTTCCAAGGTTGCAGAGCGGCTAAAGGTGTCAAGTGAGCGATTGTCTATGGAGCCTGGAAGTCGAAGGTCGAGTCGCGGGAATATACCACTGGGGCGAGAACATCATTTGGTTTTCTTTCTATGATACAGTGCAGACTGTTAGACTATCATTTCCTTCCATGTCAGAAACACAGAAATGCTGTTTCAAACCTTAGTCACATGGAACGCTAAACCTCCAGGGCTTACATGGCGAACCCTGTGTTTCACATTTTGTCTAGGGCTTTCTTGCATGGTAACAAGAATAAAAGCAATAAACAGTATACATATATAATGTTACACGTCTTAAAAATTCTTTTCTCGATATCCAGAAGTAACAGACCAATTTTGAATTTATTCACTCTCAATCCTCCCAGTGTTGCAATTCTACTAAAAATCATCGTTTCTAAACTTCCGACTCCTCGTATTCTACCTCTTGCTCTTTCAAGCATGAAATCTATTCATCACCAAGCGCACAGGCGCTTTGTTATTACATCGGTCCGTTATCAGTACGAAATCGGGTTTCGTCTGGACGAGCTTCGTGAGAGAGCGTGTAGATCCACAAAGGCCTTGTAATAAGATCTCCGATTTCTTGATGGGTTACCTAGTGTAGTGGAAGAATCGCGAACATTATCAGCCCTAGAGCTCTGAGGGTGAGCAATGCTTAGTCAAGATATAGTTATGTATGCGTCATCATGTAGAATTTGGAATCCACACTCCTTTTGCTCCCAGATTTACGGTCTCCAGGACGAGGATTATCAATATCCATGGATTAATTTTTTTAATTCTGCCCATTGATGCTCCTGATGTCCCCTCGTTGATCTTGCGGCGACGTCAGACCGCCAACGCATTTTTCTCTCTCTTCACTGGGTAATTTACCGAGATTTAAGTTCCGAAACCACGAAGCTCGTGAGCCAATTCTTGTCTGGACCAAAAATGTCCCATGACGATATATCAACCAGGACACATTCAAGTAGATGAAGCGACCGAAATGTAATCGCATCGATGATTCAAGTACGTGCACTCCCAATAAGGGGGGGATAGAGTAGCTCCAGTTTCTCGAGCCTTTCTTTCATCTGAAGAAGTTCTCAGTCGATTTCTATTATCAAAAAATGGATGAGTAAACGGCTTTACCCTTAATCCTTCGGATAAGGATATCTGTGCCCTGCAGCATTTGCTCCCATAGACGCTGATATTCCTCGAGTTTGCTGAGCGGCTTGGAACCTATCTTCTCCTGTGGCGTTTTAGGCTGAGTTTGGTCTTTCATAATGACAGAAGGAATGGAGTCAGTTATTCAATAATAGCATGTAAAGGTGAAAAGAGTGGTAGTTAGAGAGGAAGACTTAGACTCAGCTCTGGAGAGGAATTTATAATGTATCAGAAATGCCAAGAGATAAGTTCAACAATGCAGAACTCTGATCTGGCGCACAAAAGCACGGGTGCAGAGCCATCTCTTAGGGAGGAGTCATGCACATCGTGAAAAATTATCGGTATATTTCAAACGCGGCATCTGCGATTTCGTGATGCTGTGAAAGATTGGAATATCTATCCAGTTGATTTTGATCAAATTAAACATCGATTGAATGAATTGACAAAGCCGGAAATCAATCTGAAAGATCCAGAAAGATTACTTCCTCCAAATCAACCATTACGCAAGCAAAATTGACCCAATGAACTCAGGCTCATCAAGTGTCAAAAGGACCTCTCTACGAAGGGAGAAACGATTCAATAAAAACCACGAAAAGTTTGCGATTTTTTTGACAAGAACAATCGATCATTCTGAGCACGAAGCAGCTAGATGTCTGCGCATTTCATCTCGTTTGATGGAGCACCATCGCGCCGACCGATACACAATTGCCAAATTGAGCGATGAAAACGCAAATTTGAAGCGGTCTATGAAGCATTCATCGCACGCCCGACGTCAAAAACCGCAAATGCCAAACATCAGATACGCCAAACTCTCAACTCTCAGTGGCAGGCCTCTGATGGACATGTCAAAATCAACTCGATCAATAGCAACAAGAAAACCTAGAGACGAGGGTGCAATAAATGCAAGGAGTATCGGGTTGAGAAGGAACAGGGAGGTGCCCCCCCCCCCAGATTTGGCAAATACGGAAAACCACCCTTCGCCAGGTGCGCAAGTGCGCGCCCTTCCAAGTGGTGCTACTTACTTGGACAAACATGGTAAATTGGGGTAGATAGAGATCGAAGTTTGCTGAAATCAGAATGAATGCGTGATGGGAAGAACTCTGTGGCGGACCCATATGGCCCAGAAGGTCGTGTGGGTCAGCAGGAAGCAAAGCTGGAGGGGGCAGATATACTACAACATGGTACATCATAATATTACAGCAAGAGACGATGATTCCAAGGCCGGAGAGCCAGGAAACTACGATCACTCAAGAGACCCTATTGGAATCACAAAACTTTCCAGAGCGTATTGCAGTCAGAGATTGCATGATTAACTGGGGTGAACTCATGGGCAGAAAGCAATTGATTCTACAAGAAAACTTAATATACGCTTACCGAGTAATATCCCTTTAAAGTGACTCTCCTTACCGTCAGAATTCTAAAGTCTAGAGATCCCGGGTTTTGGCCCTCTTCAGCCTAGATGAATATCCTCAGGCAAATCGTTGTATAGCTGATAATCAAACTCAACACTCCACTCCAAGACAAGGTATTTCACAAGAGCGATAATAGTCATTGAATCAAGGGTTGAAGAACAGGGATTTCCATGTCGCCAGAAGATTGTCTTGTCAAGATCGCTCATTGTATCATTCTGCAAGACCACTGCTATGTCGGTGACGATTCTGACGACATCTGCTGAGTTTCCTTGGCTGGCCAGCACAGCGCTTTCAGCCATATCCGCCATGGTCTCTCTCACAAACTGGGAATTCCACCCTCTAGCGACCAATCTTTCAGGCCACTTTGTGACTGCTTCGCGAAGCGTCAGAGCCAGACGGCGACGGTACCGTGCCATCCTCTCTTTTCCAAACGCAACCAGAATGTCACGGAGCCCTCGGTGCAGAGACCATGACAGAAATGTCCACGAAAGATTGTCCAAAGCTTCATTGAGGACAGTGGATTCTTTCTCTGGGATGTACAGAGTCACATCCCCTCCTCCATCATGCTTGTTAGGCAAACGTAGCACTACCATGCCTTCCGGAGGCTCTACCTCTGCATTCATCGCTTTCGGGCGCAAGAAGCTTACCTCGTTGACGTTTCCACCGATCATGTGGTAAAGATGCCTCCCACTGTGCGCACCTCCAAATCCTCGGGGTTCATATTCAAGCACCCATTTACCGGATGATTTGCGTCCTGGGAAGCCACATCTAAAGCCCCTCACTGATCGTGATTCGACAACTCCAGCCAACATTTGCAAACACGCATCAACGCGTTGCTCGAATGCTTCCGGATATGGATCTTTGCATAGTGTATGAGAGTCATGCACACCAAGTCGAGCAAATGCAGGCCCCCCGATGCGCCATTCCAAGTACCATCGTCCGCAGTAGGACGGGAATGATGCTCGGTATCCAGAGGAATCCGAATAAGAAATCACCTGGCGGGAATTAGTGAGGCAAAGCAAGGTTATGAAGGTCGGGCGGGAGATTTTGACGACAGTTGTCGAATTATGCTTTTGGAGAGGACGGAGCGGTAAGGTAGACCAGCTATTTTTGAGAATGAGCGCTTCAGAATCGCTTGCGTGGGGTGTTCTCTGGCCAGCATCAACCATGTCGCTCTGTGGGAGCGACCTAAACGACTTTTGTCCATGGGAATTGATTGGAAGGGTCGGATGAACCAGTGCCAGCAAAAGTGACCACGCGGTCTGTCCTGGTGAGGCTGATAATGGCAAGCGACTGAGATACACCACAGGCCGCCCGCAAAAGCCGTGTGAGAGGTTCGCACCGATAACAGGCCCCACAGGGGGGCGGTTGAACCATACGGTACCATGGAGTCGAAGGCTGTCGGTGGGACCAAACTCCTAAATGCCTATCGCCCCGTAGGGGATAAAATAGATCTTTCCTCATGAGAGTGCTAAGCCGAGTAGTGAATGATCCAAGTGCGACTAGTGCTATAGCTATGACAAGCCATAGAGCTATCATCATTGGATCATTTGTGTGGGGCCGAGTTGAAAACATTCCAAGTCTCCATTCATGAGCTGTGAAAGAAACGACAGGCTTTCAGAGGGAACGGAACATTAATATGATACAAACTAATGCCTCTTTTATCAGAATGAGAACTGTCTCATGAGGCGGTGGATATTTTCGGTAGCTAGTGAGAAACGGCCAGAAGACTATCTAATTCGAGACATGACTTTATTTCCACTGATTCGGGCTGTACGAGTGGAAGTCATGTAGACCCTTATGGATGTTCACTTCTTCTCTGCCATTCTAATTGGATTCATTACTTTATAGATTCAATTTAAAGGGTGGAAATATTCATGTTCCTAAAAATGCAGGTGATATTGTTCAAATTAATTCTATTCAAGTACCGTGGTTCATGTATTTATGTGCTATTGGTGATTTATGAATGAAAAAAAAACTTCTTATTATTGTAATCATCATGCATGTTACAGTAAACATTGTATAGACTAATGAAGTGAGAAGAGCTCGTTGGCCGTCTGACATCGCAGACAAGACGACGAGGGTGCTCAGTGCTTCGATGGTGATCATGGGAGTCCCCAGAATGCCGGAACAGGAAATAGATGATGTTCTTGAGAGAGGTGAAGAATGCTCGGATTGGGGCTAGAAATATCCCTAGAACGCAGATGAGAGATGTGCCGCGGTTTCTCCATCACACGAAGTAAAACGTAATATTAAAAGAACATTAATATTGTGGAATTCTTCAATGCCTTCCATTTAAGGTGATGCAGAATCCTGAAAAGATAAACCGCATGGTATTAGGACATCTAATTTTAACTGGTTTATATAAGGTTTGTGAAAACATATTTTCTATTGTTCTTTATTGTTTCTTTTTGTTTATTTTTTTGTTTTTTCTATTGCTGTAATCTATGTTTACTATATCTACTCTTATATACATATAATAACAGTGTATTTTGACTAGTAATATACTATATATCAGACCAGTAACACTCAATACCTAGGTATTATTAATGTGGTAATGAATGTCGATATATGTGACATTCATGTTATGTGATGAATTAAGGGGAATCTATGGAGTATGTATATATTGTAGTGAGGAAACCGCGCCACATCTCATGTGCGGCCCTGTGGCTAGTTTTGGCATTTTTAGCTCTCGTTTTATTAGTTTAGCAATTCATGCGATTTAAGCCTCTCGAAAGAACAGCATCTGTTTCTTATTTCGGTAGCCAGGGGGACGATTTTGCTCCCTCGTATCCCAATTGAGCACTGAGCACCCCATCGTCTCCAGGGCTTGTCTGCGATGTCAGACCGCTTACGCGCTCTCCCTACTTCAATATATATATATATATATATTCATATTCATGAAAACCCTTTGTTTTTAATTTTGTATCCATTGCACACCTTAACTCGGACAAATATTCGACTTTCATTATATTCGGTCAGGGACCAATGAATTTGGGATTCCTGTGTCAAAGCGGGTCAAAGAACAAAGAAGTCAAAGTGTAAAAGAACTATCACGTCATGTCCCATGTCTCGTGCTGCATATTGTTTGTCAACCCAGTTTCCAAATATAGTGCTCCCCAAAGCGAAGTAAAAACAAACGAGAGGTTAAACTGATTTTGAGTGGCTTTGTATACATATGGAGTTGATATTTTACTTGATATAACGAGGACTGGCTTCTGAGCTTGTGTGCAGCTGTACAACTCGCAGGATCAGGTTTCTATCATCCGGGTCGTGCTTCTGTTGGAGTGTACGCAGTTGACAGTCCATTACCCAACACCTGCCAACTCAATCTGCACTTCACACTGTTGTCAGGGCATAAGTATTTGACATCGGCAAGCGCGCAACTGGCTAGCTCCACCAATGCCAAATCAGAGACGCTCGCGTAGAACACATGGATCTCAAGCGAGGAAACTCGACTCCTTTGTAGTTTTGTGGACTGAATCGCTTGGAAGATTGCTTCCAGATGGACTGCAAACAAATAACCCCATTCCATGAAACCCCAGATACTGAACCAAGGGAGCTGGCTCTTGTCAGGCTCACTGAAAGATAGCCCAATCGTGACCAACCGCGCGAGGCGCTGAGCACTTTGACTCAGGACCCGTATGTCACCTCGGTTGAGGAGAGCCTCCTGCTGACTTTTAATGACATCCACAAATACAAGATGAATCAATCTGTAGGAGAACGATCCCTCGCGAAATCCCCATTTGAATACCCTCTGGTCTCGGGAATACACCTGTGGGGTGTACATGCAAGCCGTGAAGTGGTCCCCCTGCCGCACCACTGAATTTTAGACATCAGACGGTGCAAATGCTCGACAGGAACGACATAAGTGGGTCGAGAATCTCCGAGGTATCGTAGCAAAGCACCTGTGCATAGGATGCTAAAGTAGAACAAGAGAAAGCATACAGACGAGTCAAACCACCAAGCGAGAAAGAGACACGGATAGTGTCAAAAAGTATCGGTACACTTATAGCGCGGAAACTGCGATTGACTAAATAGACTTCTTTGAAGCCAGGTGAATGCAGGTTTGGGCAGATAGAATTCAGTATCTCGGATGGTAGGTAATAAGACTGACCCGAAGACATATCTGTCAGTTCCCATGGGTAGAATGAGTTCAAGCACTACAAGGCAGGAAAGATACCAGGTAAAAGAATCTATCTGTGCCTCGTTCTGAACAATCTCTCGGAGGTGGGAGCGTTACAAAACACGCTCGTATTGTCGGCACGGGCGTTTGCCTAGTTTGCAGTGTCCCCGCTGGTGTAGATAGATCCAGATCTCATGCTCTCTGTCTTTCTCCTTCGTTCCTCAGCTCTCAAATTCCATACTGATTTCCCGTCACGTATATACTGAGCACGTCTTAGAAACAGCCCACTCCTATAACAAAGCAACGCGGTCTAATGACGTATACCCTTTTTGATTCGTTCATAAGTGGTCAGGCGACGTCAAGAGATTGGAGGCCAACCTTGTTGTTGGGAAATCCGGATGCAGCTGACGGATTGTGACGGAGACTAGCGGAGTCAACGGTGTCTGGAGATGGCGATCCAGTCCAAGGAAGCAGTGACGGACACAGGGTCTAGCACTTTTGATGATTGGGTTTGGCTTTGGACTAGTCTTGCAAACATAAGAGAGATGGGCGCTGCCAATGAGAATAGCGACAGTATGTTCAGTCCGAGCAGAGACATTCCTAATCCTTTGCACGCTGCATCGGCGGGAGAACCTCAAAGTGTGGATTGCTCGGAGGATTTTACCGGCGGCTCGCGAGTATATTCGCGATAAAGAGGTCCAGATTTCTTCGTCCACAATGTCCAAAAAGGCTCAGTCAGCCGAGAAGCATCTACACCAGAACCAGGTGACCCAATTTTGGAACTACCTCTTTCTTATGCTCGAACCTTTGTCTTCAATACGAATGACTCGGCGGGATCCAATACTGGCCAGTATATAACCACCAAAAAAGAAACGGGGACCAGTGATAGTCTTTTCGAACACGCTGGTCAATACAGTTACCAGAGATCCAGTGAATCGCAAAAGTCAATGGAGGGGAGAGTACATTGATTCAATCCCGAGATATGAAAGCCGGTTAGTCCTATATATAAACCGTACAGCGGGGACACCGAATTTGGGAGACTGTACGTAACCCGACTACATCAAATATAGATCCTCGACCTCCGCGGTCATTTAAGAGAAGATAGCCTGCTATATGAATACGACTCAGTGACAGTTTAGAAGGCCTTTCTGATGCTATTCTCTATTCCTTTGTACTTGTGCATCGTGCAGCTCGCCAGTGCTCACAACCCTGCCTTGGGTGATCCCAATATAACCCGAATTGAGACCCGTGATACTGACACCTTTCGCTCAGTGGCCTACTTTGTCAACTGGGTATGTCGGCTTTTGATGAGTCATAGAAAGCTGTCTTAAAATTAACGACTGTATCCAGGGCATTTATGCTCGTAACTTCCAACCTCAGGATATTCCTGCTGAACAACTAACGCATATTCTTTATGCATTTGCTAATGTTCAGGCTTCTGGTGACGTAGTTCTGTCTGACACCTGGGCAGACACAGACAAGCACTATTCCACTGATTCCTGGTCCGATACCGGAAGCAATATATACGGCTGTATTAAGCAGCTTTTCCTACTGAAGAAGAAGAACCGAAAACTCAAAGTTCTTTTGTCGATTGGAGGGTGGAGTTATTCTTCCAACCTCAGAACAGCCTTCAAGACCCAGGCAGGACGGCAAAGGTTCGCTGATAGTTCCACAGAACTGCTGAAAAACCTCGGCTTTGACGGTATTGATATTGATTTTGAAGTGGGTGTGTGATTTTGTCTCGAGGCGTTTGACACTAATATGAGATAGTACCCTGCGAATGATACCGAGGCAAGCCAGTTTGTTGAGACACTGAGCCGTCTTCGTGAGGTAATTTCGTGTTTTACGTTTCCCCAACTCTGCTGATCTGAGGTCTTCCAGGCACTTGATTCCTACAGCGCAGCCGAGGCTGATAACTACCACTTTTTGATCACCGCGGCATCTCCAGCTGGTTCGATTTGTTTCCCCTTGACCACTTAATGGAATTCGCTAATCTAGGTTCTAGGCCCCGCAAATTACAAAAAGGAGCATCTCGCGATGATGGATCAACATCTTGACTTTTGGAATCTGATGGCTTACGATTACGCAGGAAGCTGGGACGCCGTTGTTAGCCACGACGCCAACCTTTACTCGTCTGATAGCAACCCAAAGAGCACCCCGTTCAACACAGACCAAGCGATCGAGTACTACACCTCTCATGGTGTGTCTTCCAACAAGATTGTGATGGGTATGCCTCTCTACGGCAGGGCTTTCACTAACACCGCTGGTCCTGGTCAATCCTACAATGGCGTTGGTGTTGGTAGCTGGGACAATGGTGTATGGGACAATAAAGCTCTACCCCAGCCCAGCTGCGCCGTGACAAATTTAGATCAGGAAGTTGCTAGCTACTGTTACAACTCTGAATCGCGATTGCTGGTCAGTTATGATACCCCTGAGATCGCACGGAAAAAAGGAGAATATATCAAATCCAAGGGTCTTGCGGGTGGAATGTGGTGGGAGCTCAGTGGCGACAAATCGGGCAATGACAGTCTTATTGCCACGGTACGTCTGCCCAGGTGATTCATATGTGATGTTGAATGGTGTGACTAATCACAACCAATTTAGGTTGTCGATACCATAGGAGGCATTGGGGTTTTGGACAAGAGCGAAAATCATCTTAGCTACCCTGCCTCCAAATATGACAATTTGAAAGCCGGGCTTTAACATTCAAACATTTGTTGTGCTTATGAGTTGAGTGTTGTGATACCGCACTGGTGCTGATCAGGTGTGTGAAAATCTCACTGCGGAGTTCGAAATCTCTCTCTATCTCTTTTCATTATTTCTTGCCTCGATCAAGGATTTGCTAATACATACATTCTAGTTTTCTCTGAATACCACCCATCTTGACCCTTTTGCCTTGCTCCCAAGGCTTACATATTGTGGACCTACGAGCTCACGCTTTTAGTACAACCATCTAGCTGGTGAAGTGGGGGAGCATGGTCTCCCTCTCGTTGCTGCCATATTGCCTCCTTTTTCTTGTTATTTGATAATATTATCACTTTATCAGCTATAGAGTTGCTGTTCTGTGTGTAAATCTATCCTAGTATAGAGAATCAAACCCAGTCATTACCCCCTTTCGACCTGGGCTTCCCGGATCTTGTCCTACAACATACCCGGATTTGGAATCTCTTGTTGCTACGCGATTGTATGAGCCTGTGTATTCCTTTTTCAATTAGACATTCACGCGCGAGCGAATGAATTTCAACTTGATATATTGACAACATCAATCCGTAAGAAGATTTTCATTTCTGAAGATATTTCGGAATTCCTAAGTTTTATTGATCATGATCTTTAGTGATGAATGAACCGGCTAACTAGTGTAGTAAAGGCGCATGCCCACCCTATTACCTGGGTATTTCTGCCCGAGCGCCTTCTTTTAGTGCATTATTTCTGAGGCCATTGCTGTGTCATTTGCTGCATCTTTGTCAGTCATCAAATTGAACGCTACTATAGTCCTAGTCCGTTTCTTTGATTTATCATGTGGCTCCAGGCTCGTTCAGGTAGTGCTCAAAAGCAACAGAGGGGAGGACCATGTTCCCATTTGTACTCCTTGATTTACTTCCCTCCTGGGATGACGAAGACTTTTTCTTCTCTCTGTCCATAACACGGCTAGAGGATCTCTCGAATCTACTATTCTTGGAGAGTGCTCATAGGTCTCTAATAATGAAATGTTCTCATTTGACTGTAGTCACTAGATCTGGTAAAAGAAGCACAATCGTAGTACTCTTTGATCTCGTAGCACATGTCTAGACTTGGAAATTCTGTCGTGATATCGATCGATAGCAGTGTATACCACTGGCTATTAAAATGTTGTAATAAAAAAGATTTATCCACTGAATGGTTCCACCCCAGGTCATACTGCTACAAATAGGTAGCTTGAGATGGCCTCATTTCAATTTCCTCCACTCATTACTTTCCATCGCTACATCAATTTCTCAAACATTTCGCGCACCATCCACTAATTCGGTCATGCTTTATTTTCCTCGAGTGACCTTCATCTGACCCGAAAATGATCAAAGCATTGGTGCTTTGGATGAAGAGGAAGATGGGAAGTGCCACAGGCAAACAAAATATCATTACTGCAGTGAGCTCACTCCAGGATTGATTGAAATTTATCTCGCAAGCAGACTTGTGTAATAATTTGGTTTTATCAGGACACTCCCCGAGACCAAGCACAAATTTCATGCCTCAGCCGTGGCCCCAGAGAAAGAAGTTCACCATGCGACGAGGTTCCCCCTCCAGGCTTGTCCAAGAATGACACTACGGTCCTGGCCAAGGTCAAGCGCAGGGCTTATATGTTAGACTATGCCCTGTTCAACCTATGTGGAATCCATTTTGGTTGGGGTAGTGTCATTGGACTCGTGCCATTGTAAGTTGATGTATCAATTCTTGAATTGTGGAGTGCAATACCAACCATGAATACCGTTCAGAATCGGTGATTTTAGCGATTTTCTTCTGGCGACGATGGTCGTGAGAACTTGCGGAAAAATCGACGGTGGACTTCCCATAGCTCTGCGTTTGAAGATGATAGGCAATATAGGATTGGACCTCATCATTGGACTGATCCCTTTCATTGGTGATCTTGCTGATGCGATTTACAAGGCCAACACGAGAAATGCGCACCTTCTTGAAGCCTACTTGCGTGAAAAGGTCTCCGAAACCGCCTAGGAACAAAGTACATAGTTGGAGCAAAGAGCTGACCTTAACACCGTCTCTGTATATACATACCAGGCACGATAGGAAAGATGTACGAGTATCATGTCCTGGGTCACAAACCATCCCAGCCCTGAGGCTTCTCTCAGAACAGAGTTTGATTGAATTTCTTGAAGATACCATCACTTTAACGAATGCTTTAGTGTAGCAGCCAACTCTGAGGAGAATATAAAGAGCTTGGCGACCGGCTGATGTACAGTCACTAGCGAAATCAGCTTCCGCCCTAACGCTTGCTTTTCTTTTCTCGGGACCCACTGCCAAAGTACTAGCGCCATAATCTTATTCAACAGACATCAATAAAAAACCCCTGCTGGATGTATCGAGTTGTAATTTACAGCGAAATAACTATTTCAAATGAACTCAACATTTGAAGGCATGGTTTTTGGTTCGATTGTGCTCAATATTGTATAGTCACGTGACCAATTACCTTCTCGCAAGGCGACTGGCTAGGAAAGATCCATCAATAGTTGCCGCCCTCAAGTCACTGCTTCCATGAATAATTATCCGTTAAACCACATCAAATTAATAAATGGCAGGTTACGTCCCAGTAAAGTCATTTTTTCCCTTCCATCTAATTCGAAGAGTATTTTTATTCCCGCTGTTATGTGCGGTCTTGACTTAGTCCAAGGACGCATAGTTGGTTGTGATCGCCCTCATGATTCGAAGATTAGATGCTGATGTTTTCCTTGATCACGGAATAGTGAGTCTTTGTCCCCGACGATATCATATGATAACTACAGTATTCTGGTTTGATGGTGCGGATCATGGTATTTCCATACCGACAAACAACACATGATCTTCTGAGAGAGGTCAAGGCGGGGTTGATTTGTTACTAGTGCCCCTTTCGATGGAAGTGGGTCCACGTAACTTCGCCTTGAGGTGGTTTCGGTGCGGCGCGCCCCGTTGCCAATACCGCAGAACAGACTTCCCCAGGGATGGGATATCATGGAAGGTCAAGATATCTCTGCCAACAACCGTCAACTGCTTCACATGATGAATTGGGCAAGATGCGTGCATTTCAAGGATGATCTTGTCATTTCTTAGCTTCGATGGGGTGGAGAAGACGGCTCTGCCAATAGCATCTCTTCTCTTACCGCTCGCTACTGCACGACGTGTACATCATGAGGCTGAGCCTCCCCGGTTGGCAAAAACTTTTCTTCTATCTCACAGGGCTTCTTTCCTTCTCTTGAGCCTCCTCCGCTCTCCTTTGCCCATAGTGGCATATGTTGTCCCCAAGAGTTAGCCCTCTATTGCAAACCAGGCGTCAGAACTTTCGAAAGGCCACGCGGGTAACTGAATTCAGGCTTTTTCTCTCGGGTTGAAGCCATGTCAGACCCTAGAAACTACACTGTGGGCTGGATTTGCGCCTTACCCGTGGAATACGTTTCCGCACAAGTATTCCTCGATGAGGAGCACGACAAACCCCGCTTTGTGTCGCCAAATGATACCAACGACTATACATTGGGCAAGATGGGAGAACACAACGTTGTCATCGCCGTCTTACCCGATGGTGAATATGGAACAGCTTCTGCCGCCAGTGTAGCGACAAACATGCTCAACAGTTTTCACAACGTCAGGATCGGCCTCATGGTTGGGATTGGCGGGGGTGTACCAAGCGAGAGCCATGATATTCGGCTGGGCGATGTTGTGGTCAGTGCGCCTCGCGATGGCGAGAGTGGTGTGTTTCAATACGATTTTGGCAAGTCGATCCAGGACCAAAGATTTCAGCACACACGGTTCTTAAACCAGCCACCAGCTATTTTGCGCGCTGCAATGGCGGGTATCCGAACTCAATATGAGATAAAAGGGCATCAGCTTGAGGAGGCCATCAACGGCATTTTTGGGAAGAATATAAGACTTCGTCGGAAGTACAAACGGCCAGAACCAATCACGGATAGGCTATTTCTCCCCGAAGTTATCCATCACCAAGCTGACTGTGCTATGTGTGCGGTTGATCTTTCCACGTTAGTACTACGAAGCGAGCGGGCTGATGACGAGGATAACCCTGCCATTCACTATGGCCTGATTGCTTCTGGCAATCAGCTGATGAAGGATGCTTTGATTCGAGATCGGCTTGCCGCGGAGAAAAACGCCCTCTGTTTCGAAATGGAAGCCGCGGGGCTGATGAATACTTTTCCATGCCTGGTCATCAGGGGTATCTGCGATTACTCGGACTCACATAAGAACAAAGAGTGGCAAGGGCATGCAGCTATGGTGGCAGCTGCATATACGAAGGATCTCCTACAGAGAATTCCTCTCAACAGAATTGAAGCCGAGGAGAGGATAAGTGCTGTTGTGTCTGGTTAGTCTAGCGCAGTCTTTCAATGATTTTGTCAGCAGATATTGACTTTGACATTACTCAGAGGAGCTGAAAGGCATCCAACATCGCTTAGATCAAGCATACAGTCAAAACGAACGGCACTTTAGTGAACAGAAAGCAAGAGTCTTAACGGATCAACAGCGTCGTTGTTATCAAGTGTTCAAGGTCGTCAACTACGTGGAGCAAAAGAACATAAACCCTATACGGGCTGAGGGAACCTGTCGATGGGCTTTCCAGAGCTCTGAATACATCCGTTGGTGGGAGAGCAACTGCAACGACCTTCTCTGGGTGTCAGCTGACCCAGGCTGTGGCAAGTCTGTCCTCGCCAGATCGATAATTGATGGTTACTCAGAGACCTCTCATCCAACTGTGAGAATATGTTACTTTTTTTTCAAGGACAATGATGACCAGAACAATCTTGCCAAGGCATTATGTTCGGTACTTCACCAGCTCTTCAGCCAGCAGTCTGATCTATTGGCATATGCCATTCCGTCCTGGGAAAAGAATGGGGGGACGCTTCCACAAGAAGTTGACGAGCTTTGGAGGGTTTTGATGGCGGCAACATCAGCCGACATATCGTGCAAGACTATTTGCATATTCGATGCACTTGATGAATGCCATGAAACGGATCAGCGCCGATTAATTGAAAAGCTCCAAGCGTTTCATCGCCAGCCATCCTCACCAACGGAGAAAACCTGTTTGAAATTCCTGGTCACCAGTCGTCCCTACGATCATATACAGGATCACTTTCGAGCAATCACCGATTCTTTCCCGCATATACACATCAAGGGGGAGGAGCAAAATGACCAAATCCATGAGGAGATTGATGAGGTAGTAAGGATTCGAGTGAAAGAGCTAGCAGAAACAGTACCACTCTCGCCAGAGCTCCATCATCGAGTTGAACAGCAGCTACTTCAAATGAAACACCGCACATATCTATGGCTACATCTAGCCATTGATGATATTCGCACTACCTTCAAAGACAGCCTCCGGCCTTCAGAGGATCGGATCACGCTGATACCACCTTCTGTGAATGCCGCATATGAGAAGATACTCTGTCGAGTCCCAGCCGGTCTAATGGATAGAGTCAAGAAGATCCTAGAGATCATCGTGGCGGCACGGCGTCCTCTGACAATAGGAGAGATGGCTATGGCGTTGGGAATTGCTACTAGCTCAGGCCTACCGACAACTAATCAGGCTGGGCTAGATCCAATTGGTTTAGACGGCAAGCTTCGGCGATGGTGCGGCCTGTTTGTCTTCACGAACAATTCGAAAATTTATCTCATCCATCAGACAGCCAGAGAATTTCTCATTGAGAAGAACAATTCCAGCAATCCTAATTCTGGATACTGGAACAGCCTGACTCATGCGGAAGATCGAATGGCTGAGATCTGTTTGAGATACTTATTGATGGAGGATTCAGAATACGATGAAGACGAATCGGGCTCCCTTACTGGATGTTTCTTGGAATATTCAGCAGCTCATTGGCCTGATCACGTACGAAACATGGCTTTGACTTCAATCCAAAAGGAATCCGACCGAGTGCATCTATTATACGACATAATTGGGAAACCGTTCTCAATGTGGTTCCCCATTTTTTGGAAGGCAGTCAGACCATACGAAGAAGCTCCTGTAATGAGTGCACTGCATGTGGCAGCGTTCAATGGCCATGAACAGGAGGTACAGTATATACTTGATGTGGATAATAGTGATGTCAATACGCCTGATGATAGAAAAACATATCCGGTCATGTGGGCTGCATTAAATGGATATGCTACGATCGTGGAGCTTCTGCTAGGGCGAGGAGCCGATGTCAACGCCCAGGGTGGACGTTACGGAAATGCCCTACAGGCTGCTTGTTTTGGAGGACATGACAAGACCGCACAGATGCTGCTAGAGCGAGGAGCCGATGTCAACACCCAGGGTGGACGTTACGGAAATGCCCTCCAGGCTGCTTGTGACGAAGGACACTACAAGACCGCACAGATGCTGCTAGAGCGAGGGGCCGATGTCAACGCTCAGGGTGGACGTTACGGAAATGCCCTCCAGACTGCTTGTTCTGGAGGACACGACAAGACCGCACAAATGCTGCTAGAGCGAGGAGCCGATGCCAACGCCCAGGGTGGAGCCTACGGAAATGCCCTCCAGGCTGCTTGTTTTGGAGGACATGACAAGACCGCACAGATGCTGCTCGAGCGAGGAGCCGATGCCAACACCCAGGGTGGGCATTACGGAAATGCCCTTCAGGCTGCTTGTTTTGGAGGCCACGACAAGATCGCACAGATGCTGCTAGAGCGAGGAGCAGATGCCACCGCCCAGGGTGGACGTTACGGAAATGCCCTCCAGGCTGCTTGTTCTGGAGGACACGACAAGACCGCACAAATGCTGCTAGAGCGAGGAGCAGATGCCAACACCCAGGGTGGAGCCCACGGAAATGCCCTCCAGGCTGCTTGTTTTGGAGGACATGACAAGACCGCACAGATGCTGCTCGAGCGAGGAGCCGATGCCAACACCCAGGGTGGAGCCTACGGAAATGCCCTTCAGGCTGCTTGTTCTAGAGGCCACGACAAGACCGCACAGATGCTGCTAGAGCGAGGAGCAGATGCCACCGCCCAGGGTGGACGTTACGAAAATGCCCTCCAGGCTGCTTGTTCTGGAGGACACGACAAGATCGCACAAATGCTGCTAGAGCGAGGAGCCGAAGCCAACGCCCAGGGTGGACGTTACGGAAATGCCCTTCAGGCTGCTTGTTCTAGAGGCCACGACAAGACCGCACAGATGCTGCTAGAGCGAGGAGCCGATGCCAACGCCCAGGGTGGACGTTACGGAAATGCCCTTCAGGCTGCTTGTTCTAGAGGCCACGACAAGATCGCACAGATGCTGCTAGAGCGAGGAGCAGATGCCAACGCCCAGGGTGGATTAGACGGAAATGCCCTCCAAGCAGCTCGTCTGGGAGGATACCACCATATAGTGAAACTTCTCCAGGAACATCAATGTGCTGATCAGTCGACCTCCCGACCTCCCCCTTCCAAAAGGCTGAAGGTTTCATCATGATCCCATATCACCATTTTCAACTCAAACTTCTTAATACCTCCATATCGTCATTGTTATTCTCTACCTAGTTGTGCTATAGTCCTTGCTCTTAGTACTGGAATACTTTGTCCAAGATCCAGCCATTTGTACAATAATGATAGGAATTACGAAACCAAGTAAATCTGCTCGTCCTTCTTAGTTGAGTATAACTCAGTAAATGAAAGACCTTTGCTCTCATTCATCGGATTAATTTTCTATCGCCTACCCCGCCTACGTTGCGTGCTCATACCATGAGATAGCCACCAGGGACAATTTTATTTATTTTATTTTTATTTTGTGTCGTAAGCATACTGTATGATCATTTTGTGGTATTGTTATTTTACCAAACACAATCTCTCTATAAATGACAGTAGAGTAAAAACTGCACACTAGCGTCTTGGCAGTGGGGCCGCAAAATAGAAAAGCAATGCTTGGGGCGGAAGCTGATTTCGCTACCGACTGTATTAGAAGAAGTGATAAATCGTTAAAAAAACGAAACATTTTAACCCTTAAGACAAACAAAGACAATTAAGCGTGCAACTGCACTGTGCATTAGTTGATATCGGTACGCCTAGTGGTCCGGGGATGACGGAATGTCACGTTCCGTCATTTGCGCCCCAGTGGTTAGCACATCTGGGTACCTAGGTACTGAGCTCTTACTATTACAAACACACACAGAGAGAAGGCTCTATATCTACCTTGGCGGTCATCTCACCTCAAATCAGCGAGGCAAGTAGTCCTGTTATGAGCAAAATAATTCATGACGCATTTTCAAAAAAACGGTAAGACCTTGATTAAGATTATTTGATCTGGATACTGCTGCTGCTGTTGTTGGATATACCAAAAGCGATGTAGCATCACAGGGACTAGCTGCTATCATAAGCTTCTTGAACCTTGAGACCTAATTTCGTGCAGGCGTGCCTCGCAGGCGGCAATCAAAAACGGCCTGCGAGTTTTTTTTGGCGAATATGCTGCTCGTAAAGTCCATCCTAACTCGGCAGCACGTTCAAATGGCAGTGACTGCCTGAGCAGATAGCTCACCGCTCCCAGACCCAGAGTCAGAATGTAATACACCCACTCAACTGATCAATATTAGAATTAATTATACCTTGGTTCGCTGCCGGGTAGTCATAATGGCTCACCTTCATGCTCTGGTTGCCAGCCCCAGTCTACAGGGGGGAACCAAGGTGCGCACGCAAGAGATCCTCCAAGAAAGTCCAAACCGCTGCCATATCTTGTATTTCTGTTATAGATAGTCCCGAGCCGTTTCCATATCCGAATGGGTCAGGGGGTAAACAGAGAAGCTCGCTGTTATCGTCCGTTGGAGTGAATGTTGCAGCAACCAGGTCTTTGCCTTTCGCACTAACAAAGCCACACAGCCATCGTCGCTGGCCTCGAGCATCCTCTTCGCGTTCTTTCGCACAGCCGAAGATTCGGCAAAATGTCCAAACACGCCAAAAAGCCCTGTGTACGGATGCCCAACGTGGGCCGCTTAGTCTCCTCATCGCTTCGAGCACATCCCGTTCAGTGTGGGTCCTACCGGCGCATCGCTCTCTCATGAGACCTGTCAATTGCGCACACACTGCCATCTCTTCTGCGTAGTGTCGAAGATATGAATCAACACCCCACCCCTGATGAGTACATTCATCTGGCGCACGCCCTAATGATTCGTAGTATGCTATTGTCCCAGGGATACCGCAGTTGATACTCATCTCACGGAATTCCCACTGCTCTGGCACGGACCTCTTTAGGGCCCTCTGTATCAGAGGCAATCCATTCAATTCAAACTCCCTCTGCAGTTCTGGGTGGAGTTCAACCAGCTCAAGTAGGCTCCCTACATCAGGGGAATCCTTTAGGCTTTGGGTTGTTGAGATCTTCAGACTTTGGGTTGTTGAAATGCCTAGGGCAGACTCTGGACGGCTGTAAATTTGCTGCTTTCTCCACTGTTTTCTTTTCTCGAAATTGAGAGGCAGAGAGACCCACTTCTCTCTCTGTGCCGGAGCCGACTGAGAATTGTTCTTATCCTCATCTAGGCAATTAAATTCCGTCTTTGGAATCTGCGGTGGAAACCAGGCGATAATTTCTCTGTGTAACGATTCTTGTCGTTTGTTTAAACCCTGAGGTAAGTCCTTTCCGCCGCAGTACTCTAGCAACGGTAAAGCAGGGAGCGGCTTATTCTGATTCATCGTACAGAGAAATACAAGCTCACAATTACTTTTTTTTAGTCCACTTGTCACGCGTTTTGTTGAACCAGATGGTGAGCAATATGGGCTATGCCTTTGGGCTTCAAAGCAAGAAGTGACAATCTTGCTCTACCTCATGGCGGGAAATCCACTGGTGGTGGGATTGGACGAAAACCTTTGAGAGAGTGTAAATACAAATTTAACCATAACATCTCATGGAGCTATTACAGCAAGATACTTAGGCAATCCAATTATGATTGAAATGTCACTTTTTGGTTCATATTTGGCGCCTGTCGACAAAAGGGCTGGGATCTACCGTTCTGATTATTGCTCTTTCTGAGCGCCAGTCCCATCCTACAACTGATTACACGCAGAGGCTTTAACTTTGACCCTTTTTGTTCAGAGCGTGCACTCTGTCAAAAGCCCATGTGTGGCTTTGGTGAAAATATTAGGCACGTGATCTACATGTGATATCTATACTGCTAAAGAGAAGAGCGCGATGGCAGTGAGGCATAGCAGGCAGGTTGGTATTGGTGATAGAGATTTCAAGGAATGAGCAGAGTGAGCAAGGTGTATTCAGTGATAATCACGAATGCCGTAAATTGAGGGAAGAATAATGATTGATTCCCCATTTTGACAATTACAATATAGGGGATACTTATAAATGGTGCAGATGGGCTTTTTCCCCTGCAATTTCAGACACACGTGTCGATCCAGCCACGTACAAGCAAGGGAGGCCGAAAATGGGAGGAAAGTCGGGAAGCCCAGTTCAAAGCGAGGGGAGAAATGGCTTCGTTGTGTGAACTCAAGGAATTGCCTACAATAGTTAGCAAAAGGACAGCTGAAAACACAATAATAACATCAAGGAGAGGGAATTGAGGCAGCAACAATAACGGAAGTACTTCATATACGCACAGACTGCACTCGTTATGCTCTTGGGCCCAGAATCCGTTCACCGCCTGGCAAATCACTGATCGCACCAGTAGACCCGCGGGCGTAGTTCTCCCAGTACATTGTTTTAAGTAGTATTCCAAACCCTCAGAAAGGAGGCTACTTAGAGAAGCAGGAAACGCTCATCGAAGACTAGATTTAGATTATCAAATCAAAAGGACTGCGAGATGAGAGAGAGCTTAGCCTACGGCAATCATCCGACTCTGTTAGAGCGCACCCACAAATACCAACTCAGGTTTATCAGAGTTGGTATCCGCACCTGGCTTTATTCCATCTTGGAAGAGATACTGCATATAGAGAATTCTTCTGTATCATTGGCGGAACATGTTAGGAGAGTTTAAAAGAGACTTGATGGTTTGTTCGACATGCAAGATGAAGTTCAAGGCAGTGCTCAGAATCATATCATGGAGAGTGTGTACTTAAAGGACGTACATATAACGTAAGATCAACTAGCCTACTTCTCACCTTCATTAGAATTTTGTCTATATAGATTTATCTCACAAGAGTTATGTAGGTGAAAAAACTTTTCGTATGTGCCACAATCCCATGGGAAGTACCTTATAATAAGGAGGCCCTGTACTTGCCATGACTCGCATCTAATCATTTTCAACTTATTCAGCTCAAATAAGCGTTTCGTTGCTCTGTACACCTATTTGCTCCCCATCTCAAATTGCGCTCCCAAGTCTCTCCAATTCCCAATCTGCGCATCATGGCAAACACAAGCCCTCATGCCTCAGAGAAGATCGAACTCTCTACTCCGACAAAAATCCCACATTGGCGCATGATATTTGACCAGGGTGTTGTCACACAACAAATCCTCGATTACCCATACCCCGGCTCAGGAACGGATGAGGACCCATTTGTGGTGACTTGGATTGCGGATGACCCCCGAAACCCCATGAACTTCAGTGGTGTAAAGAAATGGACCTTGACCATGGTGGTAGCAACTGCAACTTTGGCGGTTTCCTTGGTTTCCTCCGCCTACACCGGTGGTATTCAGGAAATCATGGCCGACTTCGACATCGGGCAGGAACTTGCTACCCTCGGGGTTTCACTGTTTGTTATGGGTTTCGCGGTACGTTCCTGATCTCCGCGTTTGACTCCGCGTAGTGCTTTTTGAGGGTTTTAGAAAAACTAAACCTGGCAAATAGATTGGGCCCTTGCTTTGGGCCCCACTGAGTGAGCTCTTTGGTCGTCAGATCCTGTTCATCATCACCTACGCCGGTCTCACAGCTTTCAATGCCGGTGTCGCGGGCTCCAAGAATGTCTGGACTCTGATCATTCTCCGATTCTTCGCTGGCTCGTTCGGATCCTCGCCTCTGACCAATGCCGGTGGCGTCATCGCCGATATGTTCCCCGCCAAGAAGCGCGGTGTTGCCATGAGTCTGTTTGCCGGTGCCCCCTTTCTCGGCCCTGTGATCGGTCCCATTGCCGGTGGTTTCATCGGTATGAGCAATGGCGGCTGGCAGTGGGTGATGGGATTTCTTGCGGCGCTCTCTGGCGCTGTCTGGGTGATTGGCTCGCTGGTCATTCCCGAGACTTATGCACCCGTGCTTCTCCGCCGTCGTGCAGAGAAGCTGTCCAGGCTAACAGGTAAGATTTATCGCAGCAAGACCGAAATTTACCAGGGCAAGGTTTCTCTTAAGAGCTCATTCAAGGTCTCACTCTCCCGTCCTTGGATCCTGTTGTTCTGCGAGCCTATTGTGTTCATGTTGTCTTTCTACATGGCTGTCGTTTACGGTACCCTGTACATGATGTTTGCCGCTTTTCCCATCGTCTACCAGGAGCATCGTGGCTGGAGTCAGGGCTTCGGTGGTCTGGCCTTCCTCGGTATTATGGTCGGTATGCTAGCAGCCGTAGCATACTCGCTCTGGGACAACACACGCTACATCAAGACCTCTGAAGCCCACAATGGCTTCGCGCCGCCCGAAGCCCGTCTTCCACCCTGCCTCCTTGCATCTGCCACCATCCCGATCGGCCTGTTCTGGTTTGCCTGGACAAACTCTACCTCCATCCACTTCATGGTCAGTATCGCAGCCGGTGTCCCATTCGGTTTCGGAATGGTCCTGGTCTTCCTCGGCATCATGAACTATCTCATTGACGCCTACACCATCTTCGCCGCCTCCGTCTTGGCCGCCAACTCCGTTATCCGCTCCCTATTTGGTGCCGCCTTCCCCTTATTTACCACTTATATGTACGAAAGCCTCGGCATCCACTGGGCATCCAGCATTCCCGCTTTCCTGGCTCTTTTCTGCGTGCCATTCCCCTTCCTCTTCTACAAATTCGGTCCGGCCATTCGTACGCGCTGCAGGTTCGCTGCGCAGTCTGATGCCTTCATGCGTAAGATACAAGAACAATCAATTGCAGAGCCCGTTGAGGACGCGAAAGTCAACTACAATTGCATTGAGGCTCCTGGTGCCGAGAGCTCGCTGTCTAGTGAGTTTGAAGACAAGGTCAATGCGATTCCACCTCAGAGAATCCGTAGCCACGCTCCGTCGGCTACGTCGACTCACACAGTTTGCTCGCTGTATCGCTCTGTGACCTATGAGGGAAATCCTTATAATATTGACCGCGTCAACACATGCGAATCCTTCAAACATTAAGCTGCTGGGCATTTCTTTTGGCCCCCCTATCTAGCTCTTGAAGTCGCATTATGAAAAGCTTTGACTTCAATTATACATAGTTCATATTGCCCTCTCACATTGCACCCCAAAAAGGGAGATATCGGTTTACATGGGCATATAAAATTTGATTGGCAATTAAGCTTAGCTCACATTGGATAGATGTACTGGCTGATAGAGTCAGCCTCTGACTGGGGCTAAGGTGGGATCCCAACGCTATGCGTATCCCGAATTGGAGAGGGCTTGGATATTGAATGACACCCATTTCATGTATTCAGTGTGTCATTTTCAATCATATACTGTTGGTACCCGCGACCAAATACATCCACACCACCACCACCACTGTCAGATGAAGAAAATATAGTCAGAATTCGTAAAATTTTACTAAAATCCCGAGACCATAAAAAATGCTCAGATGAGCTTTTCTAGCGGCGGCTTATTGGTCTACGTCGATGTTACGATTGAGGTTTTCTAACAGGGCAGGGTTACCATAAGGCGAATCATTGAAGCAGTATATTCAATTTTGTAGAACCGAAAATGGACAAGGAATAGGAAGAGGAGAGAGCGCGAGAGAGCCAGCTATCTAGTCCGGCCTGTCAATCATTACGGTCACCTGACCCCCACTCCGACGAGATTGAAGCCAAAAATAAACCAAATGAGATACAAATGATGATCGAAGTTCAACTATAAGTAGCACCATGATCACTCCTATTGTTGCAGCAATAACTTTGCTAGTATGCGTTCTCTCGCGGAGATAGAACGCCAAATTCAAACTCTCCATGACGAGAGAAACCATCTTCAATTAATAATTTCCATCTTGGATAATCATCAGCGACATCTTGAGGCCATAGAAAGATTCTGGGTGCGAGTGGGAAATCTATCCGCACGGAGCTGCAAAGCAAAGCAACTAAGCGCAGGGTCGGCAGTTCAATTTGATTAGCTGCCCAGTTCTACATTCCCAATGCACTAATCATATCGTGTCCGGTTGAATGTATTTTTTCTCTATGAATGACTTGTGTCGCAAGAGCTATACAGATAAAATTTGTGCTGATGAAGTTGTCTCAAGGTAAAGGGTCGTATCTGCCCTTCCCCGAGAAAAGTATCTGACGATTGCTCCAGTCTTCCCTGGAGATCGAGCGAAACCTTGGGATCAATTTTTATCTAACATATGTACAGCATGGGAAGTAGATTTTGGTTTCAACCCAACTTTTTATTTTCGTAATAATGGCTCTATCGGTGCATAATGATTAGGATTCCATATACGTTGCTCCCTTTGGTCGGCACCCGTGGGTGATCGGTTTGTCGGGCTCCCGGTGGATTGATACACGTAGACCCAGAGCTTTGCTTCCTTTCTCCTTTTCTATTTCTGCCCCCGAGGTGGTCTCCCACAATCTATCCATTGTCCTACTTCCCCGTTTTATCGTCATTTGTTGGATCCGCGAAGTCACAAGCCTACAATATAGCAGCCACGCCCACGTGGTGAGGCTCTGGTTAATTTGAGTATGCCAGTATACATGTCGGAGCCTTGGGTACCCGGTTCTTTAGGCCCCGGAGCTTTCCACAGATTAGATAACGTAATTCGCTACCAAGCTGCGCAGCCCAGAACACATAGTGAAGGCGATGAATTACAACATGATATTTCCACAACGGTTCCAATGTTGTCTCTAAGAGTTTTTCCTTATAACCGAGTGCTTCCTATGTGGTCTTTAGCCCTGTTGGGTGGTCAGGTGACCCGGTGGACAGGACATAGATAGCTCGCTCTCTCTCTCTCTCTCTTCTCTTCCTTCCTTTTCCTCGTCCTGTTTTGTTTCAGCAAATCGATATATTGCTATTCGCTACGCTCTATCGTAGATATCTTTGCTATCAAGCCCCTTGTCGGAGCTTAAGGTAATTTTTGAGATTAATTTATACAGGTGACCGCGGGAGATACATGTGTTTTGGAGCTCTGCGATATATTTTTCAATACCGTAACAATGCAAGTTCCAAGTTTCCTGATTTATTCAAAGTTGAGACATTACACTAAAGATGCTTATCGATTACGATGAGCGAGTGATGAAACTAAACAAGAACGTTGATTTTTTTTTTTGAAATATCATGTTGCAAGGTATTGCTTTTACTATGTGTTCTGGGCTGCCCAGCTCGGCAGTGAATCACGTTAGCGTAGATTAAGAAACCACTCTTTTTCTCCCTCATTCCTCTTCTTTTCTCCCAGTATTTTATTCACTCGTATACCTGGGCACGTCTGCTACTCGATCATAGCCTAAAGTTAGTAGAATTGGAAATTAGTTCCCGCTCTGAACATACATAGACACACTGAGCGGATTTGAGTCCATTGTGTCTTCAGTGGCGTTATGTGTTAACTGGATTTGAGCCTGTTGCTCAAGTACAGTGCCGACCGCTTTCGCCTTCCATGTCGAATATACAGAGAAGCTGTTTGAAACCCTAATCATGTGATTCGCTAATCCAGATATGGGTAGCATGTAATTAATCCGTTTTGTAGCTGACTGGGTAGTTATACTACAATCCTGAAATACTAGTATGAAATATACAGTCATTTACCCCAATCTTCCAGGCTGGAAGTAGGGATGTTGTAATTTCGAAATTGGCCAACCTGTTTCGAAATATTGAAATTTCACTTATTTTTTGCATTTCAATTTCATTTCAAAATTTCTTGGCATTAATGAGTCATCATTCACTTGAACCTTACCAAGCCAATGACCGAAGATCAAGCCTGGCTTCCCACCGCCTCAGCTTGAACCATCCACTTGTCCTGATTGGTCAGCTGATAATCCTCTTACCAACTTTAGACTAGCGTTATTTAAATATTTCATGGTCGATTTCAAATTTCATTTCATGAGGCCAAATTTCAGGAATTTCGAAATTTTGAAATGTCATTTTGCCATCCCTAATCAGAAGCTTCGATGCAAAATGAGCAAACATGGCGATTCTTAATTTAGTTACGTGTCAATTGTGCCTATCTCCACTGTATGGGAATGATTGGCTGTGAGATGATGATGCCTCAGCCTCACTTCCCAACCCCGCTGCTTCCAACTTTGGCATTCATTCCAGGACTGAGTTTCCGTGGTGAGGCTATCACAGACGTTGATGACCCTCATATGAGAAACCCGCCTTTCAGTATCACGTGAATTTATCATTATATAGCCCAACATGGCTGCTAGGACTACTCTATCTCATGACCATTACACGGTCGGGTGGGTATGCGCCCTGCCGCTGGAGATGGCGGCTGCGAAGTTGATGTTGGACACAATCCATCCGAGCCTGCCGAGCCCATCAACCGATCAAAACAACTATATCTTTGGCAATATTGGGGAACACAACATTGTCATTGCCTGCCTACCAGGTGGCGCATATGGTATTGTTTCAGCTGCAACGGTAGCGATGCAGTTGCTCTCTAGCTTCCAATCTATCCGATTTGGCCTTTTGGTTGGTATCGGTGGAGGCGTACCAAGCAGCAGCGCAGACATTCGACTAGGCGACATCGTGGTAAGCCAGCCAGCGGACACATCTGGAGGCGTGATCCAATACGATCTCGGTAAAGCGTTAAGCGGTGGTCAATTCGAGCGGACAGGGATGCTGAACCGGCCGCCCAAGGTTCTTCTGACTGCCCTCACTACACTCCAAGCCCACCACTTTACAGAAGATAGTCGGGTTCTTGAATTTATCTCAGAAAGTCAAGCCAAAATGCCTCCACGCAGAGCTGCAAATTTTACACGACCCACTCAAGCGGACTGTCTATATCAGCCACAATACAATCACGAAGGATCCGATACATGTATCGATTGTGATCGATCCAAACTGGTTACGCGGATTCCACGAGATTATCAAGAACCAGTGATACACTATGGACTGATTGCATCCGCAAATCAGGTAGTGAAAGATGGCAGACGGCGAGAAGAGCTGGCTCGAGACCTGAGGGTTCTTTGTGTGGAAATGGAAGCTGCAGGACTTATGAATGACTTTCCATGCCTTGTTATTCGGGGTATCTGTGATTATGCTGACTCACACAAGAACAAGGAATGGCAAGGATATGCGGCAGCAGGTGGCAGCGGCCTATGCTAAAGAGCTTGTCTTGGTGATTCCGATCGTTCAAACCGAAAATACTCCAACAGCTCGAGAAACTTTAGCAGATTCTGGTGAGAGATTTTGAGCTTCAACTTGTTTCAGTAATTCTTGCTAAATAATCCAGGCAACAGGCCACAGCCTCTTTCCCAAGGGATTCAGTCAAGAATTCCTACCCTGACAAAATTTCTGGGGAGAGAAGCGGAATTGTCTCAGGTGAAGCAATGCCTTGGCTCTGATTTGAGCAGAAATTGTCTGGTCATCTGGGGTCTCAGTGGGGCTGGAAAAACACAGCTCTCCGCCCATTATATCGTCACCAACAGGCAGTCCTACCAGTCCGTGCTGTGGATTGATAGCTCGTCTTCTGCTATGATTCGTCAATCATTTGAGGTGCTCTCATCTCACTTGCCAGGGTATAGACTCGAGAAATCAGCTGTTGAACAAGTAAAAGAGTGGCTAGAAAGAAGAATAAATTGTTCTTGGGTTATGGTTTTCGATGGTATACCAGGAGTTTACGACATTGATGACCCTGAGGAGTATGATATCAGAAAATACTTACCTGTCTGTGAGCACGGTCATATCTTGCTGGTCACCACGGCGTCCGACCTGCACCTGCGCTTAGCTCTCCCCGATATCCACTTGGAGGGAGTAGATGACCTCACCGGGTCGAAAATATTGCTTAGATGCGCCGGAGTCACAACACCTGAACGTTCCGGTATGTACGAAAATTCAATTCACCACGTTGTTGGTTTTTAACATTTTCCAGGAGTAGTGGTAGCTCGGTCTATTTCTCGCAAGCTGGGAGGGTTGCCGCTTGCCCTCGAACAGGCTGGAAGTATTCTATCTTATGGCGTTGTCCGAATGGAAGACTTCAACAAAGAATTTCAAATGCGTTTCTCTGATAAGGCACTCAAAACCCCTATGAAGCGGTACGTGGGAAGTTATGACAAAGGTCGAACACTGTGGACGGTATTCGAAATGTCATATAACGGCCTGAGGCAAAGGAGTCCAGATGCGATAAAGCTACTTCATCTTGTTGTATTCCTGAGTCCAGGAACAACCCCATTCATCCTTGTCGTGAATTCTGGATTTGATGGGTCATTTGATTCCACTCTCAAGACACCCTTCGTTCCAGCAGGTCTAGCTGAAACATAATCATTTGCCCTTATTTGCTGGCTGAATAAATTGCGTTCTGATATTGGACGACTTGGAACCGCCATTGAGGAGCTCGAGGCCTCTGGATTTGTCAAATTGTGTCGCAGTTCACACAATACTTGTGTTGAGAGCTGTTCAGTACATGATCTGGTCCGTGCGTTCATTTCTTCGAAAGCATCCGAAGACGACATTAGCGAGAGCTTAGCCACTGCTTTTCTGCTAAGTGGACAAAATCTTCATTATGGAAAAGAAAGTTTCCAAAGGACAGGGCTATGGAAACACGCCCGTGAACTTAACAAGCTCCTGAAGTTGTTTATTTCCTCGGTTCCTGAAATGTTTCTTCAAGACTCCGATGGTAAATATTTTGCACTCTGCGGAGTTGTGGCTCCAATATACGCTCATACATGCCGTTTCATTGGGGATTTCCAGCAAGCCAAATGGCTTTGGGATATTGCACTCAAATATAGGTTCATCTGTGAAACAGAATGGCCGAATACTGCGTTGCATATGGATGAGATCTTAGAGGCAGCAAACATTGATGTGAAGGTTAAAAACTTTGGGGCTGGGATAAAGAGATATGAAATTTTTCTTGCCAATTGTGATCGTATCTTTCCGGGCAATGATGCAATAGCCGTCCAATCTGCTGCATTACTCCGCGAAGCTCGGGAAAGTTCTCAACAACGCGAACAGGATTTTAGGCGCGCAATCGTGGCACAAAGATTCTCAAAACAACGTGCTGATGAACTCACGTCAATCGATCATGAAATGAACATGCATTCTTGTGTCCAAGGGGCGGATGCCAATGTGACAGGTGGTGAAATGGGAAATGCCTCCCAAGCTGGATTCAACAGCTGTTTTCAGCTGGGAGTCAATGAAGGTACTATTCAGGTGTCTTTTCTTGACCAGGGACCGAGTACCAATGCCACAGGAGGCGAAGTTGGGAATGCCTTTCGAGCTGGACCTAACAGGGATACCCACGTGGGAGTAAACCATGGTTCTATTCATCTGTCTTTTCTTGACCAGGGACCGAGTACCAATGCCACAAGAGGTGAAGGTGGAAATGCCCTTTGAGCTGCAGAATCTAGTTTACCGCTGGGGTATCAAATCTTGCCGTCTTTTCGAAATCAGCCGTAACATGTAAGGATACATACACTGACGCTGAGTGTTGATTTCTTACCGGGTATTTCAGCAGGGTGGTCACAAAGGGCGTCCGGCATCACAGGAGTGATGGGCCGCGAGGGATCGTGGAAGAATCGGGACTGCCGAACAACCGCATTTCCTGCTTATGTCAGTCATGGAACGCTCGCTGCATTGCCAGTTCGCCCATTTGCGATGTAGTCGGTCTTTCTTACTGCTTATCATGTGTAAAATCATCTTACGCTGCCACGGATACAGATTTCGTGCCATTTTGCAACGGTTTAGGGGTTGGTTCTTGCCTGGGACGCTTCGAGTTGGGATGGCAATATGGCAGGCGTAGTTATTTTTGGATCAGTAATAATACATAACATAACAGCTCTCCTCCGTCTGAATTTTACCTTTCAAACCCGAAACATGATCCAAAGTACGGGAGTTACCATATCTGGATAAGTGTGGTCATGTGATTAGGGTTTGAAAGAGCATTTCTGTGTTTCCGACATGGAAGGCGATGTCGGGCGCGACTGTAAAATACTATGTTGAACTTCAAGGCTGGACTCAAGCCCGGTTGACCCATGAGCTAGGTGGTTGGGTGGTCAAGTTATCACTGATCTGGTTGACGGGGCTGATCTCTCATCTACTCTCTCGTTGGTATTCAAAGTCATACTAGGCGTACATATAAAGTACGATCAATCTGTGATAACAATAACAAGCGATCAATAAACACAGCACATACTACTGCAGACTTTCAATCCGGTGCCTCTTTCCGTCTTTTCCGAGTGTAGCTTATCAAACCTCCAAAAAGTATTTCACCATTTCTTTGAGGTTTTTCTGGTCATGTAATTCTGAATTCAATTCAGCACCCAAATTCGAGCAGTGGAATAAAGTGGAAGGTGATGCCAGATCAAAAATCACTCGTGGCGAATTCTCCTCCGAGACGTGAACACACATAGCATAGTGCTTCTACTATTGCCCGGGTGCCTTTTTGTGGTTTATGTTATTGTTATGTCATTGGAATATTTTTCTCATCGGTGGGGACAATGCGCCAGTCTGAGACAAGCCCTTCTTCCGCTCCGAATCAGGATGGGTTTCCTGGATCTGCTCATTTTATGCTGATTTGATGGCAAGTCTTCTACAACTGTCCGCATTGACCCGTGTACTTCTGATGCTCCATTTTTATCAGTACATTTACGATTCTAACAAACCTCGGAAACGATCACTCCCAGCACGTCCCAAACTTAGCTTTGGTCCAATTCTAGGGCACAAGCACCGCCCGGAATCGTACTATAAATATGTGATCACTGAAGAGGTGCTACAGAGCTTTTTGCATGAAATTTTTCATCAATTCTCTTTAATGCCGCTACGGAGATCTACGAGAATCGGTGGACTTGAACCCCAAACTGGGTATCGTGGCAGCGGCAATCAGTCTTCGAAGCCTGAAGTCCACACAGACTGTTTTAAAATATGGCCGACCGGGGCACCTGTATTCATTGAGGTAGGCAAGAGAATGAGGGACGACAGGAAGGATGTGTTGGAAGAGACACTTGAGCGGACATTTGGTGAAACATCATCTCTTACAACCAAGACGCAAGACAACAGCAACACATACTTTCCTGGTGATGTTAAACGTCCCTCGATCAATCGAGGGAAACTGGCCCCAGGCCTCCGCTCGTTGAACCCAAAGGCAAATCCTGCGGCTGGGAAGAATTCCTGGGCATACCGTCAAACAGACGCCGACCCCGAAACAGCGGAACAGCTCCAAGACCTCAGTCAAATCCTCATGTCCACAAAAAAGACGATTAGTTGCGAACTGCTTCCAGGTATACACAGATTACAATCGCATCTTGAAAAAAGGGAGGATTAACTAGAACGTTGCGCTTACGATGTAGACTCTATTCTGGTTACATGGCATGCACCGTATGCTCACTACTCGAGTACTGTTATCCTATTCCATAGATTGAACACTTTCCAACAGTGACAGGAACATAGAATCCCGATTTATGATTCGATTATCTCCTATAAATGAGATTTATCTAGCGTTAGTGTCGGGGGTTTAGTGGTTTCCAAATTTGGTGGGCTCCGCAGCTAGATACATCTCTCCCTCTTCTTCTTTCCTCGGATCTCACAAAACAGACACGATCTGTGGTTCATATCATACATTCTTGCCCTTTGGCCGATATTTTCTGGGTCTTTTCCATGACCTTCGAGCAGCACGTATCATCGCCATCAAAGTCGAAGCCATCAGGACTTATTTTTAATTCCATTGACTGTTGATTTACGTTGTTTTTGGCATTGATACATTGCCCATCTATCTAGCTTTTATCATAAATTTCATAGTATTTTTTCGCAGGTAACAAGAGATAACATCAATACGAAGAGAGTCCAGCAAAAATAGGCCCAGAGATCCTTCTTGTACGGACTGTCCTTCTCTTGATCTGGTATTCGAAACTCTGTATTATGCTTCTTCATTTCTTCCGCGCTGATCTGTCCCAGCCCACTAAATTTCCAGCACCGCAGACACACTACTAGATCTCACCGCAGATATTCTGAAACTCTCAGTAAAGGCATCATCTGAGCGGAGTAAAAAAAGTCTCCTACCTGTCTTCTGATGTGGAAATCATGGTAGATTCCAAGCCAAAGGTCACGGTCACGACAGTCGTCCACTTGGCCACTCGTTGCATTCAAACGACAAGAAGGCTTATGCTCATTCATAGCATTCGAAGGGAAATCAACCCAAGGCTATTCAGGTTCTGTCAGCATGATGAACCGAAGAGACTCTTTTCCGTGAGGTAGACTGAAAGTAGACAGACTTTTGGAACTGGCCAATCAGAGAAATGGACGGTCTTTGCTTCCATCAGAGCCTTCTGAGGACTCCAGACTTCCCGTGAGTTCCCAAGGTATCTGGTATGAATAGTCTCGCGGAACTCTCCTGTCAGCAAGGTATAGGGTCGATGGGGGAGGATGAGGGCGTGGTCTCTGTAGATAGTATTCACGATTTCCATATCGTAGTCTGATGGATTCGAGGATTCAATGGTAGCGACGATGCGGTCAAATTCAACTGTCGACGGCTCAATCAACATGAGATAGCTGGTCATGATGCGGTGATCGGGATCTAGCCAGTATGCTCGAGGTAGGGCCAGCGGGCACGAAGGCAGGAATAATAGTTCGTCCATATGCTGATACCACACGTTAGTTCAACAACCTTGGATGCACCGCGTTGACCACTCCCTTGAGGCATACTTGTAGCATAGTCACATCCGAATCTAAGCTTAGAACTCGGTCGTATTGTGTTTGATTGAAAGCTAGAAGTTTCGTGAAGCTTTCCGACCAGGTGGCTAAGGCTGGGTTAGTTTATCAGCTCTCTCAAAATTGAATCAAACAGGACATACGGTCTCCTCCGTGTCTTCTTTGGATATGTGTGGGCACTAGCTTCACATTGTATTCATCGCGGGCCTGACGAAGTAATCGACTCTCTGCCCCGTCATCATTCTCGTCGGCCGAAAACCTGGACGGGTAAATCAGGAAACGATCAGCCCTGCTGTTTAAACGATGTAAGGTCTCGAAAATCATGACAGAGTTGCACAGGTAAGCAGTGTTGGTGGCATATTGCGAGTATGCAAAACGGGACCAATCCACCAAATCTTTGCTTCTACAGTGATTGGGATCCTCGCGATCAACCCTCATTGTTTGAAATCGATCGCATAATATGTTCCTCGTCTGAAGGACAAGAAGGACCAGTATTATAGTGAAACAAATTGCTCGCGAGGCACCATGCAAAGCTCGCAACATCATGCCAGACTTCGACTCCAAAGTGACCCAGCTAGAAGCGTGAATGCCTTGGAAAAGCCCAAGTATGTATCAGGAATTATACCAATAGCAGATATGTCGAAAATCACACCATAACAAAGATAAAGAATCAACAAAGTTGAATGGAATGAACATAGACGATAGTTTTGCTGTGCTCGAACGGCAGAACGAAGAGACCTAAATAAATATGAACTGGACTAGGTTTTGTGGATGTGTGGATGTATGGATTTTACTATTTTATACCCACCTTTCGTAAGTCAGGTGATCTGCTCCATCGACTTCATCATACAAAGACTGCTTTTTCCTGATCTACTCACATCGTAGACCCCCGATCTGACATTACTCGTAGTCTCTCAATATCTAACAGCATATATTCTACGAGATTCCAACACGTTCCAGAACCATATAGAGTGGTAAACATGAGCACCGCCACTGTGTCTCACCTTTACTAGCTGGGCATATTGGAAGATTGCGATGGATCTGCATGAGTTTATTTCATCCTCTCCCAAGACTAAGTTCTTTACTTTCCCTATTTTCCCAGATCTTTTAAAATATATAGGAAGTGGGCTAATCACGCAAGCGAGTGAATCAATCTGAAGCACATAATTAATAAAAGAAATATAGAATTCCATACCAAGTTGATCGCTACCCAAACGACGATCTCCAGTTGATAGAGAAACTGTAGAGGACGCACGATAGATCATATATTGTGAGAGACGAGAAGAAAAGAAGAAAGAGAGAGAGAGAGAGAGAGAGACAGCTCTCGAACTAGTCTAGTTAGTTAAGTAACTACCATTTTCAATGGCCCAAAAGCTACATATGCTCCTACGTAACTCAGCCTGGGTGCAACGCCCCCACTAACCAGTAAGGAGCTTATGGCTTAGGTACCTTTGCGCTTTATTCAATTATATCGATACCGTGCCCAATAAGCTCATCAGCTTGGTATTCTGGTATTTCCGAGACAATATCCCAGAATCCTGAGAGCTCATCCATGCAAAGTTCCCGATGGACCCTAGCTAGGTTTTTCAACGACTCAAAGAAATACACGGTGTCTGTTTTAAGTTTGACCTCGATGCGATCCTCATTCGCATCACCACCCTTATTCGCGTCATCGTTCACACTAATCACTTCACCTAAATACTGCAAGGCATAAGACGGCACCGCTACCAAGCGGGTGGCTTTCTTTTGTTCCTGCTGCGGGATCTGTAGGCGGGTATCAGCGCAAGGGCTCTCTCGGAGGCGGACAAAGCACAAAAGATGACTTCTCCGGCCACCACCAGCATCTGCAGGAACCGGTAGGAGCGATAAAGCTCCGCGGGACAGTGAATGAGTGGCATACCTGAGGAACTTGCTTTTTATCATTCAACTCGAGAAGGTAAAAGTTGCAGCACCAGAAGGATCCGTTCGACAGACAATTGTTGGTCTTGGCAAATACCTTCTTGCCTTGAACGGGAACAATTGTGACCTCTAGTCCGTACTCTTCTTGAGTCTCGCGGATGATCGCATCATCTGGGGTTTCACCTGCATCGGCGGCGCCGCCTGGGCCAGCTAGGCTGTCTGTGGTGATAGTCAGCATGTAGCTCCTCGCACAGGAAAAAGCCTTACGTGGTCCGCCATAGATTTTCACCCCATCTTTGATCGTCTTTCTAGTTCGTTCATGCATGAGCATGTAGGGTTGGCCATTGACCAGGACGGGTATCAACCCCATTGTGCCTTTTTTCTGCGCGCCTTTTTTCTCCGTCGGTGAGGAAGAAATGGTGGACATGGTAGGCGGGCGGCTGACAGCAGCTTTGAGAACAGATGAGGGAATGATGACGAAATTCAAAGAGCAATGTAGTGATAGAGAGCGATGATTAAGAAGCCATGGAGGGAAAGGCGGTGTTTTATAGCCATGGAGTGATTAACGCGATATCATTGAGGGATTTACAGGGACAACGACCTACAGGAGAAGTAGCCTGGTAACCCATTAGGCTGTCTAGAGACCCACCATCCGAGTTCACCTGGTTCCTGAAGGACGGTCAGTCCTTGGCAGTACAGCCTCCTAATCTTTTCTAGGCCACAGTGGTCTCTCCGGTTTCCAATTTTGCAGGACTTTGCGTCTATACTGCGCCTTCTATCTTGGTCTAGGATTTACGTCTATGTTCATGCGCAGCCTGCGGATTGCTAATTCCACGAGTGTAAGCCTTGAGGCTGAGCAGCCCGATCTAGGACAGCGCAAGGCAGACTTTACTTTTAGTACGAATTGCCCAGCGCCCGCACGACATTCTAGGCCACGAAGGGTCCCAAACACGCATCAGAGGAACGAAATCACGCACGATGCGCTATTGGTCGTGCCAAGCCCAAATTCCTCTGGGTCCTAGGAGCATAGTTGAGGATTTGCTGCCGCACCAGAGTTGTGGGGTGGACATAGCTAGCGTGCTTCATTCGAGTAATCAAAGCGATTCGGTGACAGTCTCGTCTCTATGCGACCGCGGTATATCATTTTACAAAACCTCAACATGGTACCCAGTGAAGAGGGGAATATATATGCACACTCAGAGATGCGCGGGTCGATCCAGCTGTTCGCAAGCAGCAAAAGAGATGCTCTCGATGGAGCGTACGATAATGGAAAAAGGCAGGAAGCTCAGCTCAGCCAAAAATGAGGGGAAAGGTGCTTCATTTCTCAATCAGGGCGTTGCGCATACTAATGTGCGATTTGTGGCGCACGGGAGTCAGGCCCAGTATCGTATCAGCCGAGTGGCAAGTTCTGTCCCGAAAGAGACGGCAAAAAGGTGCTCTTGGAATTTAAGACAAGACCTGATTATTGCACCTATTCAATGGGTTGGCATGGAAGAGGGAAGCGAACTCGACCTTGCAAGACTCCCTTGGCACATTTTTTTGCTGCATCGACTTTTCTGGAAATTGAGCGTATTTACGGAATAATTCTGATAGAAAAATCCGGGTATCCTGCTGTCCCGTATGACGGATAAGACACATAATTAAAGGCCTAGACTCAAAATGGAATAGCTCCCGGATATAGCGTCAAGAGAGAGTGAAAGAGTGTGATCATTGTAGAAGCCGAACCTGTCCTCTACTGTACCTCAAAGGTTTGATATATCGTTAAAATAGGGACGATGCTGTGTACGTTGAGAAACCCCAACAATACGCTTCCGCCAATGAACGCTTTTCCAGCCTATACAGCACAACACGGAAGTGTTGCTTTCCTGCTGCGTTTTCACATAATCTGTACGAGCCTTTTGAGCTAGATGTCAAGACATATTGTTATGAAGCTAGGCATAGAGACCCTCAATTGCTGACTCAGGCGTGACGCTATTTTCTCAAAGTTCATACAAACACTGGAAGCCCCTATCGTTGCGAGTGATACACAAAATCTGTCACAAGTCAACGTGCAAATTTATGGGTGAGTAGAAGGAGCTGACAGATACAATAAATAGATGAGGTAGTCTGCATATCATTTTTCATTGGGAGGGGTCAGGGCAAATGAAGCACACACACACCCACACACACACCCACACATCCATATGTACTGTAACCTGCGCGGTTTGCTGTCAAAAAATAAGATATCCCAGCAGGTATGTGCGAAGGAGTTTAATTTGACAAACACCCAAAGACGCTAGCTAGTATATCTAATATCCAATAAACCGCGGAACCATAACATAACAGTAAGGATCGAAAGGCACTTCGATCTTTCACTAATAGTTGAGTTTTGCCTATCGTTTCGACGCTAAACAGGCCCCAGGGAAGCACCACATGCTGCGATAAAGCAGCTCCGGCATGCAGAAGTCAAGACTAACATTCTGTCAGCTTGAGGCTGGTTGTATTGTGCTTTTCTTTGCGTTTGGGCAGATGTTTCCAGGGTTTTTACTTAGGATTGACGTAAAAACAGACTGTTTGTGTTACAATTAGATACAAGGCGTATCCCTGTGCCATGTGATCAGGGGTTCGAATCTCTGTTTAGAACGTGGAAGGCAATACCGGGTGCTACCGTAGGATAGCCCGATGACACAGGGTTCTGTTCATTCCAGCAAATCAGTGTAGCGACAAACAATCTCGAATCATGTTTCCCAGATGGGAACCTCTTAATCTACTGAATTGTTTACATGCATGGCTTAGATTTTACGGCTCATTGTTTGCAAAGGATGCTTGCCGCAATACTCAGCAGTACCCGAGAAGTGACGCGAGGGCGTAGATCAGGGCACATACCAGATGAATTTAGGAGGTTAATATCGTAATACCTTACTCACACCGGGAAAAAACAGTGCCGAGAAAATGTGGGCAGCTCTCCTCACCATATTTACAGACCCGTGAATATTATAGTAAACAAGGTCCTCGAAACAATTGGGGTAGATACACAACAATGAAGCCTTTTGGGAATTTACGATTTGCATAAAATAAGTGAGCGCTCTGAGTAAGGACAATCTGCATTGCGAGTAAGTTGACGGTTCAGATGCATTGTGATCAAAACCATCCACGGACCAGTGATTAAATGGTCAGTTTGTGAAAATTGGCCTCGACGGACGATCTCGCTGATTCGATGAAGTCAGATGGAAACAACAATCGGCCATTGAGAATGTGGCCGATATGTGTTCGTCCAATATCCTGGCAATCCTTTCTGATCTGCGACGTCAAAATTTTGAGGAACTGGATCGGGCTTTCACTGAAACCTTGTCCCCGCCCTTGATTGCCGCCTTGGATGAAACCATCCGCGGCAACCACCAACCCCGGTGGTGTTTTGAAATATGCCACCCCTAGAAACTCACAGAGGTCCTTGTACTCGGAGTGGGAACCAAGATACAGTTGTCCAGAGAAGAGGTTGAGCTGGATGCGAAGTAAATCAGGAGCTTCGATCTCGTCAGCGTTTTGAGGGACAGTGTATAACGTGAGTCTATCCAATGGAAGAAAGCTTTGATTTTGGCGTGGTGCATAGAGATGAAGCGAAACATGATCTGATTTCCGTATCTCGGGCATCAAAAAATTGGCTTCATAGGGACTGATGATCATCATTTGCATCGCAATCGTTCTATCCCGAGAGACACGATGATTACTTCTCAGAATCCACCTGACAGGTCGTTGGAACGCGTCGGCAACAAACGTTGACCCAACCGGGATTTTGATAGTCGTGGAAAAGTCCCTCGTGGCCAGAAGACTGGAGGGAAATTGAGAGAGGTCAAGAAAGGAGGCCGCGGAGGTTCTCCGTAGTGAGTAAAATGCCGGCTGATAGGCTTCGGAAGGTCTTGAAAGCACGCCCGTGGCTATGAAAGAAGATATATGTGGATGGATTCGGTGTGCTTCGGGTGACGCTGGTGGAGGTCTCTGGACCTGACGCTCGATTTCAATCTCTGGAGCGAGCTCGCGCTCCTGTTCTTCTTGTAGGGTGGATGATCCAGTATCGAGACATTCGAACTTTTGACAGCGCTCCCATATCAAATTCAAATTCAGATTTGTATCGTGAGGGGAGTGGGATGGCAACCTCTCTTGATGACCAGGTCGATATCGTTGCTCTATAGTCTGGCATTCGGGATCAAGGAACCTTTGTGCTTGGATCGACGTCATTTCGGCGGCGTCCCTGTGATGAGGAGATCGCCATAGTTCTTGTTGGCGCTCAAAACGAGTACCCTGAACAGCCCAAAGAGGAACACTGCGCCTCATGTTCGCCCAAGTTTCAGAAATGGACCAGATAAGGACATCTGAAACACTGATGGGCGATCCTTCATGCTTGCCACGCAAGACCCGGATACTACGGTCGACCTCATTTGGGATGCAAAAGACGACGGACTGTCCGTTGCCTAACTGTCGCATTCTCATGCACGCTGCAAAACTGTTAAACTTTGACTTGTGATCATGTCGGATGTCGAACCCATACCTTGAACCAACTTATCCTTTGTGATGCCCGGGCCCAATGTGACCGCCGCACGGTAGTGGACCGGAAGCTTGAGATCGATTCCTCTGGTGTGGGCCTCGTCCAGGAACACCAAACATGCTCCCATTTGCCGTGCAAAGGGAGAGATTTGGAGGGATTCCACTCGACCGTTTCGATCAAGGACGCAGATATCATCTTGGTCGTTCACAAACACGACAGCCTGGATTGGCCCTTCTACCGGAGTCCGGCTCAACCAGGCCTTTGCCATGTCATGGTTACTGAGCTCCAAAATCTGTGCACCCACGTCAAGTATAACCTGAGCCGGTGGATGCAAGTTCAGCACTAAGTCCAACAGGACATGAGCATCTGATCTGGGGCCACTTGGCTGGGGAATGAAAGCCACAGAATTCTCTTGTCGTAACAAAAAATCCAGTACTAAAGCATTCGTGTGGTTTTGTTCAGGTAAATCGAGTTGAGTGACCCCCAGTGGCAGAGTTTGTCGCGAGTCATTCGTTCCGCTGAATCCAATAGTGGGGTTTGACTTGATTTCCCCAATATCCCAGCCAGAGGCGGATAGCTTGTCGGGAAATTCTTTCATCTCTTTCGGGAAAACAATGTGCGACAAAAAGTAGTCCACCGCGGCTTTTGCAAAGCGAAGGGCAGGAAATATGTGCTCAGCACAATGATGTCGATCGTCCAAGTTCACGCCCACCAACTGGTGGTAAGCAGGTGAAAGCATCGGTGCATCGTTCACCCAAATCTGATACTCCGCATCAGCCTGATCTGAATTGACCAGGTGAGCGAATGCAAGGAATATATCATCATCCTGGAGCCCAGAATAGTAGTAGTTCAGGCACGTCAACAGGATGACGACGTCCGGGTGACTGAATTCCGAGCGAAGAGAAGGGCTGTCTTTGGCCCGGTACGGTACCGAAAGCCTTGTCGGCGGATCTCGATTCGAATCAGGCCCATAGTCCACCCGCCATCGCTTGTGACCCAAGCAAAAGGCCAAGACGCCCCCAGCAAGCAAGCCCCGTATCAAAAGGAGGGAACCCCGGGTACTCTCCCCCCAAATGCCCGTTGGATCCTCGCGCTCCACGGCTGCGACCTCATGATCCGTAGGAACAGCCTTCATGATGTAGGTAAGAATGGCCTCTCTCACAGGCATGGTCTGCCTCGAGATCGGCAGGGAACCTATTCCACTTTCACATATATGCGTCCCGACATATGCGAGGAGAGCCTCTTCAGCATCGCGATCGAGCAAACGTATTCTTGGAAATTCACCACGCCGGTGTTCACTGACTTCGATAGAATGAGGGAACTGAGCCTTCACATGCGTAGCATATTGCCTCACCAAATACAGAGCCTCTTGGATCACCATCCATCGTTGCGGGCCCAGTTCGACCGGGCGTTGAGCGCCCATGGTGTATATCAGCTCGAACTTGACGTTGAAATTCTCATCACTCTCGTCCACGATGTCACGCGAAGATTCGTGGAAAAGTTGCAGGATTTGAAAAAGAGAACGGCCTACGGCGGTTTTGCCAACAATAAAACACTCAAGGCACATCAGCTTCAAGGAGAGAATGTGTTCGGGCTGAACAAGTAACACCCCGCCGAGGGATATGCACTCAGCGCACATGCGCTGAATCTCATCTGCTTGGGCTTCGCCCAATTTCAACGAGCGCGAAACGGGCATGTGATAAACACGCCGACCCAAGAGGCCGCCTAGCTTTGCGACTAACATTTGAAACATCTGTCGTGATTGTGGTTTAGCCACAAGCACCCGTGCCAGATTCGACCCATTCGCATAGGCCGTCACCACGATAGGAACGACTACCGAGGATTTGCCTTCACCCATATTCAACTGCATGACCGCGTTCTCTCCCCGGGGGAAATTTCTCATCCTTCGTGCAATACTTTCCTGGACGTCCCGAACGAGAATTCCGTTCTCAATCTCCATTAACAGAGTCTCTGGAAATTCGTAAGGGTCCCAGTTGGTATGACCTGGTGATTGAAGCTCCTTCAGAAATTCATCCCGTGTGTCGATAGTTCTAGCGAGGCGACTTGCCCGCTGAAGCGTTGTAATAGAACATCCGTAACGAACGAAACATCTTTTCCAACCAGCGTCCAAGCATTTCCATCGGTGACGTGATAGCTGTGCGAGTAGGAGGAGAGGGGACAATCTGGGGCATTGTTGAAGTTCGAAAGCCAAGGCGACCACCTGCGCACGAAACAGATCCCTCGAGTCCGCCGAATGAGTCCGTCGAGCGGAGAGGGTTAGTTGAGACATGAGAGAAGAATGAATCCGGTGGGCATAGTCCTCGCATGAGACAAGATAGTCCAAAATCACCTTTTTGCATGCGTCTGGGCTCAATTCCAACCGGCCACTTTGTTGCACACCTTTCATGGAGGCGACACTACTCTGCAGTTGCGCAACGTACCATTTTTCATATTTGGACGTCGCTATCATGGCTAAAGAGTCGACCAGTTTGGCTAAGTCAGGAGGGCATTCGGCCATGAGTGAAGATGTGAGATGAAAGCCCGGTAAGCCTGGTTCGTCGTTATCAAGATCTGGTAGAAATTGAAGGCAATTATCGAAGCACACAAACCCGCAATGGGAAATTGTATGGAGTGCACCAGAAGGCGGATGATACGGGGGGAATTTGACATCCTGACTTCGCTGATTGCAGAACAAAGTTGCGAGTCCGGTAATCCATTGTCTCAACTCTTCATTATCCATCCAGATATTGAAACCCTTCGAAAATTGACTCAAGGTTTGACGCAAGTCCAAGTAGTCACAGATTCTCGGGGACCCTTGGGCGGTGGGATATGAGGGTGATCTGGTGGGCCATTCGCTGGCGAAATGAAGTAACATCCTTTCGCAGACCAGTGACCGATTCTTTTGCTGAAGCGTTTTCCGACGGAGGGTAAAGTCTGGATATGTCTCATTCATTACGGGAACAAGGTTCGATTCCGGAGTGTGATCAAACTCTGCTTTTTTGATATAGCTGAGAGCCTCTTTTCCATCCATCTCATACCCCTCTGATGGCAAAAAAAGCTCACGCGCGGGCGGAGAGATGAAAGCGGCTTCTGGCACAAGAAAGAGAAAAGCAATGATTTCCAGCACCACCATTTCGGTTTTGCCTGAAAAAGCGATAGTTGAGAGCCAGGCCATAAGTTGGAATTTATTGAGACCGTCGCGGCGGGAGCACACAAGCTGGTGTATGCAGCACCAGTAACTGGCAATGAACTCCGTTGAGCCCATAATCCATTCGGAATCGTATCGTAGCCTTTTTATATCAAGGTGAGTACTCGGACCGTACACTCTGCTAGGAGACGAGAGAACCCGCCAGAGTTGAGAGGTCAGTTTTTCTGCGACCTGTGACTGGATTCGTGGGATCCCGTCGTAGAGCATCTTGCATATTGCGAAGCTGCGAATGCCAGCAGGAGTGATGCGACTGGCATCGAGGCCTTCGTAAAGATGATCATACTTGTCCGTGTGATCTTCGGCACCAAAACCGGAGACCCGGAATGATGATGTGCGGATTCGATCGCGCAACAGGAGCTCCGGCTCCACGTGCGGGAGGAGGGGATAATCAAGCTTGGCACCTGGGTAGAAAAAGCTTGTACGGCGATCTTGATCAAAAATGGCATTGACCTCTTCTCGAAAGCCCTGGTGCTGGGACAGGCTGCCGAGACCATCCCGCCAACAAACGCTCTGCATCACTCGTTCATTCGCAGGATAATACGCTCTTGCAGGGGAAAGGGACGCGATATTTGACAAGAGCGCTATCTGTTCGGGCTGAAGTCGATCAAACGACCTGACAGACGCAGAGCGGAGAATGAAGAGCGCCTGCTCGGTCCCGGTTTTCTTGGTGAGCGGATCGGGCAAACAAGATGATGTGAGAGCGTGCAAGTAGCACAGAAACAACTTGCTCTGCAATGTACCATTGTCTGCAAGCCGACCCAGTTGCTCGTCGATCGGGTATGCGTGGAGTGTAGTCTTGGATTGCCAATCGACCTCCACGCAAACATGGTCCTGGGCTTTTGCATAAGAGACTCGCCCTTCAGGTATGAGAACTAGGCGGTTGAGCGAGGTGAGACCTGCCAGAATGATCTTACTGCTTTGGCCGATCAATGAATCAAGCGACTGATCATTGTCAACTGACATACCGAGATATTGCCGAGATCGGATTGAAGAGGACCGAGGTTGGAGAGAGAATTCTAAACACAGGCGCGGTAATTTGATCCACAGGACCGACGAGGCATCATGGAGCATCAAATGGATTTTCAGAGGTTTTTCGACTGGCTGGAAGATGTTGGATATCACGCTCGCCGTCTGGCTAGCGGCACTGAGTAAGAAAGTTCCATCTTTCTCAAGGCGCCAGCCAATGTGAGAGTTGGCTCTCGTTAATCGCCAATGTTGACCGTCCGAAGACCAAGGCTTTTCGGCGGACCTGAACTCCACATAGTCACCCTCCACATCGTACCAGTGTACATAACTTGTAACAAAGGCGTCCGGGAAAATCCTAGCCAGAAGCCTGCTCGGGACGTATTCCCATACTCGACCGTCTCTCACCGCCTGGACCGACAGGTCATACTCCTTGGACCCAGGAACAATCCCTTTCCCCAGGTGCACTGTGTGATCCCGATATTTGGTTTGACATGAAAATTGCATTCCAGGTGAGCTGCTCGGCATCACATCTAGTTGCGATTTCCCAAAGAGTCTTCGGTATGCTCCGTAGGATTCATATTCCGAAGGCAGGCGTGTGAGTGGGAGTCCGTTCACGAGCAATTCTCCGGTCAACAGATTGTAATGCACGAACGTATGTGCACCAGCTGTCGACTGACTGTCGAGTTTTGTGAATAGCCAATACCTCACATTGGGCTCTTCTGACCACACTGATACCTCGCGGTATGCGGCCCACGCTTCGTGGATCGCCAAGTCCATCCCTGGATTCTTATGTCGAACAATAAGCTCCCCTAGGAATGAGTGGCTTCGATAACTCAGAACTTGCCATCGGTAGTAAAGAATAGGAACCAATGAGCCTACTTCGGTGGAAACAGAGCGCCGCCCATTCCAGATAACCGTACCGCACTGAAGAAAGACCGAAATATCCGATGAAGTTGCAAACACTTGGGCAAGGTCCTCTGCGTCGAAGGTCTCCACACAAATCAATGCAATGTGCACACTTCTCTCAATCAGTCTGGTCTTTTGTGCGTCGTCGACCGTCTCACTCGCCTTTCTTCTAACGGTATTGACCCAATGAAAAGCCACCTGGCGTACTGTTGTCAGGCAATGAAGGCAGACATCATGGATTTCTTGCACAGGCGACAGGGATAGAATCCTCAGAACAAGTCGAGCAAGAATATTCAGCGCATGGATCATTTCCCAGTTCTCCTTGATTCTTTCGATCACTTCCTTGACACGAGACAGCATTGCAACCACAAACGCCCGGTCGCCCAGGATCGCATGGCCTTGTCGTAAGCACGTCGTCGGCTCCGACGGGCCTGTCTGGTTGATTATTTGGAAGACGAAGATTGCTGTTTCGACCTTCTTTATATCCACTGATGGCGCAGCTAACTCCACGAGAATATTTTGCCACTGTATCTCCAGCCCAAGGGGCATTGATGCAAGTGCTTTGTATTCTTCCATCGAAATGTTTGCAGGTGCAGCAGATTGTGTTGCTATCACTTCATTTGGTGCAGGGCCATGTGGCTCTTGGGCAGGTCGGAAGATGAATTGCTGAAGCGCGGAGCTTTGTTGCGGCAGGGTATACACGCAGGACCTTGCGGTTCGAAGGGTCCTTTCAAACGCGCTCACATAGCATTGAACGGTATCATCGTAGTATTGAAAGCTTAGACCATTATTTAGACAAATGTCTGTCTCGGTCACATTGACTATCAACCTGTCCCGCCGGTGAGTTCGTTTGTGGGGCTTGTTCTGCGAGAGAAGACCAATTCGCGAATGCTGGCCATGGGAGGTGAAGAATGATGAGAGGCCTGAATATGTCTGCAGGCGATGCTCTGCTCGTGGACTCGATGTTTTCACATATTGAACCCCCAGACAGTTGTACAGAAAAAACAAAGTTGTGTCTCGCCAGCTCCCAAATGGCTTGGGTACCTGGAGTTCGAACACAGTGGACTTGGCTTGTCGCTGGGCAGTCGGCAATGGCCACTCGTGAACACTGATTTCAATTGATTTTGCCTCCCTTTTGTATCGACGACAAGGACAGGAATGGCTATGACGAGACTCTCGGAATCCGGATCTCGCATCCAGAATCACTTCCTCTTGCTGGCACACTGTTTGAGACGCCAAGTTCATGAGATGCCTGTACCTTTGCTGTTTCTCTTGCAGCTCCGCCTTTTTCTCTGTTCTCCTCTGGGTTGCGTGATCTTCAATGGTTTTAAGTAGTCTTTGGTGTTCGTCAGACTGGTCAAAATACCGGACGGAAAAGCAGTTCCGAGTACCGTAGTCGTGAAAGATTCCGGACCCATGATATCTATGATTGCGTTGTCGTTGACTCAGATATGATTCTGCCTGAGCTAGCCTCGTCATCTGTGATTTGAATGGTAGCAAAAGTGATTGAAAACAATCCACAGGTATGCAAGCGTCGTACTTCCCCAACTCATGATGACATTGGATGGCGGATTTGTCGCATGCAATCCACAGCTCGAGAAGAGTAAGAAGCATGACTGATATAGCTTCAGGATTTTGAACGTATGACGAGGATGCCGCTTCATGATATCGCATCATCAACCGGCCCAGCTGACTGCAGGATGCCTGGTCTCTCATATGATCCTCTATCCATCCATTGAGATGAACAGCGACCCAATCCTCGAAGGCGGCAAGGTTGTATCGCTGATAGTCGCCCTCGGGAAATTCCAAACAATCTGGCAGTTTGTTGCATTTATATTTGGGAAGCTGAGATGCTGGATTGAACATTTCTCTCAGTGTATCATCATGGCCTCGTCGCCCGATTCCTTTCAGGTACAGATCAAGATCAGGGATCGCACACTGGATGTCATGACGAAAGTCTAATGTCGAAAGGGAAGATGTGTCGATGCTACGAGAGTTCTTCCTCCTGATCTCTGTCCATCTGCCTTGGATTTGCTCATAAGACCGCTTCAAGATATCTCGAACGGGAGAAAACCAGGGCGGCTCTCCTGACAAGTTGAGTTTTAACAGTCGACGAACAATCTTAGCATTCATGCAGTAGATTGCCTCGCTGGACAGGCCGACCGAAGCCTTATCTACAACAAAGCTCATGAAGAAAACCATGAACTGTTTGTATAGATCATCCAACCTAGCCTCATCGGATAACCTGCGGAAAAGCAGTTGGAGGGTTACCCTCACCAAGAGCCATAACGCGGATCGTCTCCAGGGCGATCGACTGTCACGCCACATGACTTCTTCGCGAGTATTCTTCCGGATTTGAGTGGCTTTGGCATCCGCAGATAGTGGACGAAGTGTCGACATAAGCAATTCCGTGACCATCATGGGATGGGTGGTGTCTCTGTCCTCGTCGTGCTCTTGTTGGGCCTTGCTTACTTTGGGTTTCGTATCTGCAGCAGGCTGGTGGCCCATGCGTACAAGTGTCTGGGAGAGTGTTTCCAGTAGGCCTGGCTCATTGAAAGCTGCCAAATCCAATGTCATCGCTGGACCAGGAAAACCACGAACAAGACGTCCCACAGTGCTCGTCACAGATTCGTTGCGGGGCGATAGTTCAAAGGACTCCACTTGAATCTTATTATCGTATTTACTCAGAAAAATCCCCGCATTTTGTTCTCGGACAAAGATAGGTAAGAAACCACCTGACTGTGGTCAGAATGTCAAAAATGATCGGGAAGACTCACCACTCACCTTTATCTTTCAAATCATACAGGAGCTGAGTAACTTCGATCTCACTCCCATCGCCGTCTAGAGCACAGGTAGCTCTCAGACGAATGGTCATTGTGATGATCTGATTGAAAATATCAAATTGTTCGGTCGGGAAAAAGTTCCGAAACCTACTCAGGGCTTCAATAACAGTGTCCAGAAGGTACCGCTCATGCTCAAAATTATGATCATCTTCCTGTGGGGTCCGAGGAGGAAGGAAGACATGATGAAATATGTATGAGCTTGACTCTAAAGACATGCCTTGGAACAAATGCGGATCATTCATGGCAATCAGAAGACGGCAGTTTTCGGAATATCGGGATTGGCAGAGACTTCTGGTTTATATGGAGAAACTTGTTCGTATGCTTTCTTTTCTCACGGTTATAGCATGTAGGCACGTTTTATAGTAGTCCAAGTTCTGCTTGATACGCTCTGCATTCCCTGCTATTGTAGGCTAAAGCCCCCTCGCACAAATTCAAGGTTCAAGTCAAGGGTCCTACACCCACTTGAATATTCGCATGAATAGACCATGAAAAGAAACACCAGGCCAATTGTAAATGCTTTAGCACTTTTATCGGCCTGGGAATGCAGAGACCCCGATGCGGGAGGCCGTTCATGCGGGAGGCCGTTCATGCGAGGGATATTCTTTCTCACCGCTTACAGTGGAATTCGAAAACAGATTATCCCCCAAGTCACACACGCTTCCTTTCCCAGCACCCCACTTTATGACACTAAACCTGATTGGGTCAGGATCGGTCCCACCCTGTTGTCTTCGATGTATCTCTAGTAGATTACCAAAATTGTCGTGAATCCAGGTTCCGGAATCGGGCTGATCACGTTTACTGAAACACCATATTTAAAGTGTAGATGAATCTATCCTCATGAAGTTCCAGAGAAAAATAAGAAAGAGTTGCGTGGAATACCCCATTAGTGTTACACAAACAAGCCACATGCCTATCTCTGTACCATAGTAAAACATTTTACAGTGGTATCCACTCATTAAGCTCCACAAACCCATATATAGTAAGTGGTATATCACTGAAAGATAAACCAACGAACACTAGCTATATTATGCTGTCACTTAAGATGGCTGGGAAAGAAAGAAATGATAAATTAGCTCTCTCTACCGTACTTCATGAAATAGCCGAGATAACTTTTTCACACAGGTACTGTACTGAGCGGAGCTTCGCTGAAAGACTTTGGCCTGTTCGATCTAGTAGCTCATTTCGATCGGCCAAAGCAAAGGCATCCTCATCCTCTGAGAACACATTGTCAAAATGTATGCCACGAATACTTGCTTCGGCTGTTGCAACTCGATCTAGACTTCCTGTTAATAAGGTACAAACAGTTCCAGGGCGTAATGTCTGGCGATCGCACTAACCTAGCGCATTTCCAAATGCATGGTATTTGTACATTTCATGAACAAGTCTTATCACTTGCTTCAATTCAGGCATTGTATCTGGGGCGATGATTTTAACGTCGAAAGGACGCAACGCTCGTTGTTCTTTCAGAACTTGTTAGTATTCGTGGTTATATATTGTCGCCTTGCATAATAAAGAATTGGTTGTAGACATACCGTCAGGAAAGATAGATTGCAAAACCTCGAAGAAGATGTTATGAATTGCCGCACCTCTTTTTTCGATAAAGGATACTTGGCCAATAAGTGATGTGAAGTATATAGCAAGAGGCAATCTCCAGCGTGGTTCAAGATTTTGTACAATCTCTTTGACGGCCTTTAAACGGTCCTCCAAATCGGCTGAAGATGGGGTATGTAGATCAGCTGATTGCCAGATACTCCCACGAAGACGGAGGACCTCTTGTGGCCAGATCGGTCTTCCTTTATTAAATGGAAGATCCTGGAATTCACGAAAATGAGGTTGCAGGCGACGTAATCGGTCGTGTTCAAAGAGGGACTGGGCGCAGATTACTTCGCATTTGCCCTCAATCTTCAGCGATCCTTGAGAAAGATATTCACCAAAGTAATTTTGAGTTTCGTTGCGAAGGTATCGTAAGCTCTCTAGGTTTTTTCTGTATGGGTGATCGTCGGATTCCCAAAAAGTATCAATCAGATCCAAATCGCAAAGAAATGTGCCTTTAGGAAACTGTGTCGTATCTATCGCATACAACTTGATCTGCTGTAAATCTGATCCATCCCTGGGGTTCAAATGCCGGTAGTAGATGTACTGAATTGCGAAGAGCAAGGAGCTAGTCCATGAGACGAAATTGTCCCAAGTGCCATCCTTTGGCCACCATTGGAGATGCAAGTTGAGTGTTCGGGCTATGGTGATCCGTTTCTCACTATTCAAATTTAAAAACACGTCTTCCATAGAAGAGCCCTGATTCTGAGATGCCGACTCTGAATGCACCCACGTCTCATTTGTTGTTCCGACGGAATTTGGGGAGACGACACGAAACAAGTAGTGAGGAACATTATCTAAAGCAGTCGGCACCAACCCACTACCTACTTGGGGTTTAAAAAGTAATTGTTCCGATTGTTCAGATCGCCCACTCAAGTGAGTGTTTGCAAGAGTATCTGTCAGGGTTTCCATTTTGAATCTGGCGATGCTTTATTGCCGTTGGCGGTCAATATAGAGCAGGGGGCAAAAGTAGTCGAAAGTGGTAGTGTTGTTCTTCATAAATAGAGAAGAAAGACAAAAGAGAAGACGACAAGGAGAGAAAGAAAGCCAGGTTTTGGGCGGGGTTGATGTCAGATGACTTGATCCGCATGTATCCAACCAGCAGTCCGCACAGAAGATTACACCATCTTACAATGACTCATCGAACGCTGTCATCCAATATCGTTGAAATAGTATACGGACAAATAAAAACTGTTCACAGAAGGGGGGGGTATGTCACGGCCCACAAACAAACAATAAGTGCCTGGAAATGTGTCTATCTTCGAATTTCCACTCTAGGGCGCTTCCTTCGGTAAGTATGATCTGCGCAATGCCGGAACCTGTATTTACGGCAATTTTGGTAATCTACTAGAGATACATCGAAGACAACAGGGTGGGACCGATCCTGACCCAATCGGGTTTAGTAGCTTATGGTTTCATGGTTTTGGTGGCACATTCATTCAGTTTCAATTTTTTTCTATCTCATAAAATATCATATCGTGACTGCATAATTACATTCTGTTGACATACGAAAGTAAAAGATTACCATTTACAGTGGAATTCGAAAACAGACTACCCCCCAAGTCACACACACTTCCTTTCCCAGCACCCCACTTGATGACACTACCGTATCAGTATGATCTGATGTTGCATTTTATCACCCATTAAACTTCAAAACTGATGTTTTGTAGCTAAAGTCTCTTTAGAAAAAGCTCGACTTAGATGAAGTTTAATACTTCCCTCGTCAGAACGCCGAGGCCTTTCGCTAGAGAGATTGGCTTATGCATAAATGATTTTATGGTAAATGACAAATGTGAATGATTTATGCAGCAAAGATAGATGTCCAGACACGGATGAAGGAACTTGGGGATTCTTCTAAACGATTCTCGCACAAGCCTTGGAATAGATATTCATAGTGAAACAGCTCGGTGTCATGAAATGTGGCTGGGCATACTCCTGTGTTTTGTGACATAGGACCCATGATATCAGTTTCTGGAGTCTCGACATTCTCGAGAGCTAATTAAACACTGTTTGTGCTTATCGGATAAAATAAAGTCTTTAGAATCAGATTGCAGCAAAGAGTAATGGTGTTGTTATGTTTATTAGGTCGACCAATGTTTTAGAACTTTCTTTGTTGTGTTCCAGAGGTTTTGATTGATTTAATTCTTCAGGGGGATATACGAGATTATATGTACAACAATGAGCCTAGACAAACTCTAATTAACTTGGTTATCCGTCCAGACACCTTGAAGTTAATGCGAAAGGTGCGATCACTATAATTTTTTTTAGCGTTGCCTTCAGCTTCTAAAATACTTCATTGCTCATGCTTTCTGACAAGCCCTCGACGAGATGCAGTTGATTAAATGCGTTGGAAGGTCGGGACGCTCGAGGAATGGTTTTAGACATCGACCGATTTTGTTACCAGAAACCCTCTCCAAAACCACCCGCCATTCGTTCGCTGCCAAAGAATTGCGAAAACCTCCCGGGCTCTCCTCATATTAAGTAATCTGTTGAAAGGTCTTCCATCTGTAGGTCTTTGATCCATGGAAAGTACTTTGTTCAAGGGAACGATTGAAATAATGCTGATGTGACGCATTACTATTGATTCCATTGCCGTGTAAACTTCAGTGCAAATTACATTTCAAATTTGATTCTCACTCATCTATTCTCTATATTAGCCCAATGGGTGGACGCCAATCAATGGTGATCTCATGTTCAAGAAAATACAGAAACCTGGGTGCGCGACTATTGACCAAAAGCTGCACATCTGATACATCAATCAAGCTGACACATTAAAGATCGATGAATAAGCTATACGGTCCTTGTCGAGGCTTTTACCAAAGCTGAATACTTTCAAGTGTGAATTTATATCCCTAGGAGCATATCTTTGTTTCCCAGCGACATTTGAATGGCTCTTGAGAATACTTTGTGGTTCTCCCACGAGATAAATGAAAAAACACAGAAGTCTTGTGAGACCTCTTTGTAACGTCCGACGAGTAGCACATTGGCATCTTAGTGTTGCCTAGTGATATACTGAGAATGGCAAACTTCTGATAACCATCATGACGTCATGTACATTCAGGGTCCAGGAAAAAAGGTCATTTTAGCCCGCCCTCGCTATTTGCAATCACGCGCAGCGGTTTTATACACAATTTGTCTGTTTTCTTTATATCGAAAAAAATTGCGCTAGCTTGATGCGCAATTTGGGGATGCATATTCAATCCTAAGTGCAATTTCCGGTTGCTCAAGCCGATCATTACATATTGGAGTATTCATTGTTGTTCATGAAGGGTTCAATTGATTGGCCCACCAGCTGCATTTGATGCTAGCTCCAACGTATCCAGAGTTTGGCTCTGATTTATATTAGAGGCCAAACATTGATCGAACACTAGGACAGACGTATGTGATAATTCCGGACCACCCTGAGCCTGCTATCAAAAGTCAATCACAGGCGATGGTACTTATAGGCCTGGTACATTCATCAAATCCCTCTAGTTACTGACCCCAATAGAGTCGCGCTCTCGGATACTACAACAAAGAAACCTGATCACAGTCTACTGAGCTTACTTAGTCATTGGGAACTACGGTGCACAGACACGACTATATCTGGCGGCTAGCAATCGACCAATCCCAACTAGTAAAGAATTTCCAAGAGCTTGGCTGACCTTTGCCCTGGTACCCCGTTGGGGGCATTGTCTGGGCGCTTCGTACTTTGTTCCATCAAGTCGGCGACGGGCTCGGTCCCCATATACTCACTTTGGACAAGGACAGTCAACTCAAAGTCTGATAGCTGAAACATACAAGCCTAACGCAGACCAGGCATAGTATCTCTAGCCGTCACGTCTCACTATACCTCGCTCACCATTCCTCTCATCATATCTGGATCTCGCAACTTACTCTCAGTGATCCAAAGGTTAGATTCCATTGAACTGGATACTCGTTATGAACACGGGGCAAAGGACACCATGGACGACCGCCTACTCAATGTCTTTTTTTGGGATCTCATTAGCTCGAGCATGTAATTCGAATGTGGCATTGGCAATATGGGCTATGGTTGAATTCCTCCTGGAAAGGGCTGGCATGTACAAGCCGATACCTGGAGGTTTCCACGAACCGCTTTCTCCTAATCCTGGAGCATTCAGCTGGAAATATTTCAAGTCCTACAGCGTGAAGAAAGGGTATCAGAAAATAATCCACTGATTGTGGTAATGAAGTGTCCCGAGGTCTCACAGAAATGCAAAATCCAGCTAATTAGAGGAGAAGTAGGCACAGCAGTCCATTAAACGATCACTACACAGAAAGCAACAAGCACAGCAATGAGAGAAATAGCTAGAAGCAGCAGCATGGTGTATCCATCTCGTTTTGAGATTTACTCCATCTCCGTTGCTCGACTGACGCCTTCAACCGCCATGTGATTGTGCCCACCAATCGGTGATCCACACTCGGGACACCGGGCTTGCTCCATTGGCATACCACACTCCCCAATGGCAAACTAGAGCAAAGATTTTGAGTTAGACTGGGCCTTGAGATAAAACATGTCGGTTCTAGTAATGGGGATTTCACTCACTGGATGCCCATTGGCGCAATTGTACCAATGCCCAGAGTTCGTTGCCATTCCGCCTCGTCCGCCGACCATGGCCGTTTTGATCGCTTGAACTTCCTCTAAAGTTACCGTCTCATACCGTGGTCCCTCATAGAGACGAACCATCTCCTGGACTTGTTCTCGAAGCTCGGGGCAATTTCCGATCTCGTCGCAGAGATTCAATGCGGTGGAAAGTAAACCGCGAGCATTTTCAAGATAATTCACGGGCTTTTCGAGGCAAGGTACTTTTTCTGAATCCCCACTTCCAGTCGGATAAATTCGAGAATGATACCAATTTAGCTGAGATATCTTGGCGAACGAAATAGTGCCTGTGATAGCGATGCGTAAGAGACTTGCTTGATGGGCTTGAGTGATCAAATCTCGGCACTCTTCCAGCAGTTGAGCTAATCTCAATGATAGCCCCGGGACTTCGAGCACTGGATCCATGGTGGAACCCTTGCGCGAGCCTATCAACTTCATCGTATCGCTCAACTCCAGCTCCTGGATCTTGATCTGAATGAGTCGAGCGCTGGTGGTAATTTGATTATCGGGATCGTGGGAGGCGATGGTCATCCCTTCCATGCGCGCCGAAAGAACGGATATATCGCCTTTTGATCTTTTTTTATAAATGGAAATTGCATCCATAAGTCGTCTGATTGGCTGATTCTCGGCTCTCATAGTTTTGCTGAGAGTTGAAGCCTCCGCCCCTAGACGCTGACAATCCGCATATCGAAATCTGAGCTCTAAATGAGGGCTCGACGTGAAGAATTGTGTCCGCTTCAAATCCAGCCCCTCTTCAATGTCATTGAGGCGCGATTCCAGTCCTTGGAGCTCAGCAATGCCCTTAGAGTGGAACCGCTTGGAAATTTCGTCCATGACAGCACGGTTGATAACACGATTGTAACGTTTGGTCACGAATTGTCGAATGGACTTTTTGCAGTCCGGACACGATGGGACGGCACTCGCGAAAGAAGAAGAGGCTTGGAGACCGTCGAAAGTGCCATGTTTGTCTCTCGTGTAAGCTTTGTCCATACCAATAAATCCATCAACCGATTCACTTGTGAAGAAATGGCCGCATCCGAGCACGATGATGGGAGTCTCATCGAGGTTGATCTCAGAGTATGTCTTCCACTCGAGGAAATTAACACGGGCATCTCCCTTATTGCCGCAGTTTTGGCATAGATCGTCGGGACAATCTTCCCCGCAGAGACTGGGGCATTGATGACCGCAACTGAGAGCCTCAGTGCATCGCTCATCACACGGGAGTCGATTGCACGGCGCAGCGCAAGGCATCGAGCATGAGCCTTGGTGAATGCAGGACCAGGTGCACCTCTCAATGCATGGCGCACATGCCGTCCCGCAAGTGGAATCACATGTAGAATGTGAGCATTGAACCTGTGCAAAATATTAGAATTTCCGAAAACGAGAGTTTTTGATGTCTCTCACCTCGCATTTAGCATCACAAGGACGGCACTTCTCCCCATCATGACACGTCTTAGGACATCGATGATTGCAAATGCTATATGGACGGTCACAGATTTTTGTGCGACTGATGTGCTTGAATAACTCGTGTTTCATCACTCACATCATCAAGACAATTCGCACAATCTCCACTGCACTTATGACCACACGCGAGAAGTTCCGTGCATGGTGCAGGGCAACGGAAATCTGATGACATGATGTCTTTGAAACAGCTCACCTGAACATTATGGCCACACCTAGGAATGATCTTTCCAACCTGAGCGTCACACTTGAGGCTTCCTAAGTCGGACAATTGGTGGCAGAGGATGGTCTTTTTGATATGTCCACAGAGCAGCTCTACATCGTGAATCTTGGTCAAACAAGGGCCACAATCCTCACCACAAACCTTAGGACATTCGTGCTGGCAGCTCGATCGAATGCGAGGGCAAGCCTTCTCACATGAGAATCCATCATGCATGAGCGCCGAGTGGCACATAGCTTGGCACTGGTGCCCACATGGCTCGAGGCGACGGGCACATGGGAGACTGCACCCCCCTGCAGGACTTTTTCGCTCAAAGTCATGGGGTTCGGAGCAAAAGATGGGAGTTTCAGGATGACGAGGACAGCAGAGAGCCAGCTCCGTGCCCACAGCACTTGCGCGGGCAAGTTGAGAGTGGACATCCGCCCACATTTTAACATTGAGGTATGTTGCGGAGTTCCCAATAATGTACATGCCGTGCTGGGCTCGGCTCAGGAGTACGTTGATGCGATTTTGAGTGCGAAGGAAGCCGACTTTGTGTTGTGAGTTACTGCGAACAAGAGAGACAATGATAACCTTTGCCTCCTCGCCTTGGAAGTTGTCTACTGTGGCAAGACGGAGCGTTTGAAGAAGCGTCTTTTTCTCGATCGATTCCGGGTTCTTCGATTCGACAATCCCAGTGCCATGGTTCTCTATCCCATCCGCAGCCAATGTCTCCAAGTCCCGCTCGCTTAGACAGACCTCGAAGTCATTGCTGAGCGATGCTCTGAGCTTTCGTAACTGTCCCGTGTATGGGGTTAACAGAGCAATGTCTGTACTCGTATACTCTCCTTGTCTAACGAGATGCCGAACCATGGCGGTTGCCATATCGACCTCCCATTGGTTGCCATGAGACTTAACACGGCTGCCGTTATCTCTCGAGTCTTCGTCGTGGCGATGATCGAGCCAAAAGAGATTGTCACGCATTCCCACAACCTTCGGCAGGGTCATTACACATTCATGATCTTCGAGGCGTGGGTAGACACTGCGAATAAGCTGCGAAATCTCTGGCCTCATTCTTCGCTGTATGTTGAGTTGTGCAACGGGGACTGGGCTTAGACCTGGCTCGCCAACAGCGCGCCGTTCAAACTGACTTCGGTCTAGCTGCCATTTTTTCCCTGAGGACGATTCAATACTGAGCGAGTGGTTTTGAATCTGCGGCCGCAGTTGTCTATGATCCCCAATCTGGATGAAGTGTTCAACACCAGGCATTAAAGCCGAGATAATGTGGGCTTCCATCACCTCGGCGGCCTCCTCGCATATCATGGCCCTGACGTTGATACGCCGTAGGGTCTCAACGTGTCGTGCAAGTGCGGTGGTAGTAATTCCTATCACGTCTGCTTGAACCAGAGCTCGGCGGTCAATCTCCTCATGAACAGCGTTGATGTCTCGGCGATGGGACATTGCCTGATCAACAGCCTCAAAAAGTGAAGCAGCCCCAGCTTCCTGCCACTCTCTGAACCAGCTGTTTGCGAGAACTTGGCGATCCGACATGGTGAGAGTGTGAATATCTCTATTTGCAGCACGTGTCAGTTCTTGCAAGCGCACCTCGTTAATTCCATCGTCGTGATTATCTTCCTGTGTCTTCATTGACTTTAAACCGAGCCAGTTAAGAAGTACATCCGTTCTGGCTGTTGTAAATCCCTCTTCGTCCTGTTTTTCAAACTGTCGATGTATGCCGGGCCATCTGCGTCTCAAGCTAGGCTCTATCGCGTTCCAAGATAAACCTTTGTGGGACTGGTGGAGAGGTTTCAAGCAGCTTCCAGCAGCATTCATGCAAGAATCAATAGCTCCATAGGACATGCCAAGTGTTTGAGATTCTACTCTTGTCTTCGCAATGTCCTTGCTAATGACCCGAAGGTTCTTTCCTTCGAGCTCAGCAGCCTGACTACGACCACCAATGCGTATGATCTTCTCGATCCCAACATCAAGAAGATGTTTCAGGAACTGGTCTAAGGCATGGTTGGTATAACAGCTATGCCCACAATTAGTTGTAAATCGACGTATTATAGGAATTTTCTCACATCACCATTATCGGGCCGAGATTTGCATCGCGCTTGACCTCGAGGAGCGCCTGAACAATCTTCACTCCCAAGTACGACTTTCCAGTGCCTGGCGGGCCTTGGATGAGGGCATATTCTCGAGTGAGAGCCGCGATAAGAGCCTGACACTGGCCATAGTCGAGTCCAGTCTGATTTTCCAATCTCAAGAGGTCGATAGACTCCGGGGCTCTTGGGTCCAGGGCGGCGCTCGCAACTCCCAGCTTCGTGATGGAAGTCAGTGGAAATACAAACCCATTTCTGCGTGCATACGCCGGTGGGGGTATTATATGACCAGCTCCGTCATTTGACCGGCCTGGCAGGATCCACTTTTGAAATGATAATTCTCCTTCGCGTTCAATTCGCTGTAGATTCTTCAGAATTGGCATGAACGTCGCAGGGATCATCCCATGGAAGTCGACGAGGATCCCAGGAACCTTCTTGCTGTAGAGATAGCTCAGGAGCAGCAATTCCGATTGTTGAAACGATGCAAGCTTCACTGTGATACTGGACGCGAACTTCTCTGAGACCAGACTGCTGCTGTTCTGATGCCCTCGATTCTTCGAACAATTTTTTTCAGTGACCTCAAGAAAGATGATCCTTCTGTTCGTTCCTTGCGATGGCAAGAAACACACCGAGCTCCCCTGATCTAACCGACTGGAGCCTTGCCACCATATGCACTGCTCGCTTGAAGTTTTCTTGCGCAATTCTGGCGGTGGATGGAATGATAAAGTTGCTTCAAGCTCATTTCTCTCATTGATAAAGACGTGTCGGACACGTGCCCCCAGGTAGAAATTCGCCCCATTGGCCTTACCCAAGCGGTGGAGGACTTGGGTCAAATCATTCTGTTGCAGGAGATCTCTGAGGACATCTTTGGCCGAGGCAAAGATATCATGGCGTAAGAGCCGGAATGTTGAATCAATGTATCGCTGCAATGGATCGGTCAAAATGTGGGACTGGAGGAAGTTGGTAGAGGGTAGGTATTCTGTATCACCGCTCAAAATCTCCCCATGGGTCGGAAGGATTTGAATTCGAGAGATCTCGGCTAGGTCATTGTCGTGTCTTCCACCAGGGATCTGCAAGTCCATTGGAAAGGACGACATGACCTGATTACTCTTCGGGGAAATGTCTTGTGGCTTTGGTGCACACAGACTGCGGTTCGCGTTGTTGACCAGATTTGTCAATATTTCGGTTCTGCTCTCAATTCCATCCAGGTCGGCTTGGGAGCTTGTTTCGGTGATCTTGGATTTCATCGCGTGGGTGAGGTCGAGCAACCGAGGAAGTTCGGCGTGGAATCGAGAATGACGGAGCCTTGACAACAGCTGGTAAAGAACGTTCAATATCAAATTTAACATACTCAAGGATACCATTGGGGTAACCTCGGTGCTGTCCTGCCAAGCCATCAACTTCTGGGAGATGCCTGAGAGGTATGTGATTGCTCGATCTCCATTGGTACCACCGAAGTATGTGTAAAAAGTGCCAACAAAAGTATCAACGGAGAGACAGCTCAACAGAGAAGCATGAGTAATGACTTTCAAAAAGGCCTCGTGGTGAGACGAGATCTGATCGAAATTTGGTAAAATGTCCGACTGAGCAGTTGCTAGGATAAATGCAAACCCTCGTAACTCATCGTTCACAAGATCTTTGGCGAGGAACTGATGATCCTCGGTACTTCTGCTTTCCAAGATTTTGAGAGCCCCATTCCAGAAATCGGCCAGAGTATCATTTCCCCTTTGAATATGACCGGTTCGCACGGGACCCTCACGAAGAAGTCTTTTCCAATCGAAGTATCGATTCCGAGCCTCTGGGTTGGCAGGCGTTCGTTGGTTAACGGCCGATTTTGACTGGAACTCGGCGACCCCGGCCATTTGATGAGAGTATTTGCATTTGCTACCATAACGACACCTTCCGCGTTGAAAATGCTCGCAAGGTGATGATGCTTGACTGTAATTTCTTTTGTTGGAGGATCCCCCTCGATTGGCCATATAGCCCCTGGATCGCTTATCATTTCCACGATGCATTGTGGGAGTTGCTGAAGAACGACAAAGATGGACCGTCCAGCTGTAAGTGTCTTCAGAACAACAATATTTTATGACCCAAAGCTGAAAGACGTCGGTGGATTTTGATTAAAGCTGGATGTGAGGCTGGCGGCGATGTGGCAGAATGGAAAAACAGGCTGTAGAAGAAAAATTCAGGTTAAAGGTGTACTTATCTAGAAGCGGGATCGGTACTTACCCTCAATAGGGAGCATTTCTCAAGACAGCCTTGTGGAATTCGTTCTGACCCACTAAACCCACGCAATCATATGCTGGACAGTCCCAAAAATGACAGGTCACTAACACAAAGCTGCAACCAATGAATATAGGCATATAAGTATTCAGTCCGTCGGCCTGCTTGTCATCCTTCCATTCTGTTGGAGCACCTGTTTTGATGGTATTGTTCTGTCATCCTGATACGCACTACTCATGCATTAGCGTTAGACCTGTATCTATATTATTGGATTGTGACCCACACAGCTCCCCAACAATACAACTGCCTTACGCATTCTACAAAACATTCAACGCCAATTAAATGGACAAGGGTTCCGAGCCGCAGTGCATATTAGACTGCAGTCGGGCGCAGCACCTGCAGCTACCGACCAGCATCAAATGCCAGCGCACAACGAACAACACTTACATCCGTGGCGTCAGTCTAGACAATCAAAATACAACTAAAATACTATCAAAAAATCAAGTTTTACTCTGCATTTGTTGGAAATACTGTATCCCGAACTATCCTTGATACGGTAACATTGAAGTAACTCAGAAGTAAGGGTTTAACGTCAATACATTGATTTACTCGAGAAGTCTTGAATTATACATATCGTTGCTAAGATCGAAGGTAATCCACGAGGTTGCGCTTGGATGGTTTTATTTTTTTGAATACTAGAACAAGACGTAATGGAAAGACTTTGTTGAGTTGGAAATTCACAGATGTCAACTATTATACAAGAGAGATTTTCAGCCAAAACTAAGATCATGGCTTATTTATTTGCTTTTTTATTATTGAAAGAGCTACCAGGATACCAGTGCCAAATTAGAAATATGTAGCTATTTCAAAAACATTCGGACGAAATCTAGAGATTGCGACCCAAATCTACACTTGAACGGGCTGTCTCCAAGTGTATTTGGGGGGCGGGGGCGGGGGGTTTACTTATAGCACGGGGTTTGGTCATCTCGTAGAGGAAAATTCAAGATTACTGCGAGTTGAGATAGTTGAAGTCGGTTATAGAGCTAGGATTCACTGCTTTTCAGTAATAGGGAACTAACTCTATGAGAAAGAACTTTCAGTTTTGCGATCTCGCCCAATGACCCGGAATGACGCGAAGGTCGTCCCTGAGAGCAGGTTGGAATATATTTTAATCTCTTGCCATTGACCTGGGGGTTACAACTTAGGAAATGCGCTGACCTATGCTTGAGGCGGTTAAGGGTCTCTCAATTGGCCAATTCTTCCAGCGTGGTCATATGTCAAGAACGCTGCACGTTCGTCGTCTCATAAATTTTAAAATGCCCTGGCAAATTCAATCATTCTTCCTGAATTTCCCGTCAGTCGATCCTACTTCCTCTAGAAGCTACGCTGAGCTCTCTTTCATGGTGAATCGATGGATTGTTTTGAATGGCTATCCGCATAGCCTCACGTTATCCAACGGAAACTGTGCTAAAACCAACTATTCAAATTGATTTACTTTGGACCAATCATTAGCAAAATGTAAGCACTTTGAGATATTGATCAGATATATGACGTCAAATTTCAATGCCGTTGAATGTCAAACAATCTATCTATACTTCATCGTAAGCTTGTGGCCTAGATTTCCTGTTTTTCTTTTTAGCCGATCCTTTCGCATACTTAGAAGTTGACTCTTCGGGAAGTTCCAAGGAATCAACCGCGGGCTCGGGCTCGGGCTCGGGGCAGTCCAGAGCATCGGGCACGGCGGCTGCCGCATTACCAGAACTCAAAGACTCCGAGTATTCATTTTGGTCGTCATGTTCGGGGATCGCAGTGTTTTCAACTTCCTCAAAAGGGCTCCGAGAGCCACTTGAAAATTGGGTAGCACGTGGATTGTTTGACTCGCTGCTTTCATTTTGGAATTCTTGATTGAGTTAGTTTCAATACGAGATGGTGTAGCGAGCTTCTTACCCAACCCCCTGATACCAACAAATCGCCGGCAAGTGTCGGAACCTTTGGCGAGAACACGTAGTTTCTTATTCAGCTGTTCGCGAAGACTTCTGCTTTCCTCGCTCTCGCCTGCAATTTGCGTCACCAGCTCGTCAGACATGTCGAAAGCAGTCACAGGGTTGAAAATGCCAGGCAGAGTGCAAAGAAGCTTCATTTCAACCACTTCTGTGGCAATGTCGTCCACGAAGCGTTTCAAAGCAACCTGCGAACAAAAGGTCATCTGTCAGCCTTGGAACAAGACTAGAGTCTAGCCTCGACTACCTTGTAATACGCTAGCATGCAATCTAGAGCTTCCTCTGACGCATACTTTGTCATGTTCGGTTCGGTACTCCTAACGAGGGAATCAAAGAGCGCACGAAGGTCAACAGAATCACATGTTCCGTATGCACTTGGTAAACGGTCAACCTTGAAGTGACGCTTGAGCGCCTCGCGCAACTGCTCTTTTTGACGGCCATTACGTGTGTGCTGAAGTGTCTCGGTAAAATAATGGTTGTATGTGATAGGATGCCGCTGCTGATGGGGAGTAAGCAGTTCTGCAGTTCCTTGCTCCAACGTTTCCCGTAATTCAATTAGGGCTGGAAGGATGAGTTTGTCAAACAAGGCGGTGGAAGTAGCCTTATCTGCGACATATGTGACTACTTGCTGGAGGAACTCTTTCGCGGCAACCCAAGCGGCGATAACATGGTTGCGGGATATGCCCTCCCACGGTCGGCTGTGGTCCTGGAACAGATCTCTGGTGATCATCGGATCATAAGTGCCCGGTAATTCACGACCGCGTGTCCTCTCCAATAGTGTACCAATGTCATCAAGGTAGTCATCCCGTGACATTTGAATTTGATGCTCGCCGATAGAATCGTTCTCCTCTGTGATGTCTAACTGACGATAGTGACCGTATCGTGCGAGATTTGCTGCAAACTCCGCATTCAGATTCTGGATCACCGCGCGAATTCGTCTTTTGTACCCAACGTCGGTTTGGGCAGGTTCGAAGAAAGGTTCATTGTATGTCCCGTCCACCGCAGTCTTGACTAGGGATTGGAATGATTGGCTGATGTGAAAGAGATATGATCTTTGTGCATTCAGTGTGGCTCGAGGTTGACCGAGCTTACTTAACTGAGCTCGGCACACATCGCTCTTGGCGTTGATCTCCTCGATGAGGCTAGGCAATTCAGCTGCAATTTGCCCGAGAAGCAGCTTGCTCAGACGAGTGCGTAAAGTGTTCACACCCACGAGAGACCGAGGCATGTCTTCCCAGATCCCTCGAGAAAAGAATTTCCATTCTTGAACATCTCGCTCGGACAGATCCCAGTGACCCCTTTCAGAATCCATATTCTTCAACACATGCCACCCCAGGCGGAACTCCACATCTTGGTTCTTGGCGAGTGATATGAACGATGCCTCACTCTCGGATCCGGCTACCAGAATATCAGGCTTGGTGATCACCCCCAAGGTCCGGTTTCCTGAAGGGTCTGCGTCTCGCGCTAGGCGTAAGATGATCTGGTTGGCGAAGTCGTTCTTTGCGGATACCACCGCCAGAATGATACTCCGTGGCTGGCTCATGTACGACTGAACCACACTTTGCACCAATTGTACATCGGCAGCCGATTGCTGTCGTGTCTCAGAGTGGATAAGACCCGGAAGATCAACAATTGTTAGATGTGGACGATCGGGACCCGATATCTCAACCCGAAGCAAATCATTGGAGAAAGCTTTCCCGTGCGTAGAGATGCCCATTGCCGCCTTGGCGTTCTCGATCAGAATCGCGAGACCATCAAATCCACCGAGTTGTTCACAAAAACTACCCAGCGACTGTTGCTCTGCTTCACTTCGAGAGTGATGGGGTACTATCGAGACTCGAACCCCAACCTGAGAATTCTTCCGAAGCACAAGCTCCGTGGGAAATCTTGTACAGAGATTGCTTTTCACTGGAAACGAAACACCGGAAATAGCTTCGAGGACAGAGCTTTTGCCGGAAGATTGATCCCCGCACACAATGATTTGTGGGAGAGAGACATAATGGCTGATTCCTTGCGATCGAAGAGTATCCACGGAATCCAAAAGATCGAGCTGCTCTTGTGTGCAAAGGGCATCAAGTGCGTCCGACTTAAAATTTGTCAAAGTCATAGTCAAAAATGATTAGCGATAGACCACTAGAGAAACCACAAGTTCAGAGCGATATAATCATAGCGGAAACAGATATATCTTTGGCAGTTTATATTATTTGGGTCTGAAAAGAACGAGAGCTGCAAGCAAGGAAGCAAGCAAGGAGCAATGTAGTTTTATGCATACGCCTGGTTTTATGTCTTGCTTCTGTTGTAATGCTGAAAGCTATATTCGCAATAATTCCATGAATTCCGAGAAGGTGGTCGGTCCATGCGGGAGGCCATCCATGCGGGAGGCCATCCATGCGGGAGGCCATCCATGCGGGAGGCCGTCCATGCGGGAGGCCATCCATGCGGGAGGCCGTCCATGCGGGAGGCCATCCATGCGGGAGGCCGTCCATGCGGGAGGCCATCCATGCGGGAGGCCGTCCATGCGGGAGGCCATCCATGCGGGAGGCCGTCCATGCGGGAGGCCATCCATGCGGGAGGCCGTCCATGCGGGAGGCCGTCCATGCATAACACTGGCAATACCATGCAAAGGCGGGAAGCAAAGAGTACGCTTTACGTCGAAACCTTCTATCTTTAGTGGCCATTTCATGATCACTGATCAACCACTATTGCTGTCAAGTACCAACCCCAACGGATGCGCATTTCTTTCATTGATCTACAGAAGTTATTCAAATTTGCCAAACTGGCCGGGTTGTTTTGTGTCTGAGGCTACGCTCGGCTTCCACGGCAGTCAAAGGTGTCTAATCAAGGTTTTACTCTCGAGTATTTCTTCGTATCCGATACCCATATGGTGTATTTATGTATTTTTCCTGCTTTGGACAAAATAAACAGAGGACATAACTGAATATACGCAACGTGCAAGATGCAGAATCTTTCTGGTAAGATGCGATATATCTAGTCATTCATAGCAGAGAGAAATGGTCGATTCATAGCCATACAGTATTACCAGGCTTGTGCTATCGAGGTGTGGATCACCCTGCTGCCTTTTTAGGGGCTCAGGCTACTCTTAATTCATTCAAAGCTGCACGACCGTGGACAGTTCTCGGAGTCGATGTCACCCGGAGCTCTTTCTCCTTCAACCTAGCGCCCACTGTAATTTTGACTGTTACCATCCGGTTTTTTGGGGCTAAACTCGCTTTGGGGCCATCTCTTTCAGCATCTCTAGGCTATCTGGGAAAGTTCAATCTCAAGGACTCAAGTTCGCTTGGAATCCCTTCATAAATTTGAATCTCGAATCGCCCTTCTGCTTCTCGGATATTTCAAGGTATCAAATGTGAAGCCAAATCCACTCACTTTACTTGGATAAAAATCAATAAAGTATTAATGTTTATACTCCACTACACGAGCATCTAAACATCGTGTACGGAGTAGGCAAATCCTTAAAAGGCCGGCGAGCAGTTTTCAAAAGATTGGCACTAGAACCGAAACAATATAAAGCACAAGCAAACTGCCATAAGCACCGAAATCTTCATTTCCGTCCCACCATTTGATTGGCGTACATTTGAGAAAGGCGGGGCAGGTGCACTGACAATTCAATTCATCCACAAATCTGTCATCAGATCCAGCTCCCGCATGACGGCCTTTGACATGCAGTCCTAGGTCGACAATGGGCCGAATAGAAAATGGCCAGGAGCCAATCATTCAGATGGTACTGTCTGCTCGGTTTGGTGCTGAAAACTAGCCTTCAGCCCATAAATATCTCCTTTTCTCATGCTTGTGTTCAAACCTGCTATTATACTGATACTTAATTCAAATTACATTGCGCCCAAGAAAGAGAGGAACCGTCCAAAAATATGACTTCAGCATCCTTAAAAGGATCTCTAGAAATTGACCCAAATCGCGTTGGTCGCCCGAGATTTGACCCATACCAAAGACTTCTCGGTCGATTTTACGAGCAATTGTTTCTCTTGCATGCACTTGGACAGACACGCGGCAGCCACACCCCTCTGTCGTTTGACGTCGATGTCAGGCAGGCTAAAAGTCGGCGATTTTTGCAAAACCTCTGTTATATCTGTGATTTCAGAAAGGGAGGCAGCACATGCACTGCAATCGGCCTCGAAGAGCTTGATACCTGTTATAACTTCTGTGTTGCTTCGAACAGAGAGACAGACAAAATCGTCGCGTTTCTCCACACCGCCTTAGATACTTTGCGGGCCATCACCCACCCGGTCGGCACACGGAATGTCTACAGCGAGTCGCAATTCGCAACAAGATGCATCAAATTTGCTTCTGAACGTGTCGACGAAGAAAAGAGATGCCTTCGCAGATACGCCAAAGATTGTCTTTCCAAGCTGAGCGGACACATTGCAGCATCCGGTAAGCTCACTATTTCACTCTTCTCACGCATCAACCGATCTAATTCTTTAGATTTGGTTGCCTGGCTTAACACGGCCATGAATTTTGATGATAACTTCGCGCTCTGCAATTTCGCGCATGACAATCGCCATTCATCACTAGTGAAGGAGCTGGAGAGACGGGGTGTGGAGGAAGAGAAAGGGTTGAATCCTACGAGCAAAAGGTCATGTTTTATCATGATGCGACATTATATCGGGAGACTTGCACATCACATACGGGCTTCAAGTGAGCTGATTCAGGACACTGAGGAACTGAGACACCTTCTTGACAATCATGCTGTTTGTCCTATATACGCCCCACCTGCCGTACCAACGCCTATGTGTGACTCCCACGTCAACCTTCGCGGGATCTTGAATCGAATGTTCAAGAAGGATAGCGAAGACAAGGATTCTCTGAAGGAGGGCCTTCTGCACCTGCACAAGGTAGCAGGTATATTTGACACCTTTATCCGTCAGTACAATGGCTCCACGCTTGAAGTGCATGCAGAGCTTCAGGTCTTGGAGTATTTTTGGAAGCTGCGAAAAACATTCGCGGGCGAGGATCGGTTTATTGCTTGTAGTAAGCCGGCCTGTTTCTGCTGTGAACTGTACTTCGAATATCATCCAGCCCGCGTGATGGTATCTTCCTCACACCGAAAGATTTGGACAAAGTGGAGTCCACCAAATGTTGAACAATTGGACCGGAAATGCCCCACAGCCATGCAACAGAGGAATATCGTGAATAAAATGACGGAAACCATTCGCGAGCAAGTGTTCAGTCATGTCATTCAATGCGTGCCATCGAAACGATGGCATCCGGATTCGATAACGAACATCACGGATACCCGAGGGCCTAGCTTCGGTTCCTATTCACTCGAGGTATCAGATGAGACTCCTGGGACTCTACCGAGTATAGTTTTAGGATTTCAGCACAACAGACGCGCCATTTTCACCAACACAGAAGTTAGCGGGAACATTGACACCGCACCGGACTTTGATGGTATTTCTGACCCGGAAAACGGAGGTGTTTCTCTCTCTGGCTACACTTAGCACCATCTGCCACATGCACTGAGCCTTTCATTACGAACACCTATTGATAACAAAGATTGAGCGGTGTTCATTTATCTCAAAGTTGCTTAAATGATGATCAGAATTAACTTCTAACCTGCCTCCCTTCCTCCTTGTTATTTTTTGTCACTTCTGCGGCGGCAGCGTTTCCTTCCCCCAGCCAGCATGACTGCAATTGCTTGTATATATACCATAATCTCCAAAGACGCGCCATGGGCTCTTTTGTTACCTTAAACGTGCCGGTGTCGTCAATCTTCCGCAGACAACCAGCTTTATTGGATATCCTCCATTCATGCTTCCACTGATCGGTGACGTCACTATGGATGAACGTCCTCTCTATTTTGAGTAGCGGGGGGAAGGGTTGAGATTTGCTTGGACTGGCGGCCTGCTTCGCCATCCGGTCCGCAACGACGCAGTTGGAGTCGTGTTGAAGGCAAGTTGTCAAATTGCCTGTGCGAAGACTTGCCTCTATATGTGGGAAGGGAAATTACACATCAAGTCTATGAGGTGTCTAGTTTGGTACAAAGGATTAAAAAAAGGGATATGGAATAGCAGAGACTCGATATGAAGCAAGGCAGCAAAAGAAAGATCACAAATTGATAAAGCAATGATAAACAAAGATTCCCGGACCATACCAACTGACCATAATAGCTTAATCTAACTGACATGTCTTGCCTTAAAGTGTTTCTGAAAGTTGTCTTCTCTCGTGAACTTTTCCTGACATACAGCGCAAACGGTTGGTTCCAAGCATCCCCAGCGTTCCCTGGCCAATTTCTTGTGAGCAACCTTGATGTGCCGATCAACGCCCTTTTTTTCCGATGATGCGTATGCGCAACGGGGACATTTGAAAGGTAGAGTATGAATCTTGGTATGCTTTCTGAGAATTTTCAGCAGATTTGCGAAGCGGAAACTGACATGAACCTACTTCAACTGGCATTTAAGAGTAAAGCCCTGCAGCCTTTGACATCCCTCGTATTGGCAGTAGTACAATCCATCATGGAGTGAAGGGTTGACTGATTCATCCGAAGGCATCTCAGCTTCTTCGGATCTCCAGTTCGCAGTCCTCACTACATCATGAGTTGCAGACTCAGCACTGCTGGTACTGATCACTGCACCCGGAACACTAGCCAGATTCGTATGAAGACCGCCAGATATCTCGCTTTCCCTCATCAAAAACTCAACGCAAAGATTGCTCTACAGAGAATCATTTGCTTCGATTATATCCTGAAGAGTAGCAGACGGGATCCCGCTAGTACCTAGAATCTCAGACTCGGGGTTGAATGTTTCTTGCTGTTGGCTTTCGCTAGGGATGTTGCAGATGTAAATATCGAACGTTGTAGGAGTCGCATGGGTCGGAAGATTACTCGCAGCCGCACCTTCCAGCTCAATTGGAAGCTCGGCTTCAATCGAAGCTGGCATATCACCGCCCGGCCACGACTCCATAGTCAACCTTCTCAAATGGAGATCGAGCGGGTTGGTATAAAGTGTACTTTGAGGATCTCAAGCTAGCAATAAATAGCCTATTTCAATCGGTGGCCAGGCCCCTAACCAAATAACCTATCGGGGCAAACCAGCGGTCAGAGAGTTGTTCAATATCGCCCAACCACGCGTCTACTCATCATTGGTCGTCATCCACCGCCTATATCGTAGTTGGGCGCCAGTTTGGACCAGTGCACTTGAGAATTTGCAGGCCGAGATAGAGGTAGCAGCTGCTGAACATACTATGCCGTAGGGACCAGAAATAACGGTATCTTATCCGTGACCTAGCAATCCAACCAAAACGACCGTACATCGTACTGGTACAATTCTAGGTATACGAAGGAAATGATTTCTGATAGAGCTATAATGATAGCATTTTCTTCTACCCTCATATCCGTTCTATCGACCAGGCGGACCTATCCCTGAGACGTCTGTCGCAGCGGAGTGGATATGTCACTTGCCGTCTCTTTGAGTGCGGTAAATTCCATGGCTACGAGCTGTGTTGAAGGTAAACTTTCTGGATTTCGTGAAATACATTTCATTCTTCCTGATGTTTTACGATATCAATTTTTTGGCCCTCGCGGTGTGTACAGGGTGCCGTCATCATATTACCGCTTAATTATCGACTCAATCGTCGGCCATCTAGGACATTCACGTGGGCCAGTATTTCAGAGCTCTCGAAGAGCGGAGGCAATTCTTCCGCAACGCGTGAAGCCAGAAACGCAGCACGTGTGTAGTCAGGGCAACGCTTCGGTGAAGTTCACCATTGTGTTCAAATTTCTATCTTGAGTTGATCACAAATCTGCTTTGCAGCTAAATGGCCAGCAACCTTTTTTGTCCGTCCAATGCCCATCCCATGGCATGCTCCAAAAAGGATGGTAACTTTAAATCGAGGAGGGTCAAGGCTTATTGTTGAAACCGTGCGTTGCGGTGCTTGTCCGCTTTCTTGTCCTTTTTCATTTAACCGCGATGTGTACTTTGGTAGATCGTGGTGATCATGATGGTTGGATTCTAAGTTGGTTTCGCTTATCGAATCCATCCAGTGTGCGTGGAATTTCTGGGTCTCAAGGGGAGACGAGGCGAAATTTTCTTTTTCAGTCTCGAGATTACCTTCCGTGTGACCGGGGTTTAATAGAATCCGCCACACGAAAAAAGCCTGTGGCTCCGCGAGGGTGCGATAAGCACACCCAAGGAGCTGAAAAACAGCCTCCTGTGATTCTGAATTTTCATCTCGGAATGAAACGAGTCCCATTGCTTGCAGTTGTCGCCTTCCTGCAAGAAAATCATACGAATTGATTATTTGATTGGCTTCCGACTTTCACTAAGTCAGTCCGAAAAAATTCAAAGTTTAGACTGGACGATGAAATGAGTCAAATGACTGACCAGCAAGTCACGTGATATGCCTGACCGAGCTAGTTGTACTACGATGTTTGCGTGGAACATGACTTTTCCCACGGCCTGATCTGTACAACGTGTGAGAAACAAAAACTCAAATAATAGCGAAGGGTTCCCACCAATCTCAGCGTCGGCGTTTCGCGAACCTTGCAAGGTGGTCATGGTGTGTCTGAGGCGTACGATCAAAATAGATGCATCTTACTTGAAAAAGACTAATCACGGAGCTCTGGCGAAGGGACCCTTCAGCTTTATATTATATACTATCTTGAAAATGTCCGTTGGAAGCCGCAGCGCCGAGTTTCCCGAATTTTATCCCTGCTCGTGCGTCAGAGAAGGCGCATTGATCCAGTGAGGTATGTATGATGGCATCAGATAGCGCTCGTATTGAACATCCGTTACGTCATAACCCGAGTCTTTTACCCAGTCCTGCTTAATGATGCGAAGTAGGCTTCTGTCGGTGTCTCTACGACCAATTCCTTGTCACCAAACAACATTTACCTTTTCATCTGTCACGACACTCGACTGATCAGAATTTTGAGATTTGTTTTCGAACTTGTGCGAGTGACTTTCCGTCAAAATTATCCACGTGATTGAAGCCAAATAGTCATAACAAAGGTTCATCGCGATGTTCTGAGACGAAGCACGACCGTCTTCAAGGAGTGACAAGCGGCGAAGCAGAATCGAACACGTGGGCAGAATTGAATAGCCAATTCGAACCAATTCCACTTATATAGAGCGCACATCAAAGAGGTGCCTGCAGATCATGAAGGTATGATCTCTCCCAGAGGAAGTGCGAAGACGATGGTGATTCGCTGGCACAACCATGTGACTTAACTGGAATATGTTTTTGGAACCCATCATTGCCATTATACAAGGTAATATGGCAAGAGCAGAATCAGAAACCAATCATGGAACTCCTAATCACATCTACTTGCTGGTTGGAAGATTTCTGCCTTGCCTTCTTCCAGTCTGTCTATCTTCCTGCCCTTAGGCAACTGTGGAGAAATTTGACCATTTCAGACAAATAAGATCACAGTGGCAGGTCCGTTCGCATTGCACGTCCACTGCATAGAGACGATACTTCGAAATCTAATCCTGTGACCAGTCGGTCCAAAAACAAATAGAGTGGAGTATCGATGTTGCCGACACTCCTCATTGGGATAACTGTGGGGAAGGAACCCCCTAAGTGAAAGCCTAGGCACTTCGAAAGAAACCACGGACAGAGAGTATTAGTCGGACTGGAACAATGTTGTTCCGCGTACCACTATCCCCGTTCAAAGTAAATTCAGCTTTCCGAGTCAGTATCCTCCAGCTTTTTGAGTCCATCAAACAGTTACTGAAATTGAAGGTAGATGTAACAAATCTGGCAACATTCGGACGACAGTATTTTCAAACGCACAATTATAACTCGCAGTATGTAGCAAAGCTGCATCAATGGATTTGACCAAGTATAACTCGGCACTCTTTGTGAAGAAGACACAAAGGTTACACATTACACGTGCGAAAATTACAGAAGGTCTGATTCCTTGCGCAAAAGATCGCCAGAGCGGTCTGTGCTTCGAACTGCCCAATGATCTTCTCTCGGCCAGCACAAAACATGGCGCCTGTTTCAACGTGTACCATCTGAGCTCGTTTTTCGCTCCGCTGAAACTCCGGGCTATTGGCTGGCGATTGCAGAACTTGCCAATACACACTTTGCCGTTTTGGGTACTATGAACTTGACAATGTTTTAATTCAATAGGGAAACAGATCTACAGCTTGGCCATGGAGTAAAGAGACTTGGGTTGACCCATCTCCGTAGCACTCGTACCCCCTCCGCTAGTTGTGTTCAAATCCGAAAGGACTTCTGGTCAATTATTGTAGGAGGTCATGGAGCTGCTGTGAGCCTTTTGGAAGTTTGAGAATATCTTGCGCTGTTTGCTGTTCCAGCACAAAGAGGCCATGTCGCCTCATATCCTCATAAAGAAGGTGTTGAAAGAATGGATTTGCCGCAGTGCTGATCTCCCGAAGGAGTTTTCCCTGCGATTCCTCGAGTATGTCCACGAACTTTTCAAATATCTCATCCGCCGGAGCGAGAATACTTGGATGATCAGAACCAACTCTGCCACATCTCCAGTATTTGAAGTGGACTTACATTTTCTCGCTAATCACAGGGCCGACTGCGTCACCTAGCCGATCGAAGTGGACTAGGCTAAGAACAGCATCCCCAAACCTTTGGGCTAAAATGTGTAGACGTTGTCCGAATTTTCGAAACTCCAAAACAGTTCGACGTTTCCTTTTGTAAATAGCGGAGCCGCTTTCCAGCTCTGGGAATATTTTTTTCATCATCATTTTGTCGACTGCCTCAGCCACTGCGATCTTCCTCGGGTTGCCTCTTGGCCTCGGGTGGCTAACAAGCGCATCATGTGACGCTGCTATAATAGTGAAGTTTGAGTTGTTTCCAGCCGTCTCCCCACTTTGTCGATATATATTCAAGATGTGGTTGTATCGCAAAATTTGGAGGTAGGCCGCATTCTCCTGGATTTCACCAATGACTTCAAAGCGCTCTTGAATGGTGAGATCACGTGATAGCCATTTTCTGGTTTGGGCGCTGTGCAGATGGTCTCTCGTCTCTCTTGATGATTTGAGAGCTGCCCGAAGGGTAACAAATGACCGTGCACTGCCTATCTGAAGCAAAAAGATACAGAGACCTGGAAACAGTTCCGGCCCAAAATCCAACAGCTTGGTCTCGATAATGGGCCTAAAATAAGTGTCTTGCGGGGACAACAAGCCAAAAGCCCTAGCCATTTCAGCTTCTTGGAACAGTGTTGATATGAATTCGCGATCAAAACACCCTTTTTTCCTTCGTTGTAAATTCATGCCGCCAACATATTTTCGCTTGATTGTCGAGCCCTGGCTTGAGGACTGTTGGCTCGACACCCAGTCCGAGAAACCATCCGATTGGTACAATTCTTCATTGGGCGTGAGAACCACGTCTAGTCCGGGAGTAAACATGCGTCGGCTGTTATGTTGGGGTGATAGCTCAATCTCATGCAGAGTCCCGGTCCGAATTACTCCGTGGGCCGAAAGCGAAGCAATGCTCTGCATCTGTCTCCTCCCAATGGGCTGACCCAAATCTCCAGTCCGAGGGGACTCCGAGATTCGGTCCATGGTGTGGAGTCCGTTTCTTTTGAGTTCCCCATTTTCGTTGTAGCAGGTCTCAAAGATGGACAGGTCCCCTATTTCTGAGGGAGTCGAAAACTCTAGGAATGGGGTCGTGTCTCGAATCAATGAATCGATGTCTTCGATCTGAGGGCTCCTTTCATCCACGGAAAGTCGAGACGGGATGTTGCTAGTTTCATTTTCAAATAATTCCATCAAATTCAGTTCGTCAAGGCGCTCATCCAGAATTCTATTTGTCGTTGTAGGTGCATTCAGAATGTTATTTAGAATAGGTATACAGACTTACCGAAGCGCATACAATGCCTTGACCACGGATTCCAAACTTTTTGTTCGAATATATACAGCTCCAATAATGGCACTTGTCGCCAGGGCTAAGACACCGGAAGAATTCCCACCTGGCCGAGAATCCATCCTCAGGTACCGGTCGATGCCAGTACGCTTCGCTACATCTGCGCGGTGATTGGTTCCATTGACGCGGAATTTAAGCTTTGATGTGAAATCTTGAAAATGTTAGAGTTCAAGGTCGCGAAGTGAGTGAGCTGATTCTACCTCGTGACAATGTCATCGTAGCACCGCTGAAATCGATCAAAAATCCGGTGACTCCGGATCCTAGCTGGGCTAGTTTTCTGTTCCCATCCGGTAGCGTCTCGTCTGCTCCAGCTGCAGTCAGAGCAATTTGTACGTCTGATTCAGATAACACATGACATCCAACTAGGCGTCGGATGAAATCCACGGAGGCTTCCCTCATGCTTGAGATAGGAAGGCGGCAATGGTAATGAAAATGCGGTGCTATTGATACCGATAAGGATTTGGATAAATACAGCTCTTAAATAGTCACAAATAATGTCATAATATGTCTCATTCCAGCACTAGGTGGGCAGATTTTCCACCTGAGCGAGACCGCGTGTTGGACTGGTTGACTTGGTGTTCTCCTACACACAAGGACGTGCATCAATCCACGTCGCGTGATTTGATTGGGGGGCTCATGCAGTTTGCATTGAAATTCGACGTGTCATATGCATACCTGCAGTCATCCTGTAAAATAGAGAATGCAGGAGGAATATATCCTATCTGGATGCTTTGCTGTTAATTGACATGATTCCCATAATCTTCCCAGTCAATTAACGAAAAATCATTCTTACTCATACGTCTCCAAAATATACGTCTCCAACATGGAAAACTTTCGACCCCGTAACTATCAGATCGAAATGTTTGAGATGAGCATGAGAGAAAATATCATAGCCGTGGTAGGTCATTTGTTTTCAAATTCCGAGGAGATATTAATTGGTCCCACATTTACGTTTCTTTTCCAGCTGCCGACAGGGAGTGGAAAGACATATATGTATGATTCACTCCATTTCCAAAAAGCTCAATTATGATAACGATGTTTAGAGCTAGCATGCGGATTATGTCAGAACTGGAACGATGCCAAAGTCACCAGGTAAGTGGATATCTTCATCATATATCCTGACTGCTGTTCAAAAGAACCGCCATTTAGGTTGTCTGGTTTCTAGTTCCAACCAAAGTGTTGTGTAGTCAGCAGCTCACGTATCTCTCGCACCATATGCCTGCAGTGAGCATGAGAATGCTGACTGGTGATGACGGAGTCGACTGCTGGAGTAAGCAGAGCATTTGGGACGCCGCGCTTCAGGGAATGAAAGTTATCTTCTCCACTCATGCTGTGCTCGCAGATGCCCTTACTCATGGATTTATCAAACTGCCACGTCTGGCTTTGTTGATTTTCGATGAGGGTGAGAGTTGCTGATCCAATCAGCACCGGATGGAACTGACATTGAATTAGCTCATCATTGCGTAAAATCGCATCCAGGAAATCGTATCATGCGCGACTTTTACCACAGAGCCAAAAGTGAAAACGGTGTTGGGAGCATCCCAAGCATACTCGGCTTGACAGCCTCGGTCGATCCAACAAAAATTGGGTGAGGCAAACCGGTCGCATTAGGAAATAGAAATGAAAAGAAAAAAAAAAAAAAAAGAAGCAGGCTAACGAGGTTTAAGTGAGCTTGAGAAGAACTTGGATGCGACTTGTCGTGCCCCCTCGCTCAGCGCGAAGAGCTGTCAGAGCACACTTCTCAACAAAAGCTCACCAGAATTGCGTATTCTCAGTTTCACGACTCAGCAAATTTACCGCCTTTTCTCAAGAAGTTGGATGAATTTGTCGAGGAGCTGCGCGAAGATAGTGAATTCAGAGGGTATGTTATGGCAGATGAGCATTTCAAGCTTCTTACAAAGGCCCGTATGATATGGCATCAACTGGGCACATGGGCTTCTAGATTCTTCCTCGTCAAGGTGCTGCATCACATTACTGTAAACGCTGCTGACCATGAAAACCAACCCTCGCGTCGGTGTCTCGGTCACCGATACTTAAACCTTTTGACAGCACTGAGAACCATGACCGAGGTTAGTGTCCAATTAGAGGCTCCCGGCAACACCTCCAACAAGGTTGAACGACTATTGTTCTTCTTGAAAGAAAGGGCATGTGCGGACTTCTCGGGAATCATTTTTGCCCGAGAACGAGTCACTGCGCACGTTCTATCAGCGTTGCTCAATACGCATCCAGTCACCCGGGGTCTGTTTCAATGCGTGCCTTGTGTGGGCAGCTCTGCTCGTTCTGAGCCCTGGGCAATATACGACTCGGTGATCCCAAAGAAGGGCGAGGATGTCGTCGAACAGTTCCGCTGCGGCAAAAGCAATTTGATCGTCGCCACCAATGTGCTCGAAGAGGGCATTGATCTTCCAGCATGTCACCTTGTCATTTCATTCGAAATTCCAGACACCATAACATCCTACATCCAGAGGCGGGGGCGAGCTCGACAGAGCACTTCTGAGTTTGCCATAATGGAAGAAAAGGATGATGCACCTCTGGCGTCACGTGAATGGAATAGGCTCGAAAATGCAGTGCAGGGTATATTTTTGGACCATGCTCGATCTAACCAAAAATGGGAGGTGGACGATGGAGGACCTGAAGATCAGATTCTTCGATATCTTTTAGACACAGGGTTTGTCCTCCTGCCACAGTGCCACGAATATGCTAACGTCAAATGACTCGTTCCTAGAGCGCTGTTGACGACAGAGAATGCCATACCTCATCTATACCATTTCTGTGCAACTTTGCGGGGTGAAACATCTGACGAGACCACTCCTTCTTTTTCATATCAGAGAAACCAACAAGGCCATTTTCTCTCTACTGTCTATCTACCGAGTGGTGTCGATCCTTCGGTGCGGATAGCGACAGGGCACCATTGGTGGGCCACAAAGAAGTCAGCACGACGGGACGCAGCTTTCCAGGCTGTTCGTGTGTTACACGACCAAGAGCTTCTCAATGATCATTTTCTTCCATTGTTTTTTGATGACTCAGGGCCTGGACTAAACGAGCTCAAAGTTTTGGCCGCCGAACTTCCCCTTGTAGAGAACTTTACCAGCTTTTGGAACAACACTCAGGGTCAATGGACTGAAAGGAAAATGTACAGGTGTTGCATTGAAGTTCTTGAGAATGGGGAAGCACGACCAGCTCTCGCAATGGCGTTGTTTACTTCAGTGAAGTTACCTATGCCAGCCAAAGTGGATTTGTACTGGGATGATCAAACAACATTTACAGCGAGATTGCAACAGCTCAATCAGGAAGTAGTGCTGTCGCTGTCTCTGTGTCGTGTCATACGGAGAATCACGGCCGTTCTGTTACATTCGACCCGCGAAAGATCAACACAAGGGGATTACACAGACTTTCTCCCCTTCTTTACACCGGATCTTCCCTTAGAAGAACTAGAGGACTGGCTCAAGATCTATGATGGAAGTCTGATGGCTGAAAGTAGGCAAAACCGGATTCATCTGCTGTCCCCCGAGGGTTTTGTTAGAAGCCCTGCGCTTCATTTTATCCCCCACATCTTCAGGAGATGGATTCGGGACCCGGATTCAAAGGGACTCTCGATCGAATGTCGACGATTTGAGAGAAGACGAAACCTCATACAGCGAGCGATATTGACCCAGCATAAGTCCTTGGAAAACCCCTCACGAGCGGTCTGCATAGTTGCCGCAGAATGCACCATCGACCTCTTGCCCTGGGAGCTGAGCCAAACCAGCCTCCTGATTCCGCCGATGATACAGCTCCTGCACCGACAATTGATGGCACAGGCTTTGCGTCTTGAGCTTTTCGAAGACGCCCCTGAGATCAGCTTGGATACTCTTGCAGAGGCAATCACAACGCCGTCTTCTCGATGGACAGTAAATTACCAGCGACTGGAATTTCTGGGTGACTCGCTTCTCAAGTTCATTGTCTCCACGCATCTCTTCTACAAACATCCTCAATGGCACGAGGGCTACCTATCGAAGCAGAAGGATCTGCTGGTCTCAAATGAGAGACTGACGCACGCGGCCATAACTGCTCACTTGGAACAATTCATCTGCAAAGATTTCATCACGCGGAAACATCGAGCTTTTTGGCCGAAACAAGGAGACATTGCGAGGGAAATGATTCCAAAAAAGGTTTATGCTGATGTAGTAGAGGCTCTCGTAGCAGCCGCCTATGAGCATGGTGGACTTCCACTGTCCCGAAAGCTTGTTGGCATTTTTCTACCGGAGCTTTCTGACTTCGCTTCAACGCCGAAACAATCGCCAAAGCAAAATGGACAATTTCCGGTTCATTTGGAAATGAAGCTTGACGCATTTCTTGGGTACAAGTTTACGAATCGGTCTCTACTCTGGGAGGCACTTACACATCCGTCATGGCAAAGAGACCAATCAACTTCTTCTTATCAGCGGCTTGAATTTCTGGGAGATGCAGTTTTGGACGTTCTCGTTGCAAAGATGCTGCATTCTCTGTCTCCTAAGCTTGCAGAGGGCCGAATGACAGAGCTTCGAGCCGCTTTGGTGAATGCCGACTTTTTGGCATTCCTTTGTATGGAGTCAGCCATGGCTGAGCCCAGTTGCCCCATAGTCACGGCGGACAGTCCCGAAACCTTCGCACGAGCGAAAAATATCGCATTATGGATGTTTATGCGACATGACTCTCCTGATATAGCCAAACTCTGGACTGAATGTGCCAAGCGGCATGGCATGCTTGGTGAAGTAGTCAAAAAGAAGCTAGAAGGCGATGATTCATACCCTTGGGGCACGCTTGCTCAACTGGGAGCCCCAAAGTTCTACTCGGATCTTGTTGAGAGCACCATTGGAGCTATTTTCATCGAAAGCAAAGGATGCCTGGAGACATGCGGACAATTCTTGAAGCGTATCCATTTGGTTGATTACCTTCAGCGGTTTGTGAGACAGAATGTACGACTAGAGCACCCCAAAAGCGCTTTAAATCGTATTACTGGTACCGACGAAGTCAAATTTGAGATTGAGGATACAGCAGATGGACTGCACAAGATCTCTGTTTGGTTGAAAAGCGAGAAGATCGCGTCTATTGATAGCTGTTTCTCTCGGGCCGAAGCATTTGTGCGAGGTGCCGATGAGGCAGTGGTGTTGTTGCTATCACGAACTCGAGATCAGTGACCAGGAACAGGGGCAAATTGATAAAGTAATTCAGTGCTATTGCCTGGTAAGCCCCTTGAACTACCAGCAGACCAGAAACATGAGCCGCGGTTCTGTGGAATATCATCGAGAGCACTGTATAATTACGAGACTCTTTTTGTACGGTCTGGAAACGCAGCGGCAATGGGCAGGAAAAGCGGGGTAAGTGTTTTGATTGGTGTGTATACATAAAGCTACAGTTGTATGTGCTGAATTCGGGGGACTCCCACGGGAATTATTTGGACAACACATAAGACCGTATTCAACCACCTCTCGTTTGAGATAGAGCTTTATGCAAGGGAAACCGGGCTCTCGGGAAATCAGTGTCTAGTATATTACAACATGCAAGGCCCTCGTATCGTCACAGAAGACTCGGCGTTGGCTTTACTCACCGACCGAGCATGTGACCGAACTTTCGTTACATTTGAAATATTGTTTTTACTCCAATTTCAGCTCTCTTGAAGGTTTCCAGGTCATCTAACAGCATGGCTTGCGAAAAAGAAGAAGAATCGATCCTGCGCATTCTGCTTCAGGATCTCGAACATCTGGAACACAATCAAAAAGGTAAACAGAGGGAGGGGGAATTTTCAGACCTTGCAATCGCCCTCAATTGTATGAAGGATGACTGTCTCGCTGAACAAACATCGATTGAAGATGGAATCATGGCTCTCAGCATAAGTACGGCAGTCGCTACCGATCAAAATGAGCTGGCATCCATCAAGTGCGAAGAAACAATTGCCGAGTACGATCATCAACTTGCTCTTGCCTTGGAAAAGGGAGATTCCAACGATGATGATGTCGCCGATGTGTCCAATTTATGCGATAGGGCTTTGAGAGAAGTGAATGAAGACCCTCTTTCCACCGTCATCGGGGATCTAATGGGCCGGATGGATCTGAGCAGTAAGTCACTGGATGACGAAAGCTCCTCATCTTTCTCCTCGTCCCACAAAGGACCTTCCATGAAACAGTGTGTCTCTTGCCTTGAAAATTTTGATACGACGGTGACTGTGCGTCCTTGTGCCCACGAGTTCTGCCGGGAATGCATGAGACAATTATTTTTGGGTGCAACCAAAGACGAAGAGCTATATCCGCCACGCTGTTGCGGCAACGTTGTCCCTCCTGGATTGGCGCTGAGGCTTTTGAGTTACAAGGAACTCCGAGACTTCAGTGAAAGTGCTCTCGAATGGACCGCCAAGGATCGCCTTTACTGCGCTGAGCCCAGTTGTTCAAAGTTCATCCCCCCATTTGCTATTCGGAATGAATTTGGCACTTGCACACGTTGTCACCGCCAGACGCATGTACATTGCCGGTCATTTGCACATCCTGGTATTGACTGCCCGATGGATGATGCACTTCATGATGTTTTGCAGATTGCCGATACTGAGAATTGGCAGCGTTGCTTCAACTGTCGTGCCATGGTAGAGCTCCAACACGGGTGCAATCATATCACCTGTCGGTAAGTCAGCATTCTTCCATCGCGATATAGCTATAGGTGGGGCTAATCGTTTACTAGCTGCGGTCGAGAATTTTGCTATAATTGCGGTCAAGCCTGGAAAACTTGCACTTGCCCACTTTGGCACGAGAACAGGCTTGCCACAATGGCAAACCAAGCTGTGGATGAGGAGGTTCCGCAACATGCCAATGTTGCAGACCGCCAGCATGCATTCAATCGCATCGTGGAGGGACTGAGACACCACGAAGATGTCGGATGCGAGCATCATAGAAACTCTCAATGGGCTTGGAGAGATAGAGGAACCCTGCAGTGCGAGGTCTGCAATCATACACTCCCCGAATATATATTCATGTGCAGAAATTGTCGGATGAGGGCCTGCAATCGTTGTCGAAGGCACCGGTTGAGATAGTCATCTTTGGAAAGCATCTTACTATATATGCTTCTAGTATCAATCCGAACATTATTAACATAACCCGTTCAACATCGTTCATGGCGTTTTTCAGTTCTTGTTATTGATATCAGTAAGAACGTGAATACGGTACGAACGTTAGTACACTGCACCTGCGAAAGGCTTAAACACAAATATGTTATGGTCAGGTTGCTTTACACGACAACATTCAGACCTAGTTGCCATTTTATCATCTGTTCTTTATATCTTGAAAGAGAAGCCAAATTTTACGACAAATCTCGTCAGACGCCAATCAGTTCCACGTACTATAATTCAAAATACATAGAAATATGAATACTTGTCTCATGACTGTACTATGTTTGATGGCTAGTGAATCTCATCCTTTGTGCAAGAGCGCCAGAAATTCCTCTCTTTCCGAAGCACATGATCGCATGGACCCCAGCATGCTGCTAGTGATCGTCGTGCTACCCACCTTCTGTATGCCGCGCATGGCCATGCAAAGGTGGGAGGATTCCATGACAACGCCGACTCCTCGGGGTTTCAGTATTTCAAAAATGGCTAGCGCAACCTGTCTTGTCAGACGCTCTTGTACCTGGAGTCTCCGAGAGAACATTTCGGCCAAACGAGCTAGTTTAGAGAGACCGAGGACGCAATGATCTGGGATATACCCGATGTGCATCTGCCTCACGAAGTCAGTTCTATGTGACTGAGCTGGATGGAAAGGTCTGTACCTTTCCGGTGAATGGAACCAGGTGGTGTTCACAGAGTGAGAAAATATCTATGTTCTTCACAATGACCAATTCGTCATGATTTTCATGGAAAATCGCCCCGTTAACCAGGTCTCGAATATCATCCTCATAGCCTTTGGTGAAGAAAAGCATGGCCCTGGCGTATCGCTCGGGGGTGTCTCGTAGGCCTTCTCGCTCTGGGTCTTCACCAAGGCATTGAAGAATTGTTCGCACAGAGCCCACCAGCTTCTGAAATCGTTTCTCATTTTCTCTCGGAGTCGACTCGAAACATGAGTTTTTTCCCGGACCTGTTAAGTAGTTCAGCAAGTTTCAATCTCTTTGAAGATCAGACCTAACTTACACGGCCATTTGACGCCGCCAGGGTAAGTGAGTGAGCTCATGATACTGGACGCTTGTTCAGGACGGCTGACAGTCTCCTCCATGTTCTAGTGAATCAAGGTTCTGCTGAGAGCTATGGAAAGAAGGTGACTTTTGGAAACACGAACTCTCGACTCCTTTTCTCAAACGATGGAATAAGACATTATTATAACGGTGACGTGCGCATGCGCGGGGAATGAAGCTGCCGTTTAGCACGCGAAACAAGGTTTCTGTCAATCTCAAGAATCTAGAACTCATGATTTTGGAACATATGGTAAGTGGCTTGGTACACCAAACAGTTGACTAGTGGCCGCATCTGACTGCAAGCTCCCTACAAGGCCTGGATTGCCATGACAGGTTTACTCAAACACACATGCAAGTGGGAGGGGCAACGATGTGTAAGACCAAATGACCTGCAACGCACTCCTAGGCCCCAACCATGCACTTCAATCGCGCAGTATAACATTCCATTGTGGTAATCTGACACTAGGTCCGTTCGCTCTTTCCTTTTTTCCATGGATGAAATTGATTTCTGAGGGAGGGGGAGGGGGCGCACAAAATGAACTCTGCTTATTGTGCCCAATCCTGCAATATTAAATAGAATATTGCCGACTGAATTCGTGTTTCATTATGCACGGCCTATCGGTTGTGCCACTCGGCAGAGGTCATGCTACCCTGTGATCGTAGACGTGGTGAATGAGCCATCAAAACCCTTGCACACATTTCGGATACCAATCGCGGAAGATTATCGTCCGTGGTGCGATTTTCCATCCTCTAAATGAAAACAGCAACCATCCTACCTTCGCTTTGTGGCAATATGTTTCGTCAAAGGCTGTTCCAGGTGTCTAGTCTACGCCACTTTCTTGCACTCCTGTTGGCTAAGAGACCTTTTTCACTCTTGGGCTTTTTTTATTTGGTAAGAGTCTTATCCTCAAATTAATGCGATGCAGGATGCGCTCAGGCTCTGACCACATTGCTAGTCGGATGCGCGGATCCCAATTGCTGGCACAAAATGACTGACTTGAAATTATACACCCACTTCTATGTAACTTGCGTTTCTTTCAGCGCAGTCCCCTATAAAGTGATCAATGAGCATCCAATAGAAAAAACAAAGTAACCCACTCACCGTTGCTATCTTCGAACTCCCTGACTTGACATGGCGACTCTCGACTCCTTGAAATACGCCCTTAGGCAGAAGGCTATGGGAATTGACTCGAGGAGACCACTCACAGAAAAGGAGTACAATGCTGGCTTCAGAATCTTGATGCGGGGAGAATGGATTTCGTATCGGGAATTCATCGTTCCTCAACTATCTCGTCTACTCGCAACACTTGTCAACTCGCGTGGCCGTATTTCGGTGCTAGAGATTGGACCTGGTCCAAAAAGTGTATTGGGGTCCCTGCCCATATACCTGCGGCGCAAAATCGGGAGATACACTGCGTTTGAGCCGAATCTGTCATTTGCCACGGGCATGGAAGAATGGCTTTCCTCTGCTTCGGAGACAGAGCCTCCACTGCCCGGGTTGGAATGCCCACCTGAGATTCATCGAATACCGTTCATCCTAAACGGCGACCGAAGCAGTGACTCGAGCATGCGTGAAAGTGACAATGTTAAAAAGTTCGACATCGTTCTTTTCTGCCACAGCATGTACGGCATGAAACCAAGAGCCAAGTTTATCGAACAGGCCATAGAAATGGTTAAGGAACAGCCAGAAGGCGGAATGGTGGTTGTTTTTCATCGTGACGGGGCATTCCGGCTTGACGGACTAGTGTGCCATCGGACGGCCTCTTTTCCAACCGGAGCTGTTTGTGTGGCGGATGAGAATGACGAACTGGATCAATTCGCTTCCTTCATCACGGGATTCCTCCCGGCGGATGTGGAGGCGGGCAAGGGGCTTCAGGCCGAATGGCGGAAGATGTGCCGCGCCGTGGGAAGCCGGAAAGAAGCCCACCCAGGCCAGCTTTGTTTCAGCTCGCCAGCCATCATGTCAGCCTTCACCACAAATGCAGCTGCATTATCGGAGCTTGTGATGCAAGTGCCGTTGTCAAATGGGGAAAAGGTCAAGAACCGGGAGGCTCGTCTCCGCCATCCTGCATCCATTGTACGGCCAACAGATGTTCGACAAGTCCAGCTATGCGTCCAATGGGCTTTGAAGCATAGGCTGAGTCTAACCATTGTTGGCGGGAGTCACAGCGACCACTGCTTATGGTCCAACGTCGTTGGAGTGGACATGAGCGCCTTTGATCAAATCCATATTCTCACCACCGGGAGCGATGAGAAAGGACACAACCCTAGTTCCAATAGCCTGGTCGTTGCCGGAGCTGGCTGCAAGACGGAGGACATCATCCGCAAAACAATGGCAGTGGGTCTGACAGTCCCCTTGGGGGCCCGCCCAAGTGTAGGCGCTGGGCTGTGGCTTCAAGGTGGCATCGGACATCTGGCTAGGCTTTATGGGCTCGCGTGTGACGCCATTGTGGGTGCTGTGGTGCTTAGCGTTGAATCTGGCCAAGTTATGTGCGTCGGCCAAGTACCAAAGCAACATCGGCCGGACGGTGCTGTGGTTCAAGAAAACGACACTGATATGTTGTGGGCGATCAAAGGCGCAGGGACGAACTTTGGCATCGTAGTCAGCGTTACTTTCAAGACAGTCGTGGCCCCAACCTACTCAATTCGAAATTGGGTTGTTCCACTGAGTGACAATCACGAAGCAAGGCTCAAGCTTTACAACTTTGACAGCTTGGTCGCCAAGAATCTACCCCGAGGATATTCTGCAGACGCATATCTATATTGGGACGTTGATCAGCTATATCTTGGCATCACCATGTTCGAAACTTCTACAACTAAAATCACCACCGGGGAGCCCATAACCACAGCCGTACGCGAGATCTTCGGACCGGAAGACGATTATAGTACCATGGATAGTGTCGGTCTGTTCGACGCCGAAATGTACATCTCCAGAATGCACGGAGGACACGGTGGAAGCAAGACGTCCTCGTTCAAGCGATGTCTATTCTTGAAAGATATCGGGGCGCCGATTATCGCTGAATTATTGATTGGGGCCATAGAGGCTCGCCCCACGCCACTCTGCTACCTTCATTTATTGCAGGGGGGCGGGGCAATCCAGGATGTGACAGCCGATGCCACTGCTTTTGGTTGCCGGGACTGGGACTTTGCCTGCGTGATAACTGGAGTATGGCCTCGTGATCAAGATGGAACCGAGCTTGCACGAGTTGCCAAAGAATGGGTGTACGACGTCGCCAAAAATCTGTTGCCTTTAAGCAGTGGCGCTTACAGCGCAGACCTCGGGCCAGATCCTAGAGATACAGAACTGGCAGCTAAGGCTTTTGGACCGAATCGATCACGCCTACGCCGTCTCAAACAAATATCGGACCCGCTCAATGTGCTGGCTCACACCTCTCCACTGCTGAACGTAACGGCGGGCCAGAAGCTCATCATACTAGTCACAGGTGACATCTGTGCCGGTAAGGACTATTGCGCTGACATTTGGGTGTCCGTGATTACCTCATGCGCCCACAAAAGCCTCACGGCGCGCTCAGTGAGCATAAGCGATGTTACTAAGCGAGAATATGCGGTGGCCACCGGGGCAGACGCGATTCGCCTGCGTCAGGATCGTGCTTACAAAGAGCAACACCGCTCAGCGTTGACACAGTTTTTCCAGAACCAGGTGCAACATCGACCTTGCCTGCCAGAGGAGCATTTTTTGGATCTGGTGAAAAATGCAGCGGATGTGAACGTGCTGTTTATCACGGGGATGAGAGACGAGGCGCCGGTTGCAACCTTCTCACATTTGGTTCCAGACAGCAGACTAGTCGAGGTTCGCGTCAGAGCCAGCGAGGAGATGCGGTACAATCTTCGAGGGTACCGTGCTGATGGTCACTCTCATGTACATGATGAACCCAATCCTCATGCCAGGTCCAAGCTGGCGGCATTTGACCACTGTCCCAGCCTCGTCTTCGACAATGACAAGATCGGGAGCGATGCAGCAAAGGAGTTTGCCGAAAAGCACCTTCTTGCTTTCTACGCCGACGACTTCCGGCTACTCATCGACATGGTGCATCCGGTGCCTGACTTTCCACGTCCGGGCATCAGTCTCCATCACGTGCTCAATATCCCCCAACAACCGGGTGGGTTGACTTTGTGCACATCTCTACTGCAAAATCAATTCAGCGGAGATTGGGCTCAAATCAATAAGATAGCTTGCTGCGAGGCCGGTGGATTTGTTTTCGCCTCGTCGTTGGCATCGCGAGTCAATATACCCCTGGCGTTGATTCGCGAAGCCGGCAAGCTTCCCCCACCTATCATTTCCGTCCCCAGATTCAAATCCCATATCTCGAGATTCAATCCTTCCAAGGGTAGCAGGATCGAGATAGAATCATTTTTGATCCCTCAAAACTCTTCAATTTTGGTAGTAGATGACGTGCTCGCCACCGGACAGACGCTTTGTGCGGTGTTACGCCTTTTAGAGAGTGCTGGCGTCTGTACCCAGAACGTTAGCATCATGGTTGTGGCCGAGCTCCCTGTTCACCGTGGACGAGAATTGTTGCGTCAATCTGGATTCGGCGGCGTCAATATTCAAAGCCTTTTGGTTCTCGATGGTGCCTAAGTAAGAAGCAGAGGTGAAGTGTGGGCAGAAACTGACTACTATCATCAAGTGCGTCATTTCTCATACCGAGCTACTTCAGTTTGTCTAAATCGCGTCCAGGTTCAATTCGGACTCAATTTTAAAATACTCGATCTTAGTATCTGTCCGAGGGAGATTTTTATCGCTACATTGTCGGTATTTTTCTTATTGAACCTTTCATTGCATTGGCTCTTGTGCATATCAATTATCTGTCAGCAGAAACACTCTTCAGTGTAATCATCTTTTCTACATGTTTTGTACACTTACATATTCACATCCAATTTGATCGTTGAATAGAGCGTATGAAGATTGTCTGGTTTACTTCGGGTCCGGAATCCGGATCCTACCCACCCCAAGCTGATTGGTATCCAATCACGTGATTGAATTTCCAACTTTGCCAAGCATCAGCTTCACTTTTCGAAATGGAAGAACAAAAACATCAATACATGAATGGCATCGTGGATCAGGGAGTCGATCAAAATTACCATGGAGGAAATAGCCTCAAAGCTCGAAAGATATTTGATTTGTACTAATGCAAGACGCATTTCCGTATAGATTTAGTACCAGGCTTATGATTCTTGAGATCAACCTCGTGCACTTAGTTTTCCTCTTCCACTAAAAAGTTGTTGCTCACATAGTTCTAGACAAGCAGATATACCTATCTTGAGGAGCATGACCGCACTATCACCACTGCAACAGGAGAGTCTTCTCTGCAGGTATATATAATGCATCGTCAACAGCTTTTAGCGCCTTAGGCCTCAGACCAGACTTCGTACCACATCACGGCGGTAGTACACCACCAAAGATAGAGGGGTCCTTCCATGCTGATCTTTAAAATTCAGGTCAACACCAATATCAAGCAAAAGCTTCACTGTGGTTGCACGGCCATCCAGCACCGCCCACAACAACGGAGTCCGGCCTTGCTCATCTTTGCGATCTGGATCAACTCCATGATCCAGCAAGAGTCTGATCACTACAGTAGATTTCGAAAACGGCTTCCCCTCAAAACACACACGATTTGTTCCTCGGCCTGTACCCAAAACAACACTAGTTCATATTTGGGTTTCGTGTCATCTTTGCTTGGCTCACAATACAAGTTAAATTACCACTAGTCCCAACGTGTGCTAGTGGGGTATTGGATACGGGCCGAGAAACAAATCGTGTGTGTTTTGAGGGGAAGCCGTTTTCGAAATCTACTGTAACTTTTCTACATACAGTAGCTGTTGTCGTCTACATCAACATACATGACAAAGACCCCGTAGAACACTAACTTTGGTAGGCTAAGCTGGTTCTCGTTTATGTTCCCTATGGCACTCGATCCCTATCTCAACTTTCGTTCGTCTTTGGACTTCTTGCGAAAACTGGCACGGCCCACTCATGCTGACAGACCTCCAGAGCTTTGATCGTGCGTAGATATGAACGGCAGCCCCTACCATGATGATCACATCTCTCAGGCCCAAGAATACGAGCCATGGGAACAGGATTCACAATATTCGCCCCCTACCCCGGGATACTTCCGAAGCCCATCTGCTACATCTTCGAACTGCAGTCCTTCCCGGTCCATCCCATTCGACGATAACCCCAGCTCCGCAAGCCAACCTCGGCCCAGTACTCTACCTCTCCTACAGGAATCCGAATGGCAGTCGGACAAAGCCTACGACGAGGATCCTCCAAACTGCATCCACTATTTCATAGAATGGCGAGTTACCCTTAACAACAAAACAGTCGTAAAAGACACGGAAGAAGATCTTGCTTTGGCTCCAGGCGCCTACTGGAAGTTATTCCTGGAAGAAAAGCTACACACTGTTCTCCAAGAGAAAGTCTCCCGTAACAAAAGGGTCAGGGTCGATGACACGGCAATCATCGTGTCAAACAGCGACCGTACCCAGCGTGATCTGAACAAGCGCTTCAACAAAACTGAAATAGTTTGGGCCCCTATTGAAAAACAACTCAGGATGTGGTCGAGTCATTTCTGCCGTGGAAAAAGATTGACTTTGAGAATCTGTTTCAATTATATAGAAGACTGCGATTCCCCACCCACCGGGCGAAATGGTGAAAAGAGAGGGAAATCCTCCGTCACAAGGAGGATGCTTGGCGATCGCGATGCCCAGCTGGATGCTGAAGAAAATGCATGCGGACAGCAATCTATTTGGCGCCGTGTTTATGATTTGATGAAATGTGACTCAGCCGCATGCCACTTGGGCCCTTATTGCTGGCTAGACCCAAAGGGAAAAAAACATTATCGACTCCGAACACAAACACTCAGACGTCTGGTCACCTATGCCGAGAAAGGTGGTGTTCTGGAGACGCACAAGGACGTCCCAGATGAAATCCGAGATGAGCTCTTCATGGAAGACCAGCAGAGGGAGGAAAAAGATAAGCGCAAAGGCGGTAATATACTTGGCAGTCAAATGTCGCATTCGCCGATCAACATAAATGTTCACCCCCCGGGGTGGCGACAACGGCTTTAGCAGTCGAGGCAGCTGGGCCAAACCCCGTGAGTTCGTTAAAGATTCCTGGTCTCAAGGACGTGGCCGTCAAAGAATATGGTGAGTGGCTTGCATCGAATGTATCTGATGATACTCTCAAAGCTGCATTTCGACAAGCGTGCGACATAACCCTGTCTGATGGCTTTGAGCTTGAGCACATCTACAAGGATCAGAATCCGGAATTTTTCGTCAGCAAAGGGATCAAACCCGGAATTGCTCGGAGTTTCGTAGAAAATATTCGTGATTGGGTTGAGAATGTGAAAAAAGCATTGCCTGTTCTCGACTTGGTGTAGACGACCGTGTGGGCGATGGGTGCGGTGAATTGGCGTTTTTCTTTTCCGCTCAGCTTGTATGCAACTTAGAAATATGACGCACAAATATGTTTTTTTTTTTTTTGAAGATGATTTTAGTCTGAATTTTGTTCCAGAGTCAAACTAAAGGTTAGACAACGTGAAGCATAGTAGATGCTCCTATTGTGCTAGCGTTGTGATGTCCCGTAGGCCCAGGAATCGCCCTGTTTTTTAGCCCAACGAGTCTGTTTGTCAAAAGCTCTCTTTTCTTCGCCCGTCATATTCTTCAGGACCCGTTCTCGAAGCCCTGAAAAGAAATTGAAGGCAGCGTCGAACGTATCAGGATATGTCCATCCATCTCGTTTCACAAGACCTTCTATACTGTTAAGGAAATCCTGGACCTCATTCCAGCCCTCGGCATCAACAGAGTGGCTATGTAGTTCACCTTGCGTGAAGTGATAGGGACATTCGCCTTAAATGCCAAGTTCTTGCCAATGTCTGAGATAAGCGATCAGATACCGTCCGAAAAAGGAAGATGATACTGAGTGAGATAGCTACTTTTCAACGTTAACGAGTGCTTCACGAAAAATGACTATGTCATCATCCCATGGGTTTCCAGCAAATTCGACCGGAAGACGCCTTGTCTTCCCATGGTCTAGATGGAACGCTTTGACAAGGAGGGAGTTGCGCTCTTTAGTCTCAGCAGATAGAGCTGATATAGCGTCGATTTGAATATTTTTTGCTTGATCTCAGCTTGCTGCTCAGGGCCCAGACTGAAAGTGCACGACGTCCAATGTTAATGTTCATTGCTCCGGTCTGGTTGAGAACGGGTTAAAATTATTCGTGCCAGAGGCTAGGTGTACAGGATGGATCGAAATCAGTTTCACCACTTCTTCACAGAGATTCTTTCTCGAACCCTCTGTCGAAACACACTATACCTATTACGGTTACTCTTCCCCTGAACCCCTTTCTTGGCGGTATTCCGATACAATCGTAAATAACGGCTTAAAATAGCTTCTGTATTTGACTCGTATGGTCTCCAGGGCTTCTAGAACGTTGATCTAGCAAACAAGCCAAACAAACGAATGCCTGCAGCTCATTTGGAGACGTGGCAGGAATTAAAATCCCCATTCTTCCAACCACTTGCCCTCTAGAGTGACCACTGCGAACGAGCGAGTTGTATAGAGACAGTACTAGTGGGTAATATTTTTTGCTTCTTGTAACAGGCTTGGCCTTCTGATTGGGGACTAGCATCTCCTGAACTGACTGGTCGTGATCATGCTGATGTTGGATCTGCTAGAGCCTTGAAACGAGCACGATGACTGCTAATTCGTGTCCTAATGACCATGATTCTCAGCCGCATGACCTCGAACTTGGGGATCAAGATTCGCAATATGCCCCCACTCCAGGATTCTACGGTCGCACGCCTGCGTCAAGTTATGGGCGCAGCCCTTCCCTCGACTATCACTTCGAAAACGATCCGGAAGTCCTGTCACAACAGCAACCACAACCTCCTCGACTACTTCAGCTATCCGAATGGTATGAGGGAATGTCAAGTAACGAACTGCCGGCAAACTGCATCCAATATACGATAGAGTGGAAAGTCACCGTGAATAAGAAAGTGCTCTCGCGGGACACTGAAGAGGACGTAGCCCTGACTCCGAGTGCCTACTGGCCGACGACCCTGAAGGGTAAGCTTGAGAGGTTGTTAGAAGGGAAAATCCCCCGTATAGGAAGGGTAAGGTCGGACGACACTTCGATCACTGTATCGGTGAATGATCGATCCCAACGCGACCTGATGAAACGTTTTGACCATCTCGACATCGATTGGACTGCTGTTGAAAAGCAGCTGCTGAAGTGGGGCGAACTGTTTCGTCGAGGCAAGAAACTGAGGCTAAGTATCATCTTCAAATACGTTGAGGACGACTCTCTCCGCAACATTACCTCGGGTAGAGTCGAGAAAAGAGGAAGGTCATCAGTCACTAAACGAATACTCAACGAGCGAGACGCTCAACTGGATGCCGAAGAAAACGTGTCCGGGCAAGAATCGATATGGCGGGGTGTTTACAATCTAATGCGTTGCCTATCCTCCTCATGCTATCTCGGCCCACATTGCTGGCAAGACCCCCACGGAAAGAAGCACTATAAATTGAGGACCTATTAATTAAAGCGTTTGATTGTTTTTGTGGAGAAAGGCGGCGCCTTGCTGTCTTATGAGGATGTCCCGGATAATTTCCGTGAAGAACTATATATGGAAGAGCGGCATAGACTGGAGAGCCAACAATCTCAGAAGAACAAGATGGTAGGCACACCAGGAAGCCGTCAGCCTATCAATATCAGCTTCAATGGGATGCAATTTTCCCCGCAACAAGACACGTCCAACCCAACCACAGCCTCAGCAATGGTTCTGCCACCCAATGACCAAGTCATGGAAGACCTCAATCTGACTGGGCTAAGAGACGAAGCTGTCAAAGATTACGGCGCATGGCATGAATCAAATGTTGGTGACGAAAATCTGAAAGCACAGTTTCGGCAAGCATGCAATGTGGCGTTAGCCAATGGTCTTGATCTTAGACTGATTCACGAGGACCAAGATCCCTCATTCTTCATCGACAAAGGGATTGTGGTGGGTATTGCACGCCAATTCGTGAGAGATATTGGCCAATGGGTTAAGTGTGTCAGGAATGTCACGCTGGACGACCAAGCTACGCAGGCCGCAGCTTGAACCCACATGAAGACGTAAGAAGGCGCTCGTATACACACTAGATTGGCTTTTAAATCACTTCTGTTTTATGCAAATCCTTAAGTCAATGATCAAACCACAACTGTACACACAAAAGTAGAGCTGGCAGAGAATTGAGTAACTTTTGTAGCTGGTAGTATATATATTGTGTCATTGTAAGGCATAACGCCAGATCGCCTCTAATGCTACCAACTAGCCATAGGTGTCAATGACCACTCCAGAATGTCGGAAATGACCCAAGGCACTCTGTTTTCGAGATCCAACAACCACAATGCACCGCCCCAGGAAAGTTTGAAATCCTTGTCCTGGGTCTTCTTCATACCGCACAAAGTTCCGTCTAATATATGCCTTTAACTCAGAAAAAAACTCCTTGATAGGATTCAAGTCGGATGAGTAAGGTGGTAGATACACGAGCTTTACCCCTGCTTCGATGCATATTTCCTCAATACGATCAGAGTGGTGGAAAGATGCGTTATCCATAATTAGAACGGACTTTGGTTCAGGCTATCTCCCACAATGCCGAAGAAGCTTACCAATGAAGTCCTCGAAGACTGCAGCATCCGTGGAGCCCTGGAATACACGAGAGAGCAAAATCCCATCTTGAAAATATGCGGGTAGTATCTGGTATCGCTGGTCACGATGGAAGTTGGCTGCCTGCGACGGCGCCGTGCCCAACGGAGACCAGCCAGTCCTTCGGAACCCGATTCGCTTATCACACCCAGACTCATCCACGTAGACCAAATGGTACGACTGAAAGACTGACAGGTTATGGATGTAGAAATCTTGTAAATCCGCATTCTGTTCCTTTGCTCTCTGTCGAGCAACTTTCTTCGACCAGCCCACCGAAGCAAGAGCCCGTTTGAGACTCGAATTTGTGACCTGGATGCGGAACTCGTCCCATAAAAAGATAGCCATCCCGTCTACGTATAGCCCGGGCTTTTCGAAGAGGCGATTCCATAGTGCTTCTATCATCAGAGGTGTTAAAGTCCGTCGTCGACCGACTCGAGTTGGGGGTGCTCTGACATTTCCAAACTGGCGGAGGTTGTTGCTGATGTTGATGATGGAACGCTTACTATATTCAGCAGCTTTAGCCATTTGCGAGGCAGTCAATGATTTGCTCGATATCATGCCCTGGATCATTTCGAGCTTTGAGAGAGGGAGTCTTGGCGCCATGTTGCGAGGAGAAGTCTGGACGTTAATGGAGGAGAGCGATGGCAGACGCAGTGGTCTGGTACCGCCGAGAGGCACAGGGAGCGACTTCGTCTGCTCACCCTTGCTCACCCCTCTGCTCAGTGAGCAGGCAAAATGAATCTGGGTGAAAAATCTGGGGGATGCTGGCTATTAGGAAATGCACGTGACATGGGCGATCTCGCAGTTCCTGAGAGCTTGGGGGCCCATCTCAAAGCTGCGGACCTCAAAAAAAGTGGTTGCTTGGCTGGAAAACCATACGTTAGTTTCACCATAGCAACAACGAAATGCGATCTCCAAGTATCTATCGTGTATTTGAAAAAGCCGGCAGCAATAAGCTCTCGAAGTGATGCTGTCAAAGCATGCTTTTCACCCCGCGGGACCTGGCTGATTATCGCGTGCTGCGCTTGATCTGGGTGTTCTGACTCGGGTCGATCCGGTTCCTGGGAAGGTGGAATGCCTGCAACTCTGGTCTCCTGTCTTAGCGCCGCGGAGCCGAGTCACCTCATGACGTACCCCTCCTTCAGTTGAGAGCCAGAGAAGAGCTTGTAATGAACTACAGACAGGCAAATTCATACGATCATGGCGTCGGCAAGTCACTCTGGTGTCAACTATGGAGCCCAGGTGGGAATCAATTATGGCACATTCACGGCAGACTTCCAGCCCTTTGTCAACTGTGCCATTTACGCGCGATCCAGATTTTGTCCGTCGCGAGACACTGCTTGATAAGATCTACAGTAAGAACTCGGTCGCGGGGTCGAGGATAGCGCTGATTGGCCTCGGCGGTGTTGGGCAAGGGTATTGTGGCCCTTTACACAGTCTATCGCTCACAACTCGAAGAAAATTGCAACTTGCGATCGAGTACTCCTATCAAGTCCGATCCAAATCACCGGCAACGTGGATTTTCTGGGTCCATGCGAGCAACGAAGCCCGATTCGAGCAAAGTTTCCGGGACATCGCGGACCAGGTTAAGATCCCGGGTCGTCAAGATTCCAAGACCAACATATTCAATTTGGTCGAAAACTGGCTTCGGGATAAGAAGACAGGGAAATGGGTTTGTTCCCCTCATAGTGTCGATAACGATCGGCTTCCTTGCACGGTTGCGGCGGCAGGCAAAGCAGATCCGACGAGAGGCCTAACGAACACCACAACAAAACCACCATTGGAATATGTCCCTAGAAGCGAAAATGGATCTATCATTATCACGAGTCGGACTAGAGAGACGGCATTGAAGATGGTCGATCACAGGGGCCTTGTTGAGATAAACCCCATGGAAAGATCCGAAGCACGAGAGCTTCTTGAACAACCACGGGAAAGCGAAGAAAGCCAACAGTTGGTGAACGAGTTGGAATTCATGCCGCTAGCGATCGTAAAGGCTGCTAGGTGGATGGAAACACTGCATTGCATTATCTTGCCACTGCTTTGAATTGCGATTCCAGAGCCATGAAACTACTACGGCATATGAAAGATGGCGAACATGTTTACAGTAATTGCATGAATCGGGAGGGCCTGTCTCCCAGTGCCAGTGCCCTGTAGAAAGCTTGCAACGAGTCGTGATACGGGTATGAAAGGAACCAACCAGAGGCAATCGATTGGTGAAAGTGCTAATTTTGTTCTGCGCTTCGTAAATTGTTTGAAGGGAGTGAACATCGAATTGTCAGTGGTCAAGTTTCGCCTTAATAGTCCGTGTGTCGCCCTCTCAATCGCCTAGATCGAACACGCCTATGGCCTATGTCATCATCATGACGATCTTATCTGGATCGACGATTTACCAACCCCACTTAATGTTTATAGCGTCCATTTACATACACCGCCAGGGCTAGGTACAGTATAGGCTTCCTATACTACTGACTATAAAATCTACTGGCTAAGTAGACCTAGTGACCACTTAGTGTGGTTGTTGAGTCAGCGTAAAATTCTTTCGGGAGTTCCTATGCATGAAAATGCGTGGCGTCATATATGCCACGGTAATATGTATGTATTCTCGAATCCTTAGGGACGCTTGGAGAGCTGAAAGGTGGGCCCTGGAAGGCTCCTCCTCGCCAATCAATAGTCTCTATCCACAATGGTGCAGATGAGACTATGTACACAGCCAACACTTTTTCTCTTTTCACCGATTATGTCAATCTGTACCCATCTATCCTACAGATCTCTGTCGAATCCAGTAGAGCATGACGTAGCATGGAAATCTCCTTCACAGGGGCAGGACTGAGGGGTTTGCTTCCAATGCACGTACATAAAACGCTTGCTGTCAACTCTAGAAGTCCCTGACGACAGGCAGGTTAAATACATTCCTTTTTTTTGTTCGACCGCAGAGGAAACGCTTCCCGATACCAACCCAAGATGATGCCCATAGTCAAGGCCCTCAACGGGTTCGTGGCGCGAGTCCAGAATGATACCGAGAAAATTCGCGATACCACTCAAGGTTATCTAGCCGTCCTTTTATTTTACTTCGACCGAGAGAGAACCATGCAGTTTTAACTAACTTAAGAACAGCTGAACAACACACCCAGCGGGAATGGGCGAAGGAGATAAACACCCTCCAGAATGCGTTGTCAAAATTGACAGTGATGTTTTATCGCCTCACTCAGGGTAACTGGCAGGACCGACTGGCCCAGTGGACGAAGCAAGACACCAAAGATGTTGGGGATGCTCTCGATAAGGTAGGTGTGATCCCCCGTTTCAATTGTGGCTTTTTAACGTAGATGGCTGCGCGTTAGTTGATGACGGAGCTGGGAAACTACGCATCTGTGCTTTACAGCAAGGCACCCTCGCGAAGCAATTGGCCTGATAGCGTTGGGGCTTCTATTGCCAGTGCAATGGACGGGTTCACAGAGGAGATCATGGTAAGTCATGAAATTGGCTTAAATAATAGCAGTACAAAGCTCAAAAACGATCCCTAGGATTTACGCGACCACTTTCCATGGGAATTATTCGGCGATGAGACGGTGGCAGTCGACGAGGTCAATGAAGACCGTAGCGCAGAAGAGGTCCTGGAGGATTTTGCAGATTCTTCAGCACTCATGGCGAAGTTGTTTCCAAACAACCCGCTGCTTCAAAAATGCTCATCGCTTATTTTGACCGCGACTCTCTGCACGCAGGCATGGTGTCCCCCTTCTCCTCCTGCGGAGGAGGAGCAGCAGGAACAAGAGGTTGACCCCTGGGATACATTGAAGTCAATGACCAGTCCGCGCATGATTGCCTTTTTCGCCACTATGGGTACAAGTGAGGCTGTAGCCATGGCTTTTGGGAAGGGTTGCTATGTGGGAGAATGGATGGACAAAACTGGACGAAACCCCGATGATTCGGACTTTTGGATGCACTGGTGATATCGGAAATATTCCTGCACATGAAAATACACGTCACGAGTTAGTGATAGTTTGATAGCTCGAAATAAGTGCTTATTGACTAGATGCTTATATATAGTGACAGGGGGTTACACATGTACCTATACATACCAACAAATCCCTGTGCGCAGGGGCCAGGAACGGCCTCCAGTCAACCGCCCCGAAGTATACCTCGTTTGGTAGTCGAACGGTTGGCCACCACGTGATCATGCAGGTAGTAGAAGGGTAAAAGGTCGACATGTAGATTCTGCCAAGCCGAATCTACTCATCTACACTCTACTCATCTACACAGGAAGAACTCAGGGATATATAAGGACACTCATTCATGTATCTAGTTTAGTTCTTCGTCTTCAATCATACATTGTTACTTGTGATTACCTTTGGAACTTCGGAGACTCGATTACTTGATTATAACTTGACAAACACTACGAATCGACCAACACCCCGGTGTAGATCTATTCGGCGCTCTACCTGGCATCGCTCCTCGATACCCTCAAAAGGACTAAGCCCGTATAAGGCCTGGATAGGCAACGGTACGGTTGAGAGACAGATCGTTGACAGTTGGCAGTCTGCAGGACATCAGAGAAGTATCTCCCGATTCTACCTAACCTAGCGACGATCAGTTAGTCGTGCGTAACACAACGTGGTGACTTATTAATTGTACTAGTATTTCATGTTATTTACATCACTGCGTTCTCACATACATGACCTTTCAATACAATCCAATATTTGTGATAACGCTAGGCCGAATACAGATTAGCGTGTTTGGAGATAGGGCTTGGAAAAGAATCGATCAGAAAACATTGGTGAAACTGATTTCGATCCATCCTGTAACTACTGAATGTCTTGGCGTTTGTTAAGTCACGTAAACTGACCAGAATTATTTTTTTAATATTCAAAACAAGAAAGCGAATGCAACCATACGCACAGGAATAGCTAATGTGACGGATATGAAAGGGCCTGCAATGATGATGGAATCACCTTAGCGCATCACTTTTTTGATATTGGTCATTACGGTAATGCTTGGAACGATCAGCAACAAATTGCGGAAGATATCGAGTCAAAGGGTTTTTCGTATTCACTCGAAAAATGTGTTGGAGTATTGAGGATGCAGTACCGTAGTAATCGACCAGCAATATTTTTTGCTGATTTATTGATTGGATATGACAATCTCGGGTCGTTCATGTTGTGTGGGCTCATTGTTGAGGTTGTTTCTACCGTCGGCGGCTGCTGTCGATGGCTGAATACCTCGATCAGCAATAATTCCCCGCCATGCGCCTAGGCTCCCTTCTGACCTGGTCTGTTTTACATCTGAACCCTGCGCGGTATAGTCGTTCTCGAAATCGGCTGCATTGGCCCAGATCAATCATTGAGCGGGCCGCATTAAATTGATGGATACTTAGAACGCCTGAGCATGGTATTATCTTTTGCTCGTAAATTACACAATGAAAACGAGAATTCGATGGAATTCCATGGAAGCTGATAGCGGGTCTCTGCAAATCATCAATCCCCAATACACACTCACTGGCCCCCCGACCGATCTTCTCACTCTCCCAAGTGTCCCTTATTCGTAACATTCTATTGATGCCATTTCGAACCCAGTTGTGCCGGGCGCAGCCAATGGGTGCAAGAGTCTCCACTTGGACAGAAACGAACGACCCCCTGTGGTACTGTAGTTGCGTGGCTTAACCGATCGGACAAGCGCCCAATCAGGGTCCACTTTTGCTCTTAGCCTCACTTTGATGCCTACCCCTCTTTGAGGGGCGTAAGCTCCATTTTTGTCTATCAACCTTCGCGACATCTTACTTTTACTTTTGATATCATTAATACCGTGGAAGGCTTGTTAAGCATGGATCCACTTTCGGGTGCAGCAAGTGTTATCGCAGTTATCCAATTAACCGGAGTTATCTTACAAATATGTGGAAAATATCTCAATAACGTCAAGAGCGCGAAGCAGGATATTCAGCGTTTCCAAGAGAAGGTCGCTGCCCTTTCCCAAGTCCTTCACTCTCTCGATGAGCTGATCCGTGGATCTGATGGCAACAAACTTACTGCTACGCAAGACCTGGTCGACAATATTGCCAAATGCTCCTCAGCACTTACAAATTTGAAAGAGAGAATCAATCCGGAAACGACGCAGAAACAGATGAGGAAATGGGGCCTTCGAGCCTTAAAATGGCCACTGGCTCGGTCCGAGGTAGATTTTGCTATCATGGAGCTTGAGTCGTACAAAACAACATTTGCTTTGTCCTTGCAGGTTGATCAAATGTAGGCTCCGGACCGAAATCCGATCTCTTAATTATTCATATGAAGGGCCAACTCTGACGCTGACTCAGGAGATCTACCAGTTTGATCCATGCAGACTACAGACCGCAAAACAAGCAGCATTCGACTCCTACGACAATCAACATAGTGAATGTCTCCCGGGGACCCGGATTGATCTGCTTCGAGAAATCGAAGAGTGGGCAAAATCGCCACACGGAAAATGCATATTTTGGTTGAACGGCATGGCAGGGACAGGGAAATCAACAATCTCCCAAACAGTTGCAAGCCGTCTTCAGGAGCAGCAGCTTCTAGGGGCCAGCTTCTTCTTTCGGAGAGGCGAAGAGGACAGAGGGACAGCAAAAAGGCTTTTCCCAACATTGACCGAGCAAATGGTCAACAGAGTACCTCAAATGCTGCCTCGAGTTCAAAAAGCAATTGACGATGACCCTAATATTTCGGAAAAGGTGTTGAGAGAACAATTTGAACGGCTTCTACTGGATCCACTATGTGGAATTGAACAGCAAGAAGAGACCACAAGAAGAGTGATCGTGATTGATGCTCTAGATGAATGCGATTCAGAAGACGATATAAGGATTATTCTCCGACTCTTGCCACGAGTTCAAAAGTCAACTTCTGTACAACTACGGTTTTTATTGACAAGCAGACCCGAGTTGCCGATCAGGCTGGGCTTCGAAGGGATCACCGATGCCCACCAGGATTTGGTCCTCCATGAGATCGAAAAGCCAGTGATAGAGCATGACATATCCTTGTATTTTGAGGATCAGTTCCTACGCCTAAAACAGAAGCGCTCATTTCCACCAGACTGGCCCGGAGCCGCAGCTACCAAGATATTGGTTGATAGGGCCGTCCCTCTGTTCATTGCAGCTGCTACCATATGTCGTTTTATCGGTGATGTAAAATGGAACCCTCAAAAGCGACTTGAGGCAATATTGACAGACCAATCAACCTATGTGTCTAAGATGGACAGCACCTATGTTCCCGTGCTGAAGCAACTTCTCACTGGCCAAAATGAAACAGAGTCACGGGAATTGCTCGAAGAGTTCAAGGAGATAGTCGGGATGATCATTATTCTTGCCACTCCGCTCTCGATCAACTCCCTTAGCCACCTAATAGACAGAGACTCGGATGATGTGAAATGTCGATTAGACCAGCTCCACTCTGTGCTCGGTGTACCAAACAATTTCGACTCACCAGTCAGGATCCTCCATCTGTCATTCCGAGATTTTCTCTTGGATCACCGCGAAGACGAAAGCAAATTCTGGATCGATGAAAAGTATGCAAACCAGCGTCTTGCAGAACGATGCCGTAAGATCATGCAGGACAGCCTAGAGAAAAACATTTGCAAACTGCCAAGCGAAGGCATACAATGGAATGAAATTAGCAATGATTCGATTCAGCATTACATACCCCCGAACTGAAATACGCCTGTCGATACTGGGCGCATCATCTGGTACAATGCACGGACTTGCCTAGCATGATGCACAATGTTTATCGATTTCTCCAGGTGCACTTTTTGCACTGGGTGGAAGCAATGAGCCTACTGCGCCTTACGTCAGCAGTATTAGGTATTCTTGATCTACTCCAAACGGCCATATCGGTAAGTTCCGAAGAAAATCATAGATGATATGCACTGACAAATTTAGGGTAACGACTCTTCTCTGATTTCTGATTTCGTTCACGATGCAAAGCGCTTTATTCTGAAAAATCGCCAGATAGTTGATCTGGCCCCCCTTCAAGTTTATTGCGCAGGACTTGTATTTGCCCCCCGAACGGGAATAATACGTAGAGAGTTCAAACGGTCGCTTCCCACTTGGATATGTCAGTTACCACAAGTTGAGGAAGGATGGAGCACACTCACCCAGACCCTCGAAGGCCATTCAGAAGCGGTTCATTCAGTGGCCTTCTCGCCCGACGGCCGCCTGCTAGCGTCCGGCTCTAGGGATAAGACATTGCGGCTCTGGGACTCAGCGACGGGCGCGCTCACCCAGACCCTCAAAGGCCATTCAGAAGCGGTTAGATCAGTGGCCTTCTCGCCCGACGGCCGCCTGCTAGCGTCCGGCTCTTGGGATAAGACAGTGCGGCTCTGGGACCCAGCGACGGGCGCGCTCACCCAGACCCTCGAAGGCCATTCAGATGCGGTTAATTCAGTAGCCTTCTCGCCCGACGGCCGCCTACTAGCATCCAGCTCTAGAGATAAGACAGTGCGGCTCTGGGACCCAGCGACGGGCGCGCTCACCCAGACCCTCGAAGGCCATTCAAATGCGGCTGGATCAGTGGCCTTCTCGCCCGACAGCCGCCTGTTAGCGTCCGGCTCTTGGGATAAGACAGTGCGGCTCTGGGACCCAGCGACGGGCGCGCTCGCCCAGACCCTCGAAGGCCATTCAGAAGTGGTTGGATCAGTGGCCTTCTCGCCCGACGGCCGCCTGTTAGCGTCCGGCTCTGGGGATAAGACAGTGCGGCTCTGGGACCCAGCGACGGGCGTGCTCACCCAGACCCTCGAAGGCCATTCAGATGCGGTTGATTCAGTAGCCTTCTCGCCCGACAGCCGCCTACTAGCATCCGGCTCGAGGGATAACACAGTGCGGCTCTGGGACCCAGCGACGGGCGCGCTAACCCAGACCCTCGAAGGCCATTCAGATGCGGTTAATTCAGTGGCCTTCTCGCCCGACAGCCGCCTACTAGCATCCGGCTCTAGGGATAAGACAGTGCGGCTCTGGGACCCAGCGACGGGCGCGCTAACCCAGACCCTCGAAGGCCATTCAGATGCGGTTAGATCAGTGGCCTTCTCGCCCGACGGCCGTCTATTAGCGTCCAGCTCTTGGGATAAGACAGTGCGGCTCTGGGACCCAGCGACGGGCACGCTCACCCAGACCCTCGAAGGCCATTCAGAAAGGGTTTTTTCAGTGACCTTCTCGCCCGACGGCTGCCTGTTAGCGTCCGGCTCTTGGGATAACACAGTGCGGCTCTGGGACCCAGCGACAGGCGCGCTCACCCAGACCCTCGAAGGCCATTCAGATGCGGTTAATTCAGTGGCCTTCTCGCCCGACAGCCGCCTACTAGCGTCCGGCTCTTGGGATAAGACAGTGCGGCTCTGGGACCCAGCGACGGACGCGCCCACCCAGACCCTCGAAGGCCATTCAGAAGCGGTTAGATCAGTGGTCTTCTCGCCCGACGGCCGTCTACTAGCGTCCGGCTCTTGGGATAAGACAGTGCGGCTCTGGGACCCAGCGACGGGCGCGCTCGCCCAGACCCTCGAAGGCCATTCAGAAGTGGTTGGATCAGTGGCCTTCTCGCCCGACGGCCGCCTGCTAGCGTCCGGCTCTAAGGATAAGACAGTGCGGCTCTGGGACCCAGCGACGGGTGCGCTCACCCAGACCCTCCAAGGCCATTCAGATGTGGTTGATTCAGTGGCCTTCTCGCCCGACGGCCGCCTGCTAGTTTCCGGCTCTTATGATAAGACAGTGCGGCTCTGGGACCCAGCGACGGGCGCACTCACCCAGACCCTCGAAGGCCATTCAGGCGGGGTTGATTCAGTGGCCTTCTCCTCTACGACCCATCTATCTCACGCGACTCCAACCATCTCTATTGAGCACCGCCAGTGGATAGCATTGAATGGCAAAAGGGTTCTGTGGCTTCCTATCGAGTCTCGACCTAGTAGGTTCAAGATAAACGGTAATGTACTCGCCCTAGGACATGCATCAGGGCGGGTTTCCTTTATTGGATTTAGTATGTAATACTCAATCATTTTTGGTTTTTCTTTTTCATCTATTTTCTAATCCCTTTATAAAAGAAAGGCCTGGGTGAAGGGGATACTTTATACGGCTCTATCCTGCTTGCTGAATATTCCATAAAATTCTAGTAGTACCTAATAGAGTCGCTAATCCATATGAATAGCTAGCTTTTGCCATAGAGGCTGCTTAGTGAAGAAATCGCTACGTAATGGAACCACAGAGTACTTCTGAGGTAAAGATCGCTCATTACGGGTCACATGGCCTACGTTGTTGGTCTATGTGGCACCGGTACTGGTCCGCACGGGTGGCCGAAGGCAGATGATGATAATAAAATAGGTTTGAATGTAGGATCGATCGCTTTATGTCACTGTATGGTGTCATCCGAAGGAGAATTGCAATCATCTAGATTCTCAACACTAAGGCCTGCGTGCCGAAAATGGCCCCTAGCACTGTTTTTCTTTGTCCCAACCTGATTGATACACCGTTCGAGAAAGGAGGCGAATTCTCGGTCTGGATCTTCTGCGTAGTAGCACCAATTGCGTCGTATAAAGCCTTTGAGTTCAGCAAAAAACTCTTCAATCGGGTTTAGGTCTGGCGAATACGGAGGCAAATAAACCAGTTTAACTCCCGCATTAGCACACATCTGCAAAATCCGCTCGGAGTGGTGGAACGATGCATTATCCATGACCAGAACAGACTTTGGCTCTGGCCATCTCCCGCAATGACGAAGGAGCTCATCAACGAAGTCTTCAAACACAGCGGCATCCGTCGAGCCGCGAAAGACTCGACTCATCAAAATACCATCTTGGGCATACGCAGGCAAAATTTGATAGCGCTCGTCACGGTGGAACTGAGACACTTGCCGAGGTGCTACACCGAGTGGTGACCAACCTGTTCGTCGGAACCCAATGCGCTTATCGCATCCAGATTCATCAACATAAACAAGATGGTATGACTCAAAGTCAGAGAGGTTATGAAGATATATTTCTCGTAAATCGGCGTTCTGCTCTTTCGCAGTCTGCCGAGCAGTCTTTTTGGACCACCCTTTGGATACGAGAGCCCTCCTAATGCTAGAGGTTGACGCTAGCATCTGGAATTCATCCCATAGAAAGATAACCATCTCTTCGAGGTACAAGCCTGGTTTTTCCAACAGATGGTCACAGAGCGCTTCTAACATGGGTGGTGTTATGCTTCGTCTCCGACCGATACGAGTTGAGGGGGCATGAATTTGTCCAAACAGTCGCAGGTTTCTGCGAGTATTTTTGATCGTCTTTTCGCTACACTCAGCTGCGTCAGCCATTTGAGACGTTGTTAGTGAATGACTTTGTATCATATCACGAATAAAATATAGCTTTGACATAGGTAGATTCGGTGCCATATTGTGCATATGATTTCACTCAAAAGGTGGTGCTGCAAAAGGATGGAATGTTAGGCATAGAGAGAGGGGCAGTGTATAGGTGTTTCATGTAATATACAATATAATACGTAATGAAACGGTTCTGAAATTTATAGCCATTCTATTCTTAGGACATAATCATTTTCGCTTTAGCCGAATACAGATTAGGGTGGTTTCGGGTACGGGCCGAGAAACAATGTGTTAGTGTCCACAGGGGAATCCGTTTTCGAAATCTACTGTACCACGATGATCTGGAAATCCTTTCCGTGCATACAGCCCTTGCACGCAGGCTTCCAACTTGCGTGTATCATCTAAAAGGCTTGCCAAAATATCCCTATCTAGGAGATGAGGTCGAATATGATGACCCCAGTGCTCTGCTGCATAAGATAAAAGAGTATAATCGTCCACTCGTACTTCGAAGTCTTCATCTTTGGGACAAGCGCCCGACCGGAACGACTCGAATGACACATATCTAACACGTGTACTCCAGATCTCATGGTTTGCTTGTGGAAACCAGATGCTCCAGGCTTGTTGAAAGTAGTCCTGTGCTGTAAAGTGAACTAACCGGATAATATGGCTCTGCTCATCGACTGTGACTAGACCAGCACACACAGAGACCATATCCGCCAAGTCTGGAAGATTTTCCTCGCCAATATGAGATTTGCCAAGCTCTACAGCAAGAGCTGTCTGAAGCTCGATTGTGGTGAGCTATCTCTTTGCACAGGTGATCCATGATAAAACCTGTGTGGCCATTTCTTCTTGATCCGTGACCTGCCCTTCAATTCGCTGCATAACATCACTGTATGCCGGGTCAGATGTCTAATACCCGGTAGACATTTCACCCAGGGCATACCGTATTGCTTTGGGTGACCTGAAAGTAAAGGTTTTAAGAAAGAACCATAAAATATGGCCAATTCTGAGCGCCAGCACCATGCATTAGCAAACCCAGATTATAGATTCCAACCACAGCCGCGACAACCGTCATCTTTGGGAAAGCCTACAGCACAATTACGATCCAAAGAGTTTTCTGAGAACAACGGTAAATGGTCTCACAACGATGGGTCTGATAAAACCACCTCAATCCCCATCGATATCCCGTCCTTGGGGTATAATGCTAGAGGTATACTTGATGATCCCCCAAGGTTGTTTGTGAGCGAGCCTGAAAGACGATTAGGATACTATCGTTTCTTGAATCAACCGTGAATGGTCTCACAGCAATGAGCCGGAGACAACCACCCCAAGCCCTGTCCATTACCCATTCTGGGGATATACTTGATGATTCCCAAGGTTTTTTGCGAGCGAGCCTGAAGCACGATTACAATCTGACTGGTGTCTTGAGCACAGCGGTGAATGGCCTCTTACCGACGGGCCTGAAATAACCACCCCAAGTCCTGTCAACGACTGCTGCTTCTGGAGGATTCTTTGAAACATACAGTTGCAATGGCTTGCCTGGAGTGCCTTGGCCTGGAAATTGCGACTTGATGTCCCTGGATTCTATGGAGCGACATTCCTTCCCATTTTATTTATCTCATAATAACACCTGGTGTCACGAGTGGTAAGGAAGAGTATAGCCTAACATTTTAAATTACGAGGTGCCTTAGCTTCTGTCAAAAAGGTTCAAGAAGAACAGGGCGACAATGGCCTTGTATAAACAGCTAAAATTCTAGCTCAACGCCAAGATACCATTTCTTCCATATGTATTCCTATTTCTTTATTTCTGAAAAACAATATCTAGGTAAGAGTATCAAGTTCTGCTTTGAAGAGCGATGATCAAGTTATATCTACTTAGGTAGGTATAAATCCAAGATTGATTCCACATGCTCAATAATTTGAAGTTTTGGACCCGGGACCTTGGGACTTGCTTCCTTCTACTCTAGATTGTGGGTTGAAAATTCTTGAACAAAAGCCTCAGGGTGAGCGAATTATACCTATCTCAGCTCATGAATTCTTGTCTGGTGATCTAGCTCTGGACCAATCAACCCAAGCACCTTTGATGTGATCAAATAAGGTAAAGCCATGGAAGCTTGTGAGTCAAGAACAAAAATCTCAGGGGCTCCTTTGCTACTACGTAAACATAGGAGCGAAAAAGGCACCAACGACGTCTCGAACAGTCCCAATGAGAGATTTGTTCCCCTTGTATTGGCTGTGAGCTTCCTGAAAGGTCGCAAATTTGCGTAATGAGCTCGCATTTACACTTCAGCAAATTGAAAATGATGATATACCGAGGACAAGATTTCTGCAGTGAGCGGGCCGAGGATCGAATGCACTCGTTTCTCTACGACTGGTTTCCATCCCTGGCATCTCGCATCAACCAAAGGTGTTTGTCGCGCTGTGACTTACAATTTCAATTGCAGCCTGTACAAAGGGATCTGCGGGTGTATTTTCAAATATGTACTACATGTTGTCATTTAGAAGGGAAACAAGAGAAAGTGTCCATATACCTAGGTCAAATTTTTCAAAAGCCTGAGTTCCATCCTGTCGGTTTTGATAGATTTTTTTCAAATCGTCCGCCCAAGAAAATAATTTTCCCAAAAGAAATTCTGAATGTCTTGCGATGGAAGACCAGAGACCCCCGGAACAAGCTCTTGGAAATGTAGATTTACGAGAACTTCGTTCTGCAAGATTGGCAGCTCTGCTGTGAAGCCCCTTAGTAAGTGACTGATCTAAGCTCCAATCATAGTACTGAGACAAGCAAAAATTTGGGCTATCGCCGGTATTTTTTGTCATTTTCCAGGCCTTTCGAGTCTCGACATAGTTCGTTTCTGAAGGAAAGCTCCGTAACTTGTGCATTTAACTTACTAGAAAACGAAGTGATCAAGTTGTAGATCAAAGCTAAAAGTAAGATTTCGTTAACATCAAGTCAATGTCGAAAACATTGGAAGGTAAGGAAATAAAGCTGTTAGGAGGAAAGCATACGTTTCATATTAACAGGCTCACCGTTTGAAGGTCCGGCTAGCTCACGGCAAGAACCCAAACACCGCTTGCATCATTAATTGTACATTTATCAATGATTAGGTAAATTCATTCATGGGGAGGCTAATACTTTGGCAGATGATACCTGGCCAGGCTGTGCGGGCTACCACTTGAGAAATCATCTGCAATTGACACGAGTATTCCATTTCCTGTAAGGAGTACTATGTCGATGCCGGTCTGGACTTGTACGCAACAATAGGCTTTTTTTTTTTGTCCCATACGAAAATGGATACCTTATTGGCACTGCTTTTTTTCACAAAGGAATTCTTAAATACAAATAAATTATTCCGTCTTCCATACTTCGCAAATGATAGAGCCTGCCACAGTGCCTTGTGAGGATAGCTCAGGTGTACTCAGTTAACTCAATCAGCGCCGTTTCCGACAAAATAACTCCCAAAGAGACCATTTACATATCCCTAACCCCAAAGCTATTCGATTTGTTAGGAATAATGAGAGATGAGAGTACGGAGCACTGTGGGCATCAAAATTCGCGTCTGCGCTCAATATCTGGGTAATCAGATCACATAACTCCAGAGCTTTCCCGTGGACTTTCTCGTGGACTGGCCCGGGTTTTTTGACTTCTTCCTGACTAAGCGGGACCGGCCCCATGGACCGAATGAAGGACGTGCGTCTGACAACGATCTGGACCATTGACATCACCGTTAGAGGATAGACTGTAATTGTGTTTTCAGCCACTTGGCAGATTCAAACTTCTCATCCAAGTTTGGTTCATCAAAGCCACAGATTTGAACCGACTTGATTCCACTCATAGAAGAACCAAGTTGGAGGATTCTCAAATCGAATTTGGGGTCTGAAGTCGGCACAGTAAACAGTTCATCGTCGAAGTTAAGTCGTAAATGTTTGATTCGACGGAACTGTTTCAGTAATTGAATACATATTGACGTCTGAAACTCGGGCTCCCCCTCACTCGTGTGGTATTCCGAGCCACTACTACTGAACCATGATAGCTCTAACGATTCGACGTTGTTGCGGCCAATGGTACCGATCGAAAGCGCAAATTTGATAAAATCATCAATATCTGACCAGCGAAAAGAGATGTTTCGGTATACCAAGGGGAGCGCCTCGTGACGTATTTGCTTGTCAACGTGGAGAGTATTGATAGATGGGCTGAATGGAAAGTAGAATCCACTCAAATCTCCAATAGAGGCGGGGAAAATATTCTCAAGAAAGACAGATGGATCTAGTGCTTTCCATGGATGTTCAGGGATAGCATGATCATAGATCATGTTCCGAAGTTCCCGCGGGAGCCGTAGACATGGACCATGTTCTACCTTCAAGCAATTGATTTGAAGCTTCATTATCTCAGTAAATAAAAGAGCATGTTCCAGAAAGCGCGTTTAAAGGGATCGGATACCTTGGCCAACATTTGAACTCCAAACGCCTCAGTGCTGGTCAATGCGAAGAGAAGATTCAGTCCAAAAGAAAACGTGAGATGTAACGAGTATTGAAAATATCCAACGCCCCTCTCATGTTTCAAGACGAGGCTCTGTTCATCACCAAAAAATGTCTTCTGGGGTTAGACAATTCATGCATGGAAAATATTTCAAAGTGGACGTAGATGAGTTACATACATGACTCCGGCCAAGCTTTGGAAGTGAGCTTTCTAAATTCCTTAATGGCCCGAGCCCTTGCTGTCTAGCCTTTCGGTGCTCGTGTAGCTCTTTCTCTGTTATGTGGTATATGTCGTTCCAGGCGGGTGATAGATCTGAGTAGAAATAAGGTGCCCTATGGTCATTTTGGGGCAATTGCTCTGGTTCAAAGCCCAGTTCCTTTTGTAGATTGCGAAGCAAGGGACGTTCTCTTTGCTTTGCCATAACGATAGCTGGATACAAGCAAGAAATGTGTCATCGGAAGACAAAAGTGCAGTGGAGTCGCGATTCCGGATTATCAATTTACCGCGTCATCGCTACGAGGACAACTATTCTTGACTTCGGTCCTCTTTAGTGGTCTTTGAGGAATCACTTCAAATTATGCTATCATCTACAAACTTACGTAGAAGCATTGAAGAGTATTCAATGATACTGCATGCCTCCGAAAACCCTTGCATTACCTCGGTAGGAAATTAAAAGCGATATCGAAGATGGCACCGGTAGCCCCCATCCCGGTGATATGGAACGCCCTATGTGATGAAACAGCCGTGAGGTACCTGCACTGTCGCGCATCCTTGTTCTCTGACCACATACTAATTGTCATCTGAGAGAAGTGAATACATCAATCAGGTCACCTTTCGTATCACTGATCTTGAGAATATTAAAAATACGTTGTCACGATGCTAAAAAACACGACTTCGTATACCACTAGGAGATCGGCTGTCGACTACTGAGACACCAAGATCACCCACCAAGGCGTCAGAGATGAGTAAAAGGACAATCTTGTGTTACTTGGCCCTTTCAGTCGCGGTCATTATCTTTTCATGCCATCACAATAAAGAAAGATACGGGTGTTGAGCTTGGCGAAATTCTTGGCGGCGGAAAGAAAGGTACAAAGATCACAAAATTGAGACGTTGAATACAGGCAGAATAACGATAATGTGATGTGGTGTATTAAATAAACAACAGCCGCCTAATATAGTAGCCGCCCCACAGCCCGTCTGTAACTATTACGGAAGGTTGCCGTTCTAAGCTCAGACCGACCATCAGGTGACGACCACAGCCGTCCGGGGGAAAGAGCAGTGCGTGGTAACACAATGCCGGGCTGAGATTGTTAATTTCTTCCTATCTTGGCGAAATATTGGCCATAAAAAGCTCAGTTGGGATCCTCAGGCGCGAATCCGAAGACCAAGACACGTCCAGACTGACAGCCAGGCACCACGGCTAATCCATACCGTCCAACAGCAGAATACATTGGGCGATATGATGGTGTAGCTATAATTAATTCTTTTGAGCTTCCTGTGATCCAGAACCCATCAGAACTGATACCAAAACCTTGATATTCAGGACTTTGCGACGACTGGTTTGGCCTTGGCAATTGGAGTTCTGAAGCGGCGTCTGCAGTCGCAGTCATAGCGGCAGTCGTCGGCGAGTCACGAAGGGTGAGAATTCAATACCAGTGTGAAGAAAAGAACCGGTGGGGTCGAAAGACAAATTGACGGTAGAGCTGACGCTGAGGGTTTGTAGACAGGCGCCGGCGTGCGCATCCCAGATCTTGATCGTCTTCAGAGTTTTGGCGTCCGTACACAGGATGTTCTCGTCATAGTTGTGGCCAAGTTTCCTGTTCAGAGTGGAAGAAACTGTTGTGCCGATGTGGATTTGGCGCCATCAATATTCAAAGCCTTTTGGCTTTTGATGGCGCCGAAGTAAGAAGCAGAAGTATTGGGTGTCTCGGCGTTCTGCTCAAATTGACAAAACTGAGTTTTTTTTTAATCAGGGCTTTCAAAATGATTTTCTTCTAAGGCTTCAGTGATATAATGATGGGATGCCCGAAGTTTAATACCCTTTTTTCAGGAATGGTGTTCAAAGATACCTCCCTCCTTCTTTGCTCTTAACTCAAGGGCGTATTTTTCGTTTTGGGTCATTTTGGGCAATATTTTACCCTAGCAGGAGCGTCTGTACCCTACAGGAGGAGTTAGACTCAGCTCACAGACTAGTCTACAGATATTTTGGTAGAAGGGTTTTCCTTTCACATACAGTACTTAATGCGGTCTCCGTATCTCGTGAAGATGCATCCCACCAAAAGCAGAGCAAAGTAGTTTGGAACAGCGTAGGTACCATGTCCCGACGCGAACATCAATAGAATAATTTACTTATTCGGCAAAGCAAGATCTGACAGTCAGTATCAATATTCTACGCATTCGAGACTACGGTACAGTAGCATTGAATCATATTGCAAGGCTTTTTTTACAGGTCCGCCCGACATTAGTTTCACCATGTTATTCTCTTTGGTTCTTTCTTCAGTCTTGGCCAGACCCATCTCGACCTACATCTGGACTAGTCCATCGATTACTGTCGAATAGGAAAAAGGGTAATGAAAGCCCAGTAGTTACATTAGGCCTAGTGTTAATAAAAATAGATGTTGAGAAGCATTCAAAGAGAACAAGTTGGTGAAACTGATTTCGAGCCCGTCTGTACGCTCGAGTGATTTCCTAAAACATGAGGTCCACCGAGCCTAGTATTCGGCAGATTATCTCTGTACTAAGAAGAGGGTGTCTACGCCCAGGCTCTACCACCATTTTAAATACCTTCCGCCCCATCTACTTTGAAAAGCCTTGTAGTCTGCCTGTGTTGCCATAAAATACTCAGTTTGTCGACATGGAAGCCAGCCATTGCCTTTCGAAGCCCCGAAGCGCATTACAATATAAGCCTGTCCACACCAGCGGCTCTGTTGACCCCAAATATCATTTATGCGGAAGTATAATCCTGCTTTATTTTATCTACCATGTGTCTCAGTTCCGTTCAAGCAATGCGAATAGAGCTTTGGTTTCTCTCTTAGCCAACCTCTTTTGTTTTGGAACTTCTACGACTTGCCACTACATGCTTGACTCGGCAAAGCAGCTCCCTTCTTTCTACATTCTGCTGGACCATATTGGAATTATTCTACACATATGGGGAACATCTGTATCGGTCTTGCTTTTAGAGACTACTGGTAGCGGGAACATCAATTACATTGTGTTGGGAGTCACACTCGGCGGCGTGGTTTGTGCCACTTATTTGATAACCTGGCCAAGAGAAAAGAATGAACGAGTGCTGGTAATTGGAGGATTTGGAGGATTGGCTTTATGCAGCGTCTCGATCTACAACGCTATTTTTTCGAGTATATCTCGACTGACGGCATCCTACATTTTTATGGGTTTGGTTAACGGCATCGGGGGATGGTTATACTCCCGTGGGTCTATGCAAGTCCTGAGCCAACGTTCACCCAAATCTTTTACTGTGTCGGGGCATTCGTTGATGCACCTATGTTCCCTGATTTCATCCGTATTTCACGCCACAATTCTGGTTTCTTCTGTTTGTATTTGTCAGACTTGAGCGCCTGGTCACATGAGACTTCAATCTGATATATTTCTATGAGAGGTTTTGTCATGTGTGTTGGATTTTGTCAGGATAGAGGTATGGCGTGAGTGAGGTGTGCAATGACGGATTTTCGCATTTCTGCATTTTCTTATCTTTCCTTTTTCCCCTTAAATTTATTTTGGCTCATTCAGTAAAGAATAGTCCGATTATTACGCCTAGACTATAGAGAAGAGATAAAATTAGACGTATATGACTTACATATTAATTCCATGCGGTTTCGAAAAGATTGTATGGATTGATAAGAGATCTTGTGTGCAAGTCGATGCACAGCACCATCGGAGGATGGAGCATGACAAGATAAATCAGATTACACGCCAGACTAGCTGGATGACTGAAAGATAATCGTTCGTCTAGAAATAAATTGACCAGGTCAAGTACAGTGCTCCGTCGAATCATCACTCCTCCCATGCAATCAAGTTAATGAACGTCTTTAATTACCAGCCCCTACATTTTCTGTCCGCAAATCTTACTTTTATGCCTTTTGGTTACGTTGGAATTTTCCCCTTTACCAGAGTAGCTATTGCCCCCTGTGTTTTGATTTGATCCCCATAAACCTTTGAGGCTGGTTACTCAATTTAGGCGCTCTTACACACCGAGTATAACCTTTACGGTTGCAATGACGTACGATCTGCTATTTAGCATGATCAGAAACATGAGGCCCCCAACGCCAAATTGAGGGTGGTGAGTTGTGATAATTTTGCTGTGCAAATTTATGACCGCCGGTCTTTCACAGTTCCACAACCCCTACCTTCTCTGATCATGAGCATTGGTGAATGCGTCCAAAACACGAGGCAATAAACCTGCACTTGTTCAGTGTCTCGTCTACCAATGGCAGATTTGACTTCATCATGCCACCTAGAGACACTAAAGGCTGGTGTGCATGTGCAAGGCTTAGAAACAGTTCTTCACTCACCCTTACTTCCCTCTCTTTCCTGTCATCTTATGCCGGGCATAGACAACACGGTACACCACCGACATCCATTTTAGTAATACATGCAGCCCGGTCACATTACCGATCGGCAGATCCCGGTCAAGTGATGCTGTATGGAGCAACTTTCTCAAATATTTTTATTTACTGTCAGTTCAGTAGCTCACGATCTTCTTCAAAGCACGAATGAAACTAGATACACCAAGTTATTAAGTCAGTCATGACTACATCAACAATGATTAATCCCAGAATTCACCAGAAAAGAGAGAGCTGCTACGAAGAAAGCTGCTGATTGGGGATCTTGATATGCAGACCTATTTTGGAGATGTCCAAAAGTTCTGACATTAAATATCTGCTAAATGGAAATCAACTCTTAAGGTTTCCTCAAAGGATGTCAGTTCTAGATTGTCGTGATATATACGTATAAATTGTCATATTAACAAGTATTCGGATTCGTAGGCTCCGGGTCTATAGACTCCCAGGCTTTTCCCATGTGAACGTACTATATGGTAGGTATCTTTATATAGCTGGTTGGGAATATGCTGTGCATCCTTTGGATACTTGCAGCATTTGGAAGCTTTTTTGTCTCGCAATAATAGAACAGTGTATATAGTTGTGATTCGCTATAAACTTGGAACATGAGTGTTAATATTCATTTAATCTCGGAATCATCTCGTGTCATATCCCCAAGGCATTCATATAATATATATCTCTAGTTGGTAAAATGTCTTAATGTACATATTCCAAACCAAATGAAATCTGCTATCTGCTGCAAGAGCTGAACCAAAGAAATATATCCTCCAGGTTCGAATATGAGTCCTCTCTGGTGCTGGCGATACTAGTGGCCCGGACTACTCTAGGTACTACTAATAGGGCATGCAGCCCCTGCAACGATAAGAAAGTCAAATATAGTTTAAGTACTTCAAAAAGGTACAGTATCTTTGTCTATAGTGTTCCCAAGAAGCAGACATAAATCGCAGAGCAAACACGAATTGCACACCCAAACTCGGAAGAAGAAAAAGAAGAGATCATAGGATCGAACTAAAGAGCTCTGCCCTCAACAGCTAGTGGCGCTAAGGCTCAAAGTCTGATGAAAACGACTCCACTCCAGAGAGCTCGGACCTTACTAAATGACGCTCTTTACATGTGGACGGCGATAAGAGGGAACACTGTGGGAGTCTGCAAGCGTAGAGTCCGCGCTTGCCAACTTTGGATCTGAATAAATTGCAATTGAAATGTCACCCGGTGCGGCTTCTTAAAGGCTATACCTCGTTTTCACATCCTTTATTGAAGATGCTGGGATTTCTTTTACATGCCGACGACTACTCCCATCAATCATACCTCGTGATATCAGCCATCTCTTCCACAATCGATCTCTGACAAGGAGCAACACATAACCCTAACAACACTATCCTCCTAGTGCACCGAGCTATCAGGCATAAAAGCCCTCACTTCCAACTCAAGGAATCAGGTAAATCCCCATCTTCTGGGCCAGGTTTATCTTTACAGCATTATGCACTATCAGATTATGGAAATAAATAAGATGATTGTCCATACTATAAGATCTCTTTTGTCATATGATACTTTTGTATATAAATTTCTACATTCCTTCTACTCCATTCCTTACTCTTTACCATTTATCTTCACTCTTCTCCTTTCACTTCGTCTCATTTTCTTCCCTGTTATTGGTTTTTTTCGTAGGACTGGTCCTTCTTTTTGAAGCTTTATCTGCCTTACAGTAAATGCCACGCATATAAGATCATAGGTGAACTTGAATGGCTTGCCCTTTTTGGAAACCGGCGAGTTTATAGCAGAAATGATATACGATGAAGCGGATCGCTGAGAAGTAGTTCAATTCTGACAAAACAAGAAAAAACAGAAGAAGAAGAAGAGAAGAGAGAACGAAAGAGAGACCTAGCTGGTCTGGCAAATTCCATCACCTGACTACCGCCCATCTCCCAAAAAGATTGTTCAACTTGATCGACGGGATGTGCAGGTAGGCAACCCCAATTATACGGTGTGAAATCATGCCTATAAACATATGCTGTCTTCAAAACATTCCGCTCGTGGGACTGATAGGACAGAAACCTAAAGAGAGCTGGGGTTGATTCCCGAATTATCTGACCTCAGAAGCAGCCTTGTGTTGGGAAATTTTTATCTACATGAGAGTCCTATTACTAGATGGCTAAATGTTACGACTACATGTGTGGTGTAGCATGTTGTGGTATATATCGGTTCGGGGATGACGGAGCACGATGTTCTGTCAGATTTGCCTTTTGGCCAGTGGTCAGCACGCCTGGGTGCTGAGCCCTTAGCACTAAAGGTGGTTATCTAGAAAGAGTAGGTACTCGATCCACAAAGATGCTCTCATATACCAAGGCTGATGCTACTATCATCAACTTCGTATGAATCGAGCCCGAATCATCGTTTGACCGTCAAATCGCTGTCAAGATCAGGCGGCTTTGATCTGGTGTCGCATCAAAGCATTTTCCGTTTGAGAAATAATCTACTGGATAGGAAACAAGCTTGGGGACAGTGCCACCGTATACCAGAAAGCTAAACGGTGTTGCGAATATCAATTACTGCTACCTCTTTGAACCTGCAATCGCAAATCTAGTCCAACACCAGGTACCGAGGAATCTATGGTCATGAATTGTTTAAAAGTTGATTGTTATTCTGTGCCTTTCGAATATCTTTGACAGATCAGGCTACGCCCATCCTCACCACTGGTGACCCCAAGTATTATCATCAGATAAATGTGCTGGGAAGGAAAATAGCTTCATGGCATCCAGGGACATCAAGTCGCAATTCCCAGGGGAAGGGATCCCAACCAAGCCACTGCAACTGTATGTTTCAAAGGATTCTCCAGTAGCCACAAAAGTGTCATCTTGTATACCTCCAACACTGCACCCCCAGGACGGATTATTGACGGGCCTTGGGGCGATTGTCTCAGACCCATTGCTGTGAGACCATTCACCGTCGCTCTCCGAAAATCCATAGGATTGTAATCGTGTTTCATGCTCACTGACAAACAGCCATGTGGAAGCATCATGTATACCTCCAGCGTTATACCCCCAGGACGGGTTATAGACAGGGTTTAGGGTGGTTGTCTCAGGCCCATTGCTGTGAGACCATTCGCCGTCGTTTTCAGGAAACCCGTTGGATTGTAATTGTGCTGTAGGCTTGCCCAAAGATGATGATTGTCGCGACTGTGGTTGGAATTTGTACTCTGGGTTTGCTAAGGCATGGCGCTGGCGCTCGGACTTGGCCATATCTTTGAATTGCTTCTTAAAGGCTTCATGTTCTGCACCCCAGCTCGCTCCTGCAATCTGGTTGACAAGTTGATGGTTTTCCACTCCGAAATGAGATTTGATGACCTTGACATACATCGAAAGGTATATAAAGAAGGAGTTCATAGGCCGCGGGACCTTCTCTCTCTCCTTGGCCTCCTGAATGCGCTTTTCGAGGGAACGGAGTATCCAATCTTTCATTTGTTCGATAAGAATCGGCGTCCTATCCCCAGCCAACTTGCTCAGTGGGGTTTTCTTGACCACGTGTAGACCAGGGGCTTTTTGACCCTTAGTACGACGTTGGCTAGGTTTTTCAAAAGGCAAATCAGTGCGGCGGGCTTTGGGAGCTGAGCCGGACCTCGACGGGTTCAGAGGAATGTCTCCATTTGCAGGAGACATAGCGAGTATAACTCTGCCACGGTAGTTCGATGTCTTTTTCGGATAAACAAAAAAGAATATCAAGCGGATGGCTTGACTTTATATGGACTCGACTAATTATGTAATCAAAATAGCCCAAGTAGTCGCAGGTTGGGGGAGGGGGAAATGAGCAACAGCGAAAAAGCTATAACCCTACTTGAGTTCTGCAGGGATCAGTGCCTGTAATTTAGGTTTTTCTTTTGAACCAGTATTCACCTGGGGTTTGTCGAGTCGGACACAGTGGAAAGTGAAAGGGTTTTTCCTGATAAGCAGAAAGTCTGGTAAGAAAAAGGGAAAGCCAAACAAGATAGACTGTTGATATGAAGGAAGAATTAGACAAGATTTTGACGGAGCTTGAATAATAACATCCTACAATTTGCTTCAGATTGTGCTGATTCGTGCATCTCTGACCTGGAAAAGTTCCCTAGGGATCCACCCTGAGACACGTAATAGTCCGGTTGATCACGAAAGCACTATAGGTGGATTTGGGGGCTAGAAGATGGTTTCTTGAAACATGTCCAGTCAAATGGAGTGTAGTGTGCCACTGGAGAGGGCCAGGCTCTTGAGTTTTGTTTTACAGGCTAAGACGGTCTTTTCTATTTAAAGATGCTCTATCTTGTGAGCTGCGTACTGTCGTAGTATCAGGCCAGCCACTGATAGTATTGAAGAAGAAACCATGTTTCGAACGAGAGCATGAACGTATGGTACCACAAAGCGCACGTATTGCGGGGGACCTGGTCAAAAAAAAGAGAAGAGGAGAGAGGTCTAGATCTAGTTAGTTATCTACCGTTGGGGAGCCTGCCAGATCAGGCGGCCACAAAGGCTCTGACAACCTGTTGTCATTGATATTCTCATTTACTATGACCGCTTCTTGACTTCACCTATGAATCTTGCAAAAATCAGGACTCTCAGATATACAATTTTGACCATTCCTCCACGCTTAAAATGAACATGGATAGATTTACTTATGACAAATCAAGTATCCCATAGTTCGGTATCGTGCAACTTCTGTACGAGAACAACACAGCCACACAGAATCTCATTCAGTGGCGAGAAGAGCATTAAAGGCTTTTCGTGTTACGGCAGCATCTAGTGCCTATGATGCCACATCTATATCAGCGTTTTTTTGTTTTACAATCCTGCGACTTTGCTACTCACAATGGCCAGGTAGATCCTGATGCTCCACAACGGCCGCTACTACTCCGACCCGCACCTCTGGGCGGCTATGATGACCGTGAAGGATCGTGGGAAGATTCATGCTAGCCTATACCTTCCATCATCGCCATATGACGCTCTGCACTGCCCTCCCTCTTCAGCCCGATGTGCGATCTCCCTCTGAGAAGCGACAATATCGACCAGAAAAAGCGAAGATCCCGGCCCGAGAGCGTGATCCCCCTATTCTATGCACCGAGAAGAAGCTCCAGCCGGAACTATGATGTCAGCACACGCTGTGTGTAGACGAGGCCGCTACTGACCCTGCCTCATCTGCCGTGGTCCCTTAGGTATAAATTCCATACCCGATTCTCCAGCTTGTTTTTTCTCCCTGTGGCTCCATCGTCCTCAGCATCATCTCATGTGGATATTGTAACCATCCTTGGTCACGGACTCTTGCTATCACACAAAGATGTGACCCGCTTACCTCATGCAGCAGGATCTAGCGAGACAGCAGGTGGCGACTCATACCAGGCTGAATTATGGTCCCCATGAGCCCTTTTTGAGTAAATTCAGCGCCATCCGCACTAGTAATTATAATCATACACCCCTCAAGCGGTCATTACTATCGGTCACGTACCCCTTTATTACATGAGAGTCCTGAGTTGCAGCCGCTGAAGAGAAGCACTATCCATTCATGGATGGATCTGACGCGATGACGACTACTTCAGCCACCTCCTGTGTCATGGCCTTGTCTGCAATATCTCCATGGATATCTTATAATTGCTATATCCTGTGTACGTAGTGATGGGGTTCAAGAAGTCAGTCCACTCTATGTGCACGGGTCGATCGATGCATTCAATCAGCAAATGGTGCGACAAGGGTGCTAAAATGGTATAAAAATGGTGAGATCAAACAAGCCTAACTTTAGGAAGAAGGGATAGAAATGGCTTTTCGCGCTGCTCAATGAAACGCCGTATCTCGAACTCCCAGCAGATTCACACGTCCCTTGGTAAGCTGGAGTATAGGCCTCTTCATGGCCAATATAGCACATCGAATTTCGGCTCGCCTGTTTGGAGGCAGGCTACCCATCAGATCCCCAGCTCAGGCAATCTGCTGCTGTTCTACAGTTCGCGGAATCTCAGACACCTTTGCCCTCCCCGAGCCAGAGCCCTTGAAGTCCTTCAGGACCTCGTTGAGGTCGAAAAGAGATACAGGCCAGGGATAATGTGATATCAATCCCTGCGATCCTCGCAACCAATGACTTCGATATCGTCGTTTAGTGCGTACCCCACTGGCTCATAAGCCCGGACGGAAAAGGTATGGAGCATTTGCCGGAGGTATCAGAATCATTAGATCTATTGTCTATTATGAGAGAGACCCGTCTCTCTATCAGTGGCTAAAATTACTGTAAGCTTCATTATCGCATCATACTTAGATATATCCCAGTTTCGTCAAGACCTCATTTGTATATACTCTTTAGTAAACACTTGACTTTTCTCCCCCGCTCTGCGGATCCAAACTTCACGGATGTCGGAAGATTCCTCTACCTTTTCCCTTTGTATCCACTTTTCCTGCACTCGAACGCCAACATTTCGTAGCATGGCTTGCTTCTTCGATTTCTCGATAATTCTCACAGCTTTGATAGACTTGGTGTGACACTCTGTCTGCGGTAATGAAGAGGATGCCTTTTCTTTGAACATGGTATACCAACTGAAGTACAGGTTTTCGCAACCAAGAGAGGCATCCTTGACACCGTATTTGTAAGTGAATGGGAAAAAGCCAGCCATTTCCCAGTCAATCACACCAGCCAGCTAATATTTCCCAGAGGATGATTTCTGGCCGGAATGTTGCGTGGTTCGAGGTCATTGTGGCAAAAGACAACACAATGCTGGAGTTCACCAAGATTCGAGTGAGATAGATCGATCTGGCCGATATCATTGTAACAGGTTCGAAATGTGGATGCTGTGTAGAAATAGCCAACAATGATGAGAGCCTTTTTGATTATCCCTTAACAGGCGGCACATACCACTTCATCTCGTGTTGGGGAAACCTGGAGGAGTGATCCGACGTCCAGGTTCGAAGTTTTTTGCAATTCACCTCCGTTCATAAAAAATCACTTTTTTAGATGATACTCTATATCATCCGTAAACTTAGAAGTATCAGGGTCACCGCTGAAAAGCTAGATCAGGTCACAGTTGACAGCAGGAATAGCCTGAAGTAACTTTCTGATATGGAAATTGTTATGGAGACCCTTCGCGTCCGCAAGATGGAAGAGCGCTATGAGCGAGGCTAAGTCGATAGCAAACCTTTTATCAATGTGACCAGCCGTAGAGTTGGTCCTAAGAGAAACACGCTCAAAGGGTCCGCTGATGACCCTGCGGTCGTTGAGGGCGCAACTGGGCACACCAAAATAAATCTCTTGGCACCCAGCCGTTCCATTGAGCAGCCTTCTACCTCTCCAGTCTTGTCAATAAAAAAGTTAGGTGCTACTACTCAGTCTATACTGAGCAATCTTACTCTGGCTAGGCGGCTGATATTTGAAATCTGGCCAGGCAGCCCTTTGTTAGCCATCTCACCGCCATACTTGGAGTCATGTTCACCGAACACGCGGAACAGAGTGAGGAACGTTGCACCCAGCGTCCCCACATTTAACTTTGTATCTCAAAGCCCCTTCACTGCCTGGGATATAGATCAGCAGCTCGACCAACTGCCCTGGCTATTTGACCCCTGATAACGATCATTGGATGCGTAACAAATATTTATGAAGCTTCCCTCTACTCTCCTACAGTGCTTTTCAACAGCCAGTCTCCAGTGGACCTTTCCGTCCGCAGGTCCAGGTTGAATCTCCTTCGTCTCCAATCCTTCCTGCCTCCTCGACACTGGAATATCAGCTCTCAAACTCACCCTGAACTTGTCTTCATGAACCTCACGAGGAAGTGCAACCGCTCCTCTTAAATTACATCAGGCCACCAGAAGTGCACGGTCTTCCCCCAATGGAAACGACTAATTTGGTGCATAAAGGAATCTCTGGTCATGGCCCACACAACAAAAGATGATACCCCACACCTTGTCGACCAGTCTTTTGTCAATGATGCTGGGCCCTTTCCGATCATCGATCTAAATCCGGCACACCCTGGACCCAAAGCGAACTTAAATGGCATCCAATATTATATTGAGTGGCAGGTATTTGATTCTACCGGGGGGTCGTGGCAGTACGTGATTTTGATCACCCCGTGCTAAACCATACTTATAGCCAGATGCGATTCCAAGCAAACTGCGCTCATGGTATTAAAGGGGCAAAAGTTTCCTCTCAAGACGGGCTATAACCACCAACTGCTTCAACAGCCTTCTGTGGCCAGAGGCTTGATTGAGAACCCGACTGTTGGGTGGCCGAGGGTGATTTTCCAGAACCAGTATGCCCAGAATTCATTGATCTCATGTCCACACTTGATCATGGTATCACCAGTGTCAAATGCCTGTGAGGGAGCTTTCAGTATCGAGTTGGAATTCTATTCACAAAGCGTAGAGCTTTTTCGATTCCCCGAGGCAAGCAGCTGTGGAGACCGTTCGCTTGAAAGAACGTGATCAGGTCACTAGCGTCTTCGATAAATCGAGGTTGGATACGGTTGCCGCCCCACATTGGGGTGGTGGTGATTGAAGCCTCCTTCCAGAACGATGCTCGTTGATCGGTAATCATCTTGTAGAGTTGTTGTGATTGTGTTTTGAATTGCGGTGAGTGCAGGTTCTGCTGAAGCTTCACCGTCCGTACACAAGGGAATAGAAGGGATGCAAACGGAGAAGAAAAGGATTTGAGAGTCGGATGTTCAGATTTTGATCGCAGCGGCATCTGGGTGGTCGCATGGGATTTGTCGGTGTGTCGAAGTAGAGATATTCCGATTCACATAGATCGGACTGCGAAATCGGGCTGCATCGGTCTCGGTAGTCGGATGCTAATCAACGTATTCACTATTCTCAGATAGCAATCAGTATTTGGTGCGAGAACAAGGATGCGCGACAGTGCAAGTACCTCGTGGCTGTTTCATCACATAGGGCGGTTCATATCGCCGTGATGGGGGTTACTTCTGTAAAACTTACAAAATTTGACTTTACCACAACCTTTACTCCGGACAGCAACCTAACTTTTGCTGAGCAAACGAGGCGTATCGTCTTGGTATTGAATTACCATACTCCAACGGTGGAAATGGTCTAAAAATCATCGATATACACTTTTTGGGCGCCATTCTTTCCTGGAGTGTGTACTTTGCATATGTTGTCGACATCTACAGAGGCTTTGCTCTTTATCATGACCCCAGCCCTACAGGAGCTCTGCGGGATAATTCAGACATTCCAATCTCCCTTCACGTTTCTTGCATACATAGAGAGCGATGATTACTCGTTCCAGAAACGACTTACCCAATATTGTAGTCACCAGCCCTGGCCCCGAGCTTTGATCATTGAGGTCATATGCCCTAGGTGCGGACCCTGTACCGCGTGCACAGCTGAAGAAATAAAGTCTGCAGACCACCTGGCTTGGTTGGACTGTCGGACGAAAGAGACGGTGCATCGATCACGCACAAAGCCATGGCGCTCTCGCTTGCGTGAAGGGGTACAGTCTCCTGTTTCTGGTTGATCCAGTGGTGTTTGGTGAAGTCGAGGCAATTCCGCGCATGCACAGTAACCTGTATCCCTCGCTTTGCTGGATATTGAGCCATAAATTTGGTGATATTGTTGGAAGCCAGGGTCACCTGATCCTTCCCCGCTTGCTTCCATCTCTCTTTCTTTCTTCCTTTCCTTTCTACAGACATACACAGAGGTTGCTTTTTCTTGACTAGCCTGTTCTTCCTGATTGTGTTTCCTCTCTGCTTCCAGGGCTTCTAAATGATATCATATCCCTTGGTGCCATGTTAGGAATTAGGTAGGATAGTATACCCCGATACAAGCTAGCTGTCTCTAGAGAAGCACGAGTTAGTCATACATTATCTATGCCGGGAATGAGATGTGACCGCGCCAGCTCTGAGAAGATGAAACTGAATTGAGGAAGTCGATAACTTTCCGCTGTTTATGATGATAATAGAAGTAAAGGTCACCTGACCCTACTTGTTGCTCTGTTCAACTACCCCTCACCTTTTTCTCTGCCCTTTTTATAGACTTCGTGTATGAAGGCACTACCCTTCCTGACCCGCCTGCATCATGGCAAAGGAAGAGAGATCAATGTGATGATGTTGATACTATAGAGATGCGTATGAGCGAGTGCAAGGAGAGAAGAAGAAGAAGAAGAAGAAGAAGAAGAAGAGGAGGAGAGAGAGAGAGAGAGCAAGGGAGCAGAAGAGATAGAGTAACCTCGGGGAGTATGTGTATGTGACCTGCTGCCTGACATAGTTCTCTAAAAATCTCCCTCCACATACATACCCCATAATCATACTAGGCCCGCAAACAACTTCATGGACGATATCTCAAACGGAAAGATCATTGGTACATAGAAGGGCAGGGACGACAAAAGGTTTACAAAGGTGACCCAGGCCAAGTAAATGTAATTTCGTTGCACACCCTACTGCACCCATCTTAGTGGATGTGGAGGAACCAAGGAACCTGGATAAGAATACGAATCCAACGAGTGTTGTGGTCTCTGCTGGAGCGAGATATTATATCGCGTACCAACCCGAGAGCATCACAGCCGCTCTGCTGGAAACAGATGCTTTGATGAAACGTTTCAACGTGCCCCCAAGATGGACGCTGCGGGGCCGGCAATTGAGAAAGCCCAACTATATGAAACTCTATCCACTCCATTCAGTATACCCCCAGTTGTTCCCTGATATGGGTGAAGACAGCACGGATATTGGTAGCAGCGTTCATTATGTCTGGACCCCACCATTCCCGTAATGGATATCTTTCAGAGACTACCAGAAGAAAGCGCTTGTGGGGGTGAGTGATATGACATGACCCAGAAAGAATTGGTTACATACGCCAGCAACGGACTGCGGAACTCTCCGACTGTTCTGAACGTGCTCGGTATCATAAGACCCTGCATCTCCGGTGGGGGGTTGGCCGCTGGATTGTACTTGAACCAGTCTCGTTTCATCCGGCTCTTCTTTGCATTGAGGTCGGATGCTGAGGGTAGGCGGTGATAGATGGCTCACCAGTGGCCGGCAGGGGAAGAAACCTCTCCATTCTGCCTCTAAGGACTCCGAGGGCCGATGATTCTGGCCAGGACACTGGCCGATATATGGAGTCTCTGACAGCATGTTGGGTTGAATCAATGCAGAGTATTGCGTAAATGTGTTCAGTGTATATGGTAGTTGATCATGCAAAACTTCCGATACTAGCACATTCACAATTTGTTTATATATATAATAATCGCGTGATTACTTCTATTGTAGTAACCGTGCTCAACATTCCAACGAGCTAGACCTTTAGGGATTTGCGCCAGGGGTCGCCATATTCTTTCTCAATTTCCACAGATCACATGCATTAATGACGGGAGCTAAAGGGTCAGCTGGCTTGTTTCAACTCATCTTGTTATACCATTATAAACGTCGGCTCACGCGGTGGAGCAAGCCTAATTACATGACCTCATCGTTGAAAGCGATATCAGGACTATCTGGTCTATCCTTGTATGGATTTTATCTAGTGGCTTGAGGAGAATATTTTCCTCATTCAGACCGGTCTAAGAGAAGGGCAATCGTGCCGATTGGAAGTTTCACAGAGAGAGCCATGTCAGACAATCAATCAAAAGTCTCCTCTTTATATGTACTAGCTCACACCACCATTGCAAAGGACTTTTCCCCTCACAGGGCCTCTCATCATACCCTGCAGCGATTACTCTCAATATCAAAATTAGATCAATCTAGCAAGATTATCACTCTGATCCTTTTTCATTCCTCATAGAGTTTGCCAGTACGTTGCTCTTGCCACGTTCTAACGTACAAGGTTTCACCTAGGTATTATCCACCGGATGGATTGCATACCTCCCATGTAGAGTTTGTCTTCCGTCTTGGGCGTTAAAATCCTTGACAACTGCAAGCCCATCTGTGAGTAGCATGAGCTTCATGTGCTCTGTCTTCCGATGAATCGCTCGATTCACGTAGTAGCCCATAAATCGAAATAGTCCTTGTACATCGTCGGTAGATGTAGACACAAGCTGCTTGCGGTTCATGCTGCGCTTTTGCATACGGGCAGGCAGCCATGCATTGTCCGAGCTTGTCGCACCTGCGCTATGGTGGACATGGTCTGCCAGTTTCAGAAGCAAATCGAGGTATTTTACTTCCACGTATAGTTTGTCTAGATGGGTGGTATCACATGTCGAGCCATCATTACCTCCATTGGTTCGACTGCGTCGTCTGCCTCTCATGACTTGTGATCGCTCCTGCATCGAGGCTAGGATGGTTTGCTTGAGGCGGGTAAGAATGTTGAGAAAGATGGCAACAACGTGGATCATCAACTTACACACTGGGTACTATCACTGTATGGTCGAGGTTGCCCCCTAGACAGCCGCCGAAGAAGCAATTTTAGTTGCCAAAGCGATACATCAGGGTTCATTGTCTTTGGAGGCTTCATGGAGTATCTACGGTGCTACCTGATCACGAGAACAAATACAAACACTTTTGGTGGAGTGAGCGAACTGTAAATATATATCTGTCTGTGCAATTTTCTCTGTTGCGCTGGAGCCGGAGAGTATTTCGAGCCCTGGGGGAAGGCACATCCTAAAATTAGACTCCGATGGAAGACCCCCTTTACAATCTCGCCACCTTCTCACGACTAGTGAATGATTATGTCTATTCTGGCCTTGCGGAGTCCCTCCCAACTTTGGAAGTTGGCGCGCAGAAGGGCCGTACAACTTGGTAACCCCCAGTTGTGGTATTCGTGCGTGCGGCATGGATGTCCTATTTTGACCAGAGAGAGAGACAGAGTGTGTGTGTGTGTGTGTGTGTGTGTGTGTGTGTGTATGTGTGTATGTGGGTGTGCGTGAGAGAAAGAGAGCGATCTAGCCGGGATGGACAACTGGCCTCTCACGTAAAGTTAACAGACGCTACGAATAACATCCATAGCCATGGTCTCCAATGGTTGCAAATAATTGTACATACAATCAAAGCCTCAGAAGTATCATGAGCAGACGCGTTAGTTGTTGGCTGCGATTGCTCCTCTAAAATCAAGCCGGCATTTGGTACTGTAACATGTTAACTGCTCGTTCAATTCCGGATCATGATATAGCCTTGTCACGGGAATCTCTTGCCAACCATCAGATAGAGCCCTATCAACGTAATCCCTACAAATATTGTTCGGCAATTGTGACAGTGAGGTTATCTAATTATTTCTAGAGATACAGCGTACCTGCAGTCCTGATGTAGATAAAGAGCTAGGAAGCCTCCCAGAATGGAGCAGGCTGTGGAATACTTCTATGCCAAAACAAGAGGGGCTTCTGGAAAGACCAGCAATTATGAGGGTAAATCTCAGCCTCTTTGTCGACAGAGGCCGAACTGAGAATCCATGTCGCGAGTTGCCTTCACAGAAAGAGACTCCATCCACCTCAGAATCATCTAAGCCTTTGACCCAATCCCCGGGAAAAGCATCATTGGAAGATCACCTTCGACAGTTCTACAGTACGCGTGAAGTGTCATCGTCACCCTCTACATACTACCATAGGGGCCTACCCTATCCAAGAGTTTCCGTTGGGCATGCACGAAAACCTGAACAACAGCCCATCCAATATCGAAGTGTGTCTCACACATACAGAAAATATATCTTCCGTGTGTTCAGATAAAGCTGGGTCCGGTTGCCTTACGTATGCGATACTTGATTATCGCTTATAACTTCGAGCTGTCTGGATTGGATGCAAATTCCCCGCAGATCTATTGTCGTAATGCTCATGCATATGGACGTGAGATGTAGTTATATCTTAAATGTGCAGGTATTCCAAGCCTGGCATTTAAAAAACAAGCCGAGGATCATTATTTCTATTTTTTCCTCAATGGTTTAGTGTGACATGGCATCGTGGAGTAACGAGCGTAGATTGTGACGCCGCTTCGCGAGACTATCTTACTAAAATCCGTTGATTTGATTTGTTTCAGTTGTAGGGGAACATTACCAATATGGATACAGAGCATGACTTATAGAGCCATCTGAGCATGAAACTCTCAAATAGCTTTTCACGGTATTATTTCTAGACTGGGCATGACTTTTGAATGGTTCTACGAGATAAATCCTGTGCCTCCATTGTGATTAAGAGGTTTATATCTGCGGTGACGTTGGATTCTTGCTCATGAGTTTGATATATAGAAGTAGCAGACCGAGACTCCTTTTTCCCAAGGCGTTCGCGGCCTCTGTTCTTTCACTGCCGACCAACCTATATGGAGCGAGAATTCAGACATCCGTTCATTGCAGGGCCCTCGATGGGCATCTCGAGGTAGGTTACATATATCAACAGCATGTACAATATAGCGCAATGCACAAGACGCTATCAACGTGGCTCTTCATTCATTGGGTTGGACTAAGTCATCATACAGAACTTATAAACAAGTTCGAGCCAGACAACCGAGCAACTGGATTCAAGGAGATCACGTGTCGTCGGACCTATGGTCACCCGCTGGTCCCCACAGCCCAAGATCTGAAAATGAAGTTGTTGCGACCTCTTGGGCCATTGGATCAATTCCTGTCCGGCAAGAAACAATCATTCCGCCCTTACCGATGGAGTCAGTCCTCTGCATCATTGAACAGATAGATTATCGCTCCCTGTGGAACGTGTCTTTACTAAACAAAAGCTTTAGGCAAATTGCAAATCCGCTTCTTTTTCAGATCGTCCAGTTCAAGAGAAGTTTCGCCCATTCCTGTAGGGAATCTCCCACAGCCATGTTTCTTGATACCCAATCAATAAAATATGTCGCACCCTGGTGCAACGAATTGGGTACGATCCATCAAAGATGAAAAGCCTACATTAGCTTAGGCTAAGGACCGAGAATAGACATTGGGAATCCATGGACTGATGTCAACTCCAAAGGTACATGCTCCAATACCATGCGCCCTCAATCGTTTGCGCATGAGGTAGTGTATCTCGCCACGATTTTATGCCGGTGTCGTAAACTCCGTTCTCTCAAGCTGCGCTGGGGTCCCTGCCAACAAAGACGTTCGTGCATCCAAGCACCCCCCTTGATGACGATCACTTCAATGGCATCTACAGCTACGTTTTGCCACTATGCACGGCGGAACTTGCAAGACGGAAGCGTTGCAGAGCCTGAGCGTGAATATTTTTCAATCTCATCACACCATCAACGAGCTTGGCATGACAGCGGATTTTTTGACGGCAGTATTGAAGGTGAAGGATCTCACACTGAGGGGACAATTTGCTTTTTGGGAGCCAGTTCTTGCCTTTAGCAGGCTTGCGGTCAATCAGGTTAAGTGACTGCGCAGTCTGGCACCACAACCTGAAATCTTTCGCCAAGCGTTCAATGGGCGGGGTGATTTCCATTCAGCTCGAGAAAGTTTTCATTCTTCCATACGGGGAACTAGGGTACGTGACGCAAATGGGCTCACCGATTGAGATAGTAAATTGGTTGGATGGCATCGTGCCATCAAGGCCTAACCCGGCCAAATATCGATAATCTAGGTTGGCGGCCTACATCACCGGGCGCCCCGATAAAAAATCGATCAGAGACACACAAGAGAGCATGGCCTGTATATGCTCAATCGCTGTGTAATGAGCACGTTTAAGGCAGATGCGACGTTTATTTTCTACTGACGCCATTCAGTCAAACGGCCCACAGAAGTGTAGAGACAAAGTCCGTCTTTGCCATTCTCGATCTAAATCGTGGCTTGGTAATGAACAATAATTCAGAGAAAGAAAGGGAAAATAAACGCTCATTCCACCGCATATATACACTTGAGTGATAGTAAATACAGGCTCCAGGAATTGAAGAGTTTGCGGTTAGAGGCTTTTCTCACCTGTCTTGCTGTAATGAGGACATAATTCGACAGAGTTTTCAATAGATTCAATGATTTAAACCACATGAGAATGATCGATTCGGCAGTGGAGACTTTCATTTTCAGAATTTGATGGCTGAACGTTGTACTCTCCATTTTATGAGAAAATGATTGCTATTTGAAAAATGAACATTCCGATTATGAAGATAGGATAGTGCCACTTCTTTAATGCAAATGCTCAAGTATGTATTAAAGTATCCCTCATTATCCGACAGCCATTTCGTTTCCAGAGAGATTCGCAAGAGTAGTATAAATCCTTAGTGATTTCATTTCAAGGAGAATATTATGAAGGAAATGAACAGGGAATCCGACAATCGATGCGACTGGAATGTATCTTTCACCGCAGAATGCGCGTAGGTGGTAGATTAAACAATCCTGTTGTTATTGCACAGTTATTGGTCTCCACATTTAGCCCAAACATTGGGTAATGTTGACCTGATTTTTATGACCACGACAGGCTATTCTCATATTTTATGAATGCCTGAATCTAGGCCTTATGGCAAAGATATAAAAGTCACTTATAATTGCCATTTGAGTCTTTAATCTCATGTACCGCTGAAACATTTGATTCCATCCGAGCTGTCAACTATGGCGGAAAGTGACCGCGAGGGATTCAATTATGGAAAATATGGCGAGGGCTATTCTGCCTCTACGGAAGTCATCCGAGAGCAAGAGTACCCTAATCTGAATAGTATGCCCCCTTCCTTGATACCATTCCGATCCACCTATACTGATTATCATCCTTTACGGGGCACAGAGACAATTTATCTTGATCATGCCGGTACAACAATTTATGCCAAGTCATTGATCACGGCGTTCTCGCGTGAGATGAATTCCAGTCTGTTTGGAAATCCCCATTCAATGTCTCTTTCTTCGCAATTGTCCACACGGCGGACAGAAGAGGTGCGAGCACGGGTCCTCCACTTCTTTAATGCTAGCCCCGAGGAGTTTGACGTGGTTTTTGTGGCAAACGCGACAGCTGCTATCAAATTGGTAGCCGACTCGTTTCGGGATTGTGATTCTCGGGGTTTCTGGTATGGGTATCATGTTGACTCTCATACCAGTGTCGTTGGTGTCAGGGAAGTTGCCGAGATGGGTTATCAATGCTTTCAAGATGTCGATGTGGATGCTTGGATCGCCGAGTTAGGCACAGCTCAGCTAAAAGCACCCAGACTGTTCGCATTCCCAGCCCAGTCTAACATGAACGGTCGACGTCTCCCAATCCGTTGGTGTGAGCAGATTCGCTCCGCTGCGAATGAAACAGGGAACGTATTCACTCTTCTTGATGCTTCCTCGTTTGTGTCGACCGCTCCTCTCGACCTAGGTAAAGCAACCGATGCTCCTGACTTTACGGCATTGAGCTTCTACAAGATCTTTGGGTTCCCTGATCTCGGAGCGTTGATTGTCCGAAAAAGCGCGGCCCACATTCTCGAACGACGAAAGTTCTTTGGCGGGGGCACAGTAGATATGGTGATAGCAACCGGAACTCAGTGGCATGCAAAAAAAGAAAGCTCGATTCATGCGCAGCTTGAGGACGGAACTCTTCCTTTTCACAGCATTATCGCGCTGGGTGCCGCCATTGACACTCATAAACGTCTGTACGGGTCCATGGCAAATATTTCTGCCCACACTGGGTTCCTCGCTAAGCGAGTCTATGATCGACTCTCTGCAATGGCACATTTCAATGGCTCCAAGGTCTGTCAGATCTACCAATCAGGCTATGCAAACCCAGCTTTGCAGGGCCCGATCATCGCTTTCAACCTGAGAAATAGTCGAGGGGAATGGATTCCAAAGACCGAGGTAGAAAGTCTAGCCACAATGCAGAATATCCAACTACGTTCTGGATCAGTGTGCAATCCTGGAGGAACGGCCTTCTCTCTTGGATGGACCAGCCAAGAGCTGCGCCGTCATTATGCCGCTGGTTTGCGATGCGGCGATGATCACGACTTGTTAGATGGCCGGCCGACTGGCATTGTCCGTGTCAGCCTGGGGGCAATGACCAACCTGAAGGATATTGACTCGCTGATTGATTTCATCGAGAAGTTCTATGTTGAAAAGGTGCCTCCATTGGTCTCACTGACTCCTCCCCTGGGTAAAGACACCCTGTTCGCTCCTCACTTTTATGTTGAAAGTGTCATCATATTCCCCATCAAAGGTTGTGGCGCATTTAGAGTCCCTGAAGGTCAAAGTTGGGAAATCAAAAAAGAAGGAATCGCATGGGATCAGGAATGGCATCTCATCCATGCTGGGTCTGGTGTGCCTATGAATCAGTGGGAGCACCCTCGGATGGCTCTCATATGTCCCTCTGTTGATGTTGACCGCAACATACTTCGCATCACCTGTGCCGCCAAGGCTGCAAATGACGAACTAAGCCTTGAAATACCTCTTACATGGAGCCGCACATGCATGGGTACGATGACTACTCCAGTTCGTTCGAGTTGCCAAAAACGGCCGGTCAGTGCCCACGGAGATCAGTCGTGTCTTCGCGCCTACGCCTCCCCCGTGGTTTCGGCGTTCTTTTCCAATTACTTGGGGGTATCTTGTACACTCGCACGGTTTTCCTCACAGGACGCAGGCCAAGCTATGCAACGACCACACCTTGGCGACACTTGGAAAGATCGCTTACGGAGATTCACCAGGCTCGGACTCCTCTCCTCCACTGATCAATTCCCCGGAGAGCTTGGCCAAAAATATCTGGCCGTGTCCAGAGAAACGGCCATTTTGATTATTTCCAGGTCTTCACTCAATTTTTTGAACCAGAATATCAAGGTCAACACCAAATTTACATCTAGAATCGGCGGAAATTTCACTGCAGATGTATTGCAGGGCAACATTGTGATCGCGGAGCGGACCTCTCAGCTAGGGCGCGCGGAACTGCCTTTTGTTGAGAAGTCGTCGTCCATTTATATCGGACACAACGAGCTTCGCTTCGATACTTTTGACCCGTGCCAGCGCTGCCAGATGATATGTGTCGATCAGGCTACGGGAATGCGACGCATGGAAATACTTGCTGCTCTTCCCAAAAAGCAACAGATCGATGGAAAAGACGTGTTGGGTAGATATGCGGCTATTTCCACAATGGGAGCCACGGAATCTGAGCCAGGGAGGCCCGGCAGAAGGTCAATTATGGTGGGAGATGTTGTGCTACCATCATACCAGCATGATTGAGCCTTTAGAAAGCGGATTTTACATCTGGTCTGTTTGTAGTCCAGTGATCCATGAGTGGCCCCTGAAGAAGTTTTGAGAGCCAGAGAGTCTGTCTGGCTTGATTTAGGTACATATCGTTTAAGTATTAAATACGACTTCGGGTCATACAATATGGAATGATCTTCAGTGGGCAGATAACGGAATTTGGGCATTGAGACTAGAATTCATTTTGTGTTGCTATTTACCAAGTGCTGTCATTTGAATTGGCTGGCACTCATAGTCAACTGGCTTACTAGTCACCGTTCATTCTGGGGATTTCGGTCTCGAGTCTCATCTCCTACATGTGTTCTGTCCGTAATGGCGCCCACCACTACAAATTAGCCCAAATTCTGTCTCTTGAATTTGTAAACTTACTGTTCATAGATGATTTGGTCTAAACTTTTGAGTGCTTTTGATGATGAGATTAAATGCGCAAATAATAGAGAAATGAAGGCTTATGAACGATACATGCTGTTGCGCTGTACCTGATAGCATGGTGCCCATGCATGACTGAAAATTTGTTTAATCCTGATATTGTAAATTGTTTCCAGTAAAACCTTTAACTGTTTTCAATCTTGGAAGTTATCTGAGACAGGGCATCAATTGGCTATAAAACTATATTCGAACCTAAGCCCCTGGTCAACCCCATATGGAAGGAAGTCTGGACATTCTCAGCAAGAACGGATCCCAGCCTGTCTCAACCCCTCCACCTGTCCTGTTGAGGTGGGGTCATTTTTTCCTTAGGGACTCCACAAAGCTATCCATCATATAGGTCTTGATGAGATTGATAGGCGACCAGAGGAAAACCAAGGTCGTGAGATCTAGACACCTCTTTTGTAGATTGCCCCCAATGATACAACGTAGAATCCAATACCATCAGGCTGCATTTCGCAGTTTGTCAACTAGAACAGGATGCCATCCTGCAGATTTCCAGACACTTTGATCGACCGACCAGTTAGAGATATTCTGTCAGGCATGGCGGGAAGCGGTAACGCGAACCATTCGTCTCGCTTCATAACTTCCGGACAAGCTTTGTACTTCAGTAGCAGCTGCACCATTTCCCTGTTGTTCAACAGGGCCCACACCAGGGCTGTCTCGCCGCTGAAACCAGGCTCGTTCGGGAGTGCGCCGTATTGGAGAAGAAGTTCAGCCACTGATGTGTTGCGGTGGATGACGGCCCACATCAGAGGCGCTTGACTGCACTGTGTTGTTTGACCAATACTGGCGCCATGGCATAGCAGGAGCTGCACCATCTCCACAGCCCTTCTCATGACAGCCCAGACGAGCGGTGAGCGCTCCGCCTCTTTCCTTGCTGATGGATTGATCTTTGCATGGTAAGAGAAAAGAAAATTGACCATTGCGAGATCATTCAATACGACAGCCCAGACAAGGGGTCGGTCGCCCTGGATATCGGGTTGCTCCACGTTGCAACCTTCCCCCAGCAATACTGCAGCCAGATCGAGGTATCCATTGATGATAGCCTGAATCAGAGGGGTGAACCCGTGGCGAGCGACTTGATTTGGATCTGCCCCTCGTGTCAATAGCATCCGCGCTGACTTGATATCTCGTCACTTGGTGGCCCAGAACAGAACATTTTCAGCGAGCGCATTGCGAGCAATGACATCTGCTCCTGTATCCAGCAGCAGTTGGAATATGGCCTCTTTCTGGTATTGAGCTGCCAGAATCAGCGGGGTATCGTTTTGTCTATTCTCCGGAACATCCAGCAACGCTTTGTGGTGGGGATCACTTCCAGGAGCCGAACGAATTGCCATACCCTTTAGGCAAGCCGGCCGACCCTGTTCCACGTATCTAATCATCATCATATAACGCAATATATGGTGTTTACCCTACTTTATCTACGACCTGATGGAGATTCTCCCACTCTGTTTTTTAAATCAAATGGCGCTCATCGCAGATTAAAAAAGACGACATATCACTCGATAATTGCAGCCGCACTTCGATGGAACCAGAGGGACTATGGAAGTCACAGGGTGTGCCAAGGACCGAGTTCGAGGAATCCCGAAGGTCAGAGTTCGGTGACACTTTATTGAGCACGAAGATAATTCAGTTCCTGTGTTCATTTATGCGTAAGCCATTCATCCAGATGACCCGTCGCAATGACCCGATGGCTATTTTAGTTGAGCTAGGGAGCTGAGTACTGAGGAGATGGGACGAACCCAGGGATAAAGAAGTATGTGAAATACGTCAGTGATTGGTTGACTCGCGCAGCACCTTGGATCCATTTCAAGAATAGTTCCAATCAATTCCAGCACTGTTACAATAATACAAGTGTTGAACAAGGGCTCGAAAAGGAATTTGCGAGTCAGTGATGAATATCCTCGATCCACTCTCGATGAAAATTTTCTACGAATATTACAGAAGGATCATGTCATAAAGGTATGGCTTGGCAATTCGATCGGATCTGTAGCACTCAAATGGATTAGACGCACGTTTCTCATCAAGACTTTGCTACGGATTCCAAATTGGTCTGTGTTTGGGAAAGCCGTTAGACTGAACTGTTGGTCATGCTTTTGGGTGCTTCTTTTACGGCCTCTTTTCGGCTTCTATTTTAAGCCTTCCCTGATATTTTATTTTGGACCGCCAATGTCAATTTATAGTCTCAACCTTGAAGGTCGTGTTGGCACAAGCATATAAATACGAAGTTCTCTTGCAAAGCCTACCTATTTGCGCTGTATCCTGTGAATTCAATTTCTGTGCTGTCATGAGTAGAAGTAAACTCCGACTATTCCGGCGCAAGTCCCTCTTACGTAGGATTCGCCGTCGTAGGGTGAGACCAACCACCCGCCGTCCCAAATTGTTACAGCCTTCAAATAATGGTTAGTGGCATCCGTCTTATATGATCAATTTTGTCGTCGCTTCTATGGAAGTGTTAAGTGGTAGAGTAAATAGCCGGCTATGGATTGATCCGGTGAAAGTCGTTTTAGAAAAGGAGTACTTTGACCTCAAACTCTCACCACAACGACCGATTGAGAACATGCTTTCACCCAGTAGAGGAAGCCAGCGCGATTCACCCACGAAAGACGCAGAAACGATCCTCAAACCCTGAGATGTCTAAACTGGTGTATCGCCCTTGCTATCTATTGAAGACCGCAGTACAAGGGCACCCGAGCTTGCTGCTTCGGTCTCATAATTGATGCAATTATCATGCCATCAGCTCCTGTCTTGTTATTGACTATGTGACTGCCCCTAGTTGAGAAAATGAAATTCCTTCCCTCTTTTCGCACTGGGCTTCCCAGATCCTCTCCCATCCCCTGCCCGGCTGTGGCATCTCTTGCTTCTGCAGTAGAATTCGAAAACAGTTTACCCCTTAGGCAAACACTCTTTGTTTCCCAGGCCGTAATTAAAACATAACTTAGCCCAATCTGATCAAGTCGTAAACAATCCTAGCCTATGGGTGGATAATAATTTACCGTCCACCCGGAAAAACACTAATCCTGTTTCGGCCACGACCCGACAGGCAAAAGGTGTTTGCCTAAGGGGTAAACTGTTTTCGAATTCTACTGTAAGCGGCTGGATGGACCCGTGCACCTATACTGCCATCTTCAATAGTAAGGTGTGGATGTCAGACCTCGTGAATAATGCATCAATGCCAGCATCAGGCCGGTTATTGGTCATCAAGCCTTGACCGCTCGGCCTTGCAAGCGCGGACACTTCGCGCATTCCTTCGCTTCTGCCGTTGGTCCTTTCGCACCACCCAGGTTTCCATGATATCCAGCCGATGATCCCTATTGCTAATATAAAACGGGAGCGGCAGCCTCCTTTTGATCGAATTACACGTTGCTCATTTTTCAAGTGGAGACAGGCGAGGTAGACACCAAGGATGTCGCTGGCTGTGAATAAAGGTTCTACCCACGCGATTTTCCAGCTAATGTGACAAAGGTGTGAAATCAGTCCCGGGTGATTTCTCGATTCTCATGCCCCCCACCCCCTCTTCAAATGATGCCCCTTTAATCTTCATGGCTGTGAGTCGCCATGCTCATTACCATTGTGAAGAACATCGTCCATGTCAGCCTGCATGTGTGCTGCCATTATGTCTTTCAGTATAGGTATCGCCGCTGCGTCCGTAGCTATTCTTTGTTTCATATGATCCTGACTGAATGTTATTGACTGAAATGCCTCGTCGAGAACTAACGATACTCACGTATGCCCAATTGGCGAGGTTTTCGAGGAATCCCCGATACAGAATATCAGCCATCTGGGGGGTAAGTCCGGCCGGGACGCTTGTGGTGCCGTATGTCGGAGGAGGATTATCATGGAACATAGAATCGATAGGCAAGAAGCCGCCGAAGACGGTGTCAGGCATGGGAACGTCTTGACCGTGCAGTGGGACATGCTGGGTAGAGCCCCGCGTGGAGTATCGTGGTGATGGTCCTGGTTCTTGGAATTGTGGCTGTGTCACATCATTATTCTCCGGTGACTGTCGGTCTCTTCTTGTCCTTCCAGACGATCCAGCCATTGTGGTATTGAATGTGATGAGAGGGCCACTACGGAGATGTGGTTCAGGCGAGCGTTTTATAGTACTTTTTGAACCCTCCGAGATCCCGTCCCAACATGAACCGCATCACCTGAATGGCTGTAACAGGTGGGAACGAATTGGTCCTCGGGGGCAGTTTGGCGTGTGGGCATGCATTAGCTTCATGGCCGGGGTACTTGATTCAGGCAAAGACATGGATATCGGAATTGGACATCCTGGCATCTCGCTCTTCGGTACTCGTTGGCGTGATCAAAGAAAAGTCGACTTGGGTATATCAGCACCCCCCCCAACTCACTGTGGCAACATGGTTGCCTTGATAAACATGGAAGTGTAAGTTTTCATCCTACCACGAATTTCCTTTGGAGATCAACTGAAGCAACACACATCTGAATCACTTCCAAGTACGAAGCTGGTCAAAATCCGGCAACTTGAGGTCTCGGCCAGATGTCCATATCATTCGCTGCTGGGGGGGGTGTCAAATGTACAGTACTTTTGCCACGGACCTGTTTAGCCGCGCCTAGACGCATCTCTCTGATCGTGAACGGCTGGTGGTGATCTCGTGGGATCCGCAGTTCAGTGGGGTGGGTGGGGTTGACCAGCGACCCATTTTCGTGTCGCCCGTTAGTTCCACCAGCGCTTTTCTTCCTGTCATTGATATGCCGAACGAGAAAAGAGACGACTGGATTGAAGTGGAATCGGATTTACCCCTGACTCGCCGCAGGCGAAGGATCGGCCGTTGGTGGAGCTTGACTAGACTCGAGATTCGCACCAGAGTCCAGCCATGTTGCGCAGTCAACGTGCAGGAGGATTGCTGGGTGGTGGGGAAGCGAGCTTTTCCCCGAGGGTCTGATTGGACAATGGATGTAGTCGGTTAGTGGATACACAACCTTGTTCGCTTGGAAGGGCTACGATCCTCATTCGCAGGCCGGCCTAGTCAGAATGTGGGCCGCAAAAAAGGAGTGCTTGGTATGCGATCTTATCGTTTGTCTGTTCACAACGGGCCAGGCATGAATTACCGTGCTTTAGCGGACTCAGCCGAATGCAATGTCACCATTCCAGACTAGCGGCTTTCCCAGATCCTACAGAAGCGACCTTTCGGCAGGTACTTTCCCATTCATGGAGACATAACGCTGCCCAGCAGTGCAATCGTATTGAACGCAAGTGGCTTACATCATTGTCCCTTTCCGAGATTCAGTCGAGAGGGTTGGTCAAGGATGGACGACGGTAGCAGATAGCGGCTCAACCTACGTACCATCTTCATTTGGGCCACGGTCAGCCTTAGCGCGTTGGTGTAATGCAGGCGGCTTTAATAAGGTACCGACTGTTCGTACTGTAGAGGTTGTATTTCAGGAATTCAGGGGCTAGGTGGCTTGCTAGGTCGTTCCAAGGTTATATCCGGTGCGGGGCTCGCCCCTCACCGTTTTTCGGCCAATCGTTTCGGCTGCGGTGAATGGCTATTCGTTAAGCACAGGGCAGGCACCTGTCATTGGATCCCGGCCTTCGTGTCTCCTGTCCGTTTAATTTCATCTTCATCGATCGAGGTTGCATTGGTGGACGGAGCCCATCGAGAGCTGAGGGTCACTGTGCAATCTTGTAAACGTAATGTCTGGAGATGGAAAGGTCGATCGATGGCTTTCACATAGTACATACATAGCTCAAGTGGCGTGTGTTCTACGGAATAACGTAGCCGGATTTCATTTCATGCAGCCAGCTTTAACCTACTTGCATGAAACGATGGGACCCCCAACCAGCGAGTTTTCCTATCTCCTTGTATCGCCGCATACCAAATATAGCCACAAGTAGCATGGTCTCATCCGTGGGTCTTTGGTGATTCACAAGCGAACGGCTACATACAGATCTGATGCAGGTGTGGATGAGTACGTGCCTACAGTTCCAAGAGATTGCAATAAGAGGGGCAACCTAGCAAATCGATCTAGCGCCATCACAGGGGAAGCATACGCTTGACTTACCAACACCAACCGGCGGAGGGGCCAGCCAGTCGTCTTGGCATTCCGAAGATGAGTTACGTCATGTCAATGGGAAGCCGATCACTTCTACGCCTGGGAACCCAGCATGTGGTGCCTGCCCCTGACACGAGCTTACTAAAAATGATTTCCCACGGCCTTACAGGTTTGGTAGAGCCGTTGTTGGATTGTCGCCGGAGAGATCACGGGTGAAATAATCGACCAGGGGCACATCTGAGAGAACGTTTAGAGTTTCCATCAGAGCATATCATTCCGATTGGCAAACTAAATCTACTGCTTGTCAGCGCCTTTTCAGCTTCCCGCTGGATGATCCCAAGGATTCTACGGAGTCCGCTTG